AAAGTCACGATGGGCGGAAAGAGGGGGTGGATGTTCTGAATCACAGCAGCGGCTACGAACGGTGGGCCTTGACTGGTGAGGAGTGGAATCCGGGGGGGGGGATGTTGTGCGAGGGTGGAGTGGTGTGTGTTTGTCTGGGAACGGTTGGGATATGTCTCACTTACAGACACCCCCCTCACCTCTCTCTTTTTCCCTTTTTTCCCTCTCCAATCCTTTTGTTACTCCCCATTCCTTCTCCACCTGATCTGGCGGGTGAGGTTCCTTGTTTTTTTTCGCCTTTTTCCTTCTTCGCTGGGCGGTTTGGGGGGGAGCGCGGACACCCTTCCCATTTTGTCCACACTCCCTCCCCATCATCTTCTTGTTTGACCAACCGGGACGCTACCGGGTCACCATGCTGGGCTAGCGAGCGTTTGATCGTGCTGTTTCTGTTCCTCTGGTTGGTCTTCCATTCCCTTTTCAGTCTGGGTATTCTCGCCCCCCTCAACTCACCCGTGGTCCTTTGCCTTGGAGTGGCTTGCGATGTCATTGCTCCGGTCTTCCGGCTTCGGGCATGGGAAGTCGGCAGGCGGGCGTGCGGACAGCGGTGCGGCGTGTGACCTGGCTGATGACAATCTAGATGGGTCTGATTTGACACACCACCTTCGTGACGATTCCGTGCAGCCATACATATGTATGTCTTTCTTTGTGTGCTCGATTCCCTCACCTTACCTTGCCTGTCTTGCCTGCCTGGGCTGCTGAACTGAACCCCATCTCACGCATATCTGGATACATCACCAGAATCACGAGTGCCGCGAGCCGATTCTCCGGCGCTTCGGTCGGTTAGGATAGCCGGACTCAGCATATGGTGAGGTGATGATGACGCGAACAAGGTGCTTATCCTGTCCTAGATCGGTAGAAAAGGGGGTATGCAGTAGTCACAGGAGGGAATCGTTCCAAGACATTGCTTTTGGTCATCTCCAGCTACACCCTCCCAGCCCTCATGGAGATTCTAAGGTGTGCCTCCAGGCGAAGACAACGAGGAAGAGCTAAGAGGAGAGACAACGGATGGAATGAAGTCTTCCCCGGCTGCAACTGCCTCGCAGAGAACGATAGCTAGCTAGCTAACCCGTTTCCATTGCCTTGGAAGGCTGCTGGCGCCCGTTCCCTGGGCGGCCGCTTCTGCAGCAGCTACACTAGTGTGGGTTGGTTAACTGCACAGTTACACATTATTCTTTGCCACTCTAAGGCCATCAGGATGGATGGGAGAACCCCCTGAGAGTGTCTGGAAGAGGTGGTTAACCGAGGGTGTGTGTAATCCATACGTGTATTTTATATCGGTACTTTGCCTCTGCTGTATGTTTACAAAGTGCACATTGACTGTTAACCCCCCACCCCTTTTCCCCTGTTCTTCCCCTCAAACGGGACGGTGGCTTGTCTCTGACTGCGTAAATGTAACTGTCTGTCTGTCTGGTCTGCGCAGTGACCCTGTCTCAACTCATGATGGGGTATCACCGTATCACCGGTGGATTTTTTTTCATCACAGACGGCCGCCAAACAGTGAACGGGGGGGGAAAGTGCGGGTTTCTACCGTCTTTTGGGCCGGTCGGCGTTGTGTGTTGTGTTACACCATTGCTACCTACTCTTCGGTGTTCGTCCGCTGGCTGGCTGGCTGGCTGGCTGGCGCTGTGCTGACAGCTGAACGGCGTTCGCCTTGGCTATGATGTTACCACATCGCAATTTTCGGTTTATTTTATTTTTTTATTTTATTTTATTTTATTTATTTGAACTCGAGAACAATTACTCCTAGTGTTTTTGTGGAAGCGGAAATTTCTCCGTTCTCCCTGTGTCGTCAGAACAAAAAGGCCAGTCTGTTGTTGTGGTTGGACGGACTGGAAATTGCGAGTCGGCATTTCCACAGCTGAACGAACGGAAGGGCCGCGAAAGAAGGGAGGAAGAGGGGGGGTCTGTAACGTTATTGTCGGCAGCGCAAAGGGGACTGACTGACTGACTGGAGAGAGGAAAACCCTCGGGTGGAACGGGGTCGAGTGAGGGAGGGTGTGGTCGCCGTTTGCTGCTTGCTGCGGCCAGGTGGCCAGGTGGTGGGTGGCCGGGCGGCCGGGCGGCGGACGAGCTGAAGGAGATATTGCGTTCTGGTCGTCGCGCTGCTGCTTGGGCCCGTGTCAGCCGCTCGGAGGGAGGGAGGGGGATACGGATAGTGAGTGGAGGGTAGATGGGTGGAGGGTGAAGCACGGTATGGCGACTGGTTAACATCCAATGCTATCATGATGGAGCGGCCGGAAAGGGCGCCCATCTCCAGACCTCTCTCTGCCCCTCTTTGAACCAACTTACGCGTTTCCAAAGCTGCTTTCCCCTGAGATGTCCTTCCCCAGCGAGGTGGCATCCTCCCCGCCTCTTCTTCCCTCTTAGGCTAGTTGATGAGAGGGGAGTTCCGGATCGTTTCGCCACACCGGTCGGTGATGGCACACAAACGCGCTAGGAGGGAAAAGAAACGGTGATAACACGACAAGTGTGTCGTGGAATAAGCAAAACTCCGCAGACACTGAATCGCCGTATCGTTCGTAATCGATCTCCTGAGATCTCTTGGGGTCTCGGAGAACAACTGACCGAGAGAAAGAATAGCGTACACTTGCTTCCCCAGGGCGTTTAACGCCGCTCGGTGTCTCAGCCATTCATCATTTCACGCTCGGGTTAGTTACGGGGAGCGAGGGGCCCGAGACCCGCGGGAAGTCCCTTCCCTTAGGCGGCCCGACGGAGGAGCTAACGTGATAGTGCTAAGATGTGTCAGTTTTGGTTTTGGTTTTGTAGAGAGGGGCGTTTTTAAGTTGAGATGGAGTCGCAGGTGTGCTGTCCGGGCGTTCCTGTGACTAATGTGATGGGTATTGGAGACAGAGGGGCTGGCTGAATTCCAAATAGTTCAATACTGGAGAGGAGATGTCACTTGGGTTGGATTCGGTGGGAAGCAACCCGTGACGTTGAGCTGGCAAAGATCACGGCTGCTCATGGTTGTCCGGCAAGCCATTGTTGAAGACAGCCAGAGTTGTCCATGTATCAGATAGGATGCAGGTGAACATGGAATTCTGTTGCACGTCTTGGTGACTGGACTGTATCGTTACTTCACTCTGGACGAAGGGTATGTGATGCTAACAAGTCGCTCGAAAAACGTAAATCCCAGTGGTTGAGTGAGGTCAGGGAGCAAGGCTCAAACACCAACCCCCTGATGACTTTACTTGATGGACACAGAGGAGCAACACCAACAAAGCTTGACGTTAACTTCCAAATGACCATAAACCTGTATAATTCTAACTAATAGCTTCATCGTACGCATGGGTGCCCCGCGAAACAACCACAAGATGACAGTCCTACTTTGCATCGCCCGTCCAAAGCACAAGCCCGTTTCCTACATCCACATATACGACCCATACAAATATTCACGGTATGCCCTTCAACTCCTAAGAGATCTGAATGACTTCAACGTGGACCAGTCAGAAAAGAGAGGGCCTGATTATAATTGTAGCAAAACTCTATCCAACCCCGGAGGAGAGTGTACTTATGTAGGCGGACTAATCCCACGATACACGACCCCGACACCCACGGGCCTTCATTCCCAAGGGTTACTTCTCCGAAGAACACGGATTATTAAGGGTCTTTACGTCGTTCGAGTGATCCGAGCACTTCATTCCCATCAGCTAAGCCTAGTAACTTGTAATCCTAACCCCTTTTTGCATGTTCTTCCGGCACAACGTCATTCTCTTGAGCATCTCCCAGCGAGCCAGTCTACCGGTGATACTTAACAAACATAACCTCTCAGCCAACCCATTGAGCATGGCAACGCATACATCATAACACATCATACAACGGCAAAACACATGTGGAAGGACTTAAATACTTGATTCACCATGATACAGTTCGGGTTGGAGGATGCGAGGACCTAACCACTAGTGCCACCTGAGTAAATATCCCCCCTTTTGATAAGCGGAGAAAACCTCTCATGATGCTGGATAGAGTGTGAGCCAGAGAGAGAGAAGACAACTGACCCCAGCTAGGGAGGGTACAATACATACATACCTGCGTGCACACATACATAGAAACACATTAGTCAACATCCATAACATCAAGCTCAGCACCAGCAACAGCAACATCAACCAACATCCACAACCTCCCCAACTTGCCTCGGGGAAAGGGACCCCACAACCCAGTACCCCTCGTCATCAAAGCCAGACCCTTCACTCACAAAGCAATTGGCAACAGTGACAATGGTGGTTGGTGTAAATGATCAACTCCAAGCAGGAGGACCATGGGCAGCAGCATGTGTGAACCTAACACAACATTACAAAGTAGAGTAAAAGGAAAAGAAAAGGGGGAAAACAGCCCGAACTGAATAGCACCGGCGCTGCCTCGCTGCCCACCAAAAAACAAAAGAAAACAAGGATAACAAAACACCTCGAAACACCTTACATGACCCCAACCCATCTGGCTCAGGCAGCCGGGGGGGTGGGAAACAAACAAAAACTTAAGGGCATATCCGCCCTCCATGAATACCTCCCATTCATCCGTTGCCACATCATCGCTCCAGATCAATCCACCGACCCATCCAGTCCATGGTGACTTCCAGCTCTAATTCCCAGCAAATCCACCCGACATTCATGGAAAATGACAAGGGAGAGAAAAAGGGGGAAAGAAAGAAACAAACCCCAGAACAGTCCAGTTCGCCTACGTAGGCATGGTATAATAAAATCAATCAAGCACGCTCTTTTTTGTCTCATAGGCTCCCGCCGTGTGTGTGGGACAACCTGTCCTCGAAAAAAAAAAAAAATCTTCTTGCTGGAGAGAAAATCATCGTGAAGCCAAAGCCAAAGCGAAAAGCCAAGTCAGGCACGTAACATGACCCTACACACACACGTTGGCGCAAAGGCCCTTCCATACTCCGTGTAAATAAAACGCCTCTCGAAAAATCGCAATGAGGAGAAAAAAAAGCCTCGAAAAGGGAAGAAAAAGGTCGCTCAAAGGTATATATCCCCCCCTTCTCCCCTCTCCCACCGTCCCCACGCAATCTCGTATGCCTCTTCTAAATCTCTCACCCACCGCCGGGTATCAAACAACGCACACGTCCACTTGCTCTCAAACAACAATTTCCGCAGCTCCGCCAACCTGCCCACCCCTTCTCGGTAATGAATAACCGTATTGGTCCCCGGTTCAGACCCAGGTCCTGGTCGTACCGCCCGCGCCGGGTGATATGTCATGCCGTTGATCAATTGCACGGCAAACTCCTCATACTCCGCCTCGTTGCGAGCAATCAGCTCGCTGGCCGCGCGTTCGCCCTCAGGGCCCTTGGGCAAGGCGCCCTTGAGGATGGACGCGGCCATGCGCGAGCACATCTTGTACTCGTAGCGCGGCAGAGTCAGGAGCGGCGTGTTGGACCAAAGGATATCGGCTGCGGTCGTGTGGGCGTTGCACTCGGGGGTGTCGAGGAACAGATCACAGATCCGGGCGCGCGCAATGTGCTTCAGTTTAGGCGCGACGTCCGTAAAGATGATACGACTAGCCACGCCTTCGCCACTCCATTCGCGCGCCGTGCGGCGGAGGTTGGTCTCACCGAGGTCGGGGAAGCGGAGGAGCCAGAGATAGGCCTTCGGACAGGCCGCGAGGATGCGCAGCCAAGATCGGAACGTAGTCGGGTCGATCTAGATAGGGGTGTCAGCGATGAACACGTCGAAAGTAATGATGGTTGCTTCTCTTGCGTGATCATACCTTGTATAGCTGGTTAAAGTTCCCAAGAATGATGGCGTCATCTGGAAGATTCCCAAACATGCTCTTCCGCATCTCCCACCGTCTTTGTTGATCTTGCTCCCATGTCATCTCCCGCTCGTCGTGGCCATCCGCGGACTGCGCGTGATCACAACAAAAGAAGGTATCACGGCAAAAAACAATGTTCTCCGAGTAGATCCAATCTTCGGCGTCGGCATCTGCCTCGTCGCGGAAGACGTCGCCGAGCGTCAGGTTGTTCCGGTGAGGCCGCAGTGTCGAGGGCGGGATGGCGGTCGCATCAGCAAGGAGGTAGTCGCACCATTCAGCTCCGAGCGTGCCAGCAAAGCCCATAAATGACATCTGAATGGGGGCGGGGCGTGCCGCAAAGATCTCATTGCGAGCCCCGCGGGTGTAGCCGTTGAGGTTGACCAGGATGTGGATCTTGTCCTCAACGATTTGCCGGACCAACCGGTCGGGAGACCATGAGCTGGCGTCGTGGAAGACTGGCGCGTCCTTCTCGATTTTCTGCCGGTGGATGGACTTGTCGCTCGCTGTCGTGGCGTAACAAATGGCCTTGACACGCCCCGGGTTGTGCATGCCGAAGACGGATTGCATCCTGGAGAGCAGTCAGACGCTGGACAAACAGACAAAAGAAGGACGACGGGGTGTATCAGATAAAACTTACAAATGAGCCAGAGGGTGATTGTTAAAATCGGAAGACACATAACCGACGTTCAGCTGCGGGCTTGGCGGATCGGGGGGTGGGTAAACAATCGGTGGGATCCAAGGAGACCGGAGGGTCGAAAACGAAATTCTAAGCGCGTTCCTCTGCGATATCAAGCGGACTTCCTTGGCCGGGAGCGGGCAAGTGAATGTATGAAAGGGCAGAACCGTCGGTGCAGACGGGACTGATAGGCTCGTGGGAAGCTTGGGTCGGCGATACCCTGTTGGGGACGGCGTGCCGTGGAAATGCTTGTCCTGATACCAGGTACGCATGGCAGCAACCGTGGCACGTTCAATGAGACGGAGAATCCGGTAACCCTCGCCGGGCCGTCCAGCCCATTTCCGCAGCTCAGCTCCCACATCCAGGAATGGGTCAGTGGCGGCCGTTCCGGCATCTCTCAGCTCGTTAGCAAGCTGGAGGATCGACTGCTCATGCAAGGCACCGCACCCCCAGGTGGACGACTCCTTGAGCTGGCGCCCGACGATTTCGACAACACGCTTCATTAAGCCGCTCCCTTGGCCTTGTCCCTTAGCATCCTGGAGCATGCCCTTTTCATCCACGTGCCATCGGTCGTACTTGCCGCCAGCAAGCAACACACCACCTCGGCCCCTCCAGTCGCATACAGAATTGAGCGCCGTCGAGAGCCCGCACACGGCTTCGGCAAAATCGGGGTTGGCGATAACGGCCCGTTGATAGTACTTGATCGCGTCGCTAACACGGCCCCTGTCTTTGACCGCGTTGGCTAGGTTGGTCAAGGCGATGTCGAAAGACCCGTCACACGCCACAGCTTGCTCGTACATCGAGATGGCCATGTCTAGCTGCCCTATGTCCTTAAGAAGGCTGCCAAGATTAGTGTGAAGGTGTACATGTTTCGGATCCAGTGTGAGGCCGTATTGGTAGTATGCGAACGCGAGAGACAGCCCGCTGCCGGGGGGAATACCCGGCACACTAGCCATGAGGGTCATGTCGGATACCGAGCGGAACTGGGCCGGTGCGGTTTGCTGCACGCCAGCCAAGAGAATGCCCACGTTATTTGCCGTCGAAGGGCTTTCCTGGAGGGACAGGGACAGATAGTACAGCGACAGAATGTCACCGACACCTGCCGAAGGCCGAGCAAGACCGGAGCTCTGGCCGCCGTTCGACATGGCGTCTTGGTAGATCTTAGCCAGAGACAACAGTGAATTGCTCGTTGTCGCCACCGCATTCCTCTTGTAGTAGTTGTCGACCACGTGCTGGAGACCGGGGAGCTGGCCGCCGGTGGGAGCAAAGACATATTGCGCTGTAAGCTTCGCCTTCTCTGGTAGGAGTAGCAGCGGGGCGGAAAGGCTTTCTTGAAGCGAAACTAGTCGTTGCCCCGAGACAGGGTCTCGCGGTGCTAGGACAGTTTGTATCCTCTTAATCAGAGATTTTACGCCCTGTATTTGCTTCCCGGCGCTCATCATGACAACCTCTTCAAACGCTTCCGAGGCGCGGTCGATATCCTTAAGATTGTACAGCATGTTCCCCTTGGCGTGGATAAGTTGTACCATCCGGCCATTTTCGCTGCCCGGAATACGGTAACCGCTTGAGCCAAAGCCTGGCGCCTTGCGGTCTTCTGTGGCCATGGCGAATCGTTGCTCCGGGCTGTCGATGTTGTCGATGTCGAGAACATAGGTATCCGCAGTCGATTCGGCGAGCGTCATCGGTGACGCGATGTCGGCTTCGCTCGCAGTTTCACTAGCCTGCTCGCGGGGCGCATCGAGACCGGACGGCACTTTCAAACATCGCTGGACGTATTCGACCGCTTTAACCGCTTCGGGACTCCTGTTCAATGAGCATAGCAGGCTCACCAAGTGCTCAACAGCCTCAAGATAGGTGGGTCGGAGCTTGATGGCTCTCCGCCATTGTTGCTCGGCCTCGTCGGGTCTGTTCAAACAGTACAGGGCTGCAGCAATGTTTGAGATCGATTCCACGTGGCTAGGTCAGAATGAAGTTAGCATAGCACTCCGATGGCGCGATGAAGGAAGAGAAAAAGAAACGGGATATGAGAGAAGAAGAAAGCGAACGAAAATCAAGGGCCAAAAGAGATAAAAGAGAATGCCACGTAAAACGCACCTCGGGTCCAGGTTCTCAATCCTCCTAAACCATTCCAACGCCTTCTCATAACACTCCAAGCCGTAGTGAAGACATCCTCCCAACAACATGCCCTCGACCCATTTCCAACCACTCTGCTCACATAGGGTGGATAGCACAGAGAGGGAAGCCCTCGCATTCAGAATGGGCGTGCCAGCCTCGTGATATCCTCGCTGATAAAAACTCTGGCCAAACATCCGCGCAGCTGCCTCGTTCTGGGCCATTTGTTGCATGTAGTTCGCTGTGGGATCTCCAAGTGGTGGCACAGGTGGTTGGACAGTGCTTCCGCTGGTTGCTGGTGTGGGGTACATCATGATCTTGGACGACGGCCGTGATGTGGAGCCGCTGCGTCCATGTTGTGGTTTCTTTATGTGTGTGAGGTAGCTGAGCAGCTCGCTGTAGGCTTTGTGGGCACTTTGCAACGCCCGTTCCTTGAACCGAGCTGGGGAGGGTACTTCACCAGCAGCCAGATTTGTGGTCCCAATTCCGACCCCGGTTGGGGTCATCGAAACCGAATTTCGCCCATGATGAGAAGGGTTGCGCCCCATTTGATTGTTATAGCCATAGCGGGCAAATCCATCATCGAGAGGGTGACTTGGCACGGGGAGACCGTAATGGTGTGGTTGTCCTAAGCCTGGGGCGTTGAGCAGCCCATGATGGAGCATGGACTGCGGTCCCATGAAAGCACTGCCAATCGAGTTTTGCGGCGTGTAGTTGTTCGCGAGCGGGACCATAGCCTGGTAGCTAAAGGCCCCGCCGTAGCCGCTGGGACTATAGACCGTCTGAGGCAATGGCTGTTGATACCCTGGCCCATAGGAAGGTTGCATGCCGGAGAGGGTATAATAATTGTGCTGGGGCATTGGTGACTGATAGGTGACCCGATCGCCGACATTAGATTCCAAGGCCGGATGTGGCGCCTGTACCATCCATCTCCCCGACACGCCTTGGGGGCCATTCATCGATTCTATCCCATGGCCGATTTGGGCCGTCGGTACGGCAGCGGGATATGCCCAAGGGCCGACAGAGGGTTGCTGCTGCGGCTGCTGCGGCTGCAGCAATCCGACGACTGGTTGGTTAGGGTGTCCTTGGGCCACAGCAGCGGGATGGATTTGAGAAGAGGCGGCCGGCACGATCATATGCTTTAGAGGCGGGGGGCCTGAGACCAAGTGAGTTAGTGAGCCATCGTACCCGTTGTCGATAGTTCCTCTAGGAGTTTTGCGCCGCAAGGAGTGCTCAGCTTGGTCGTGGGCATGTAGTCGGTTGAAGCTGGTGGTGATTCGATGAAGTGCTGGGGTATGTTGGCCGCTGCGGATGTGAGAGAAATGGGATCCGGATCCATGGTGATGTGATGGGGGATACTCGGATTTGTGTTGTTCATGATCGAGAAAGCCGAACGGGGGTGGCACCACCTGGTGCATCTGGACGAGAGGTAACATGGTGGGACGGATGGTGTCATCAAGTCGAGATTCGGTCGACAGGGAAGAGATTGAACGATAAAAGGCCGTCAAATGATGGGATGAGAATCGAAGTTCGAAAATCAAATTCTAAGGAGTGACAGTGAGGATGGTGGTGATGCCCTCGTGTAAAATCAGGAGCGAGTCGTCATTGCCCTGTGCCAGTCAGAGCGTGTCGTGGTTGGGTATCGTCGTTTCTCGCTTCGCTGTTGCGCGCTGTGTCCCTGAAGTCGTCGAGTGGCTAAGATAGCTGATGATATCGAACACGCCGAGCAGGACAATTGTCCCGAACTTTCGTTTGGGGAATCGCCGAGCACTTCAACCCTCGAGGTTCCCACGCTCCATTTGGGCAATGGCGAGAGACTGAGCAGGGCGTAAACTCAGCCAATGCCGCCCGGGACCCCCAACCATACAACACACAGGTCGGTCCGTTAAAGTGTGATTCGCGGCCGGTCGATAATCGGTCGAGGTTGAAAAGGTTTGAGAAAATAATGATGGCCTCCGCTTGGTCGCCAGTGATATTATCACAGTAGAAACGACAAAACAACTCCTTCAACTCCGCCTCTTGTTGACTGTAGCTGCTTCTCAATGTTTTTTATTGATGAGAAAGGATCCTGGCGGGGTCAGAGGTGGAGATGGGATTTGCTTGATGAGACTGGATGAAGTGCAGAGCACGTTCCGGAAGGAGGGGTGCAGCAGCAGTGGGCGGGGGAACGTGCAAAGTCACCGTGCCGATCCCGTTGTGTCTGGGGTGAAAGCGGGAAGGTGCGATGACAATTGCGGCCAATAATGACGCCTCAAGCCTCGTTTTTCCCTGCTGATGGATCGCTCTTTCCATTCATTCTTTTTCTTCCCCTTTCTTGGCCTTGCTTCCGGGTGCTGTGGTTTCTTCGATGTTGAACACGCACCGTTCCAACGTTCCAAGCCGGAAGCAATCAGATGGGACCGGCGTGTGAAAAGGTGCCAGTTCAGATGTGGAACACCGCCGGGTGCAAAAGCCAGATGGTGCACGACAGGCTGCGGGCTTGCCCGGCGGTGCAAGGGCACGCATAGGGCATGCGAGTGTGTTTTATACTATAGGGATCATGGATGGGGCTGTTTGGGGGGTTCCATCTTGGTGCCTTCTCCCACACCCTCCCGGAGCCTACCCTCCAACCGTACCCAGGGTCGTGGGGGCGCTAAGGCCCATGCTGCAGCATGATGCAGCACGACCTGGCTACCGGCCGAACAATCACAGCTGGGTTCGTGCCAAACACCAACGCTTGGGGGGCCACCCGGGGGGCCACTGGGCGTTGCTGGTGGTGTCGAGCGTCTCCAGTTCGAGTGCGTTGGGCAACGCCATGTCACCCTCCTGAACATGGGTGGTGGGCTGCGACCTAGGGTGTGCTTCCTTTCATTAATATCGGTACGACAAAGCCCTGCTATAAAACCTGCTTCAACCCTGCCATCCGTTAAGAGAGGCCGTCCTGATAGGCGGCGCAGATAAAAATAAGGCAACGCAACAAAAGGCAAAGATTTAATAAATAAATAAAAAATAGCAGTACCAGCCTCATCAGGCGTGCTTCTCTGCCCTTCTGCCACGCCAGTTGTGCGACCCGACAAGGTAGATCATTACAGGCGTGGTGTGTTTTGCTGTGTATGTACGTGTATGTGCCTTCTGCTGTGCTGCTTGCCGGCGGCGAGGATCCCAAATCCAATGGAACCACAAGGGTCAGACAGGCAGTCAGACAATGCGGCAATCCCACCACCGATCCCGCCCATATTTGGAGAGTTATGAGAAACATAGGTGGTGGGAGACAACTTGGCAAGCGAGGGACAAGACAACTCGTGTGTCGTATTATGTATATCTGATGTGCCTCTGTCATGAGAATAACTATTCTTGGATGTGATATTACTATGTACGCGAACCCAAAGTGTTTCCGGTTATTTCCTTCCCGCTTGCCCTATCTGCTTCTTTCTTGCGTTCTCAAAAGCCACCACAGGCAACCCTTGGAAGCTTCTCTCGGTCGAGCTTCAAAACCTCCACAGTAAGCGTCAATGCGCCCGTTTTTGCAGCAAGAGATCACCAACGACAGGGCTCACTCTTCAGCAACACACGCCACAGCACCCTCTTTTGAGCACTTGCTGCAGGCCGATCAGAAACATGCATGCACTTCAACCAAGCTGCCCGACCAGTCTCCCCGCGAATCGCCCGATCAGCACGCCCACTGGCTGAAAAAAAGGCTGAAAAAGCCACCTTTGCCGTGATGCCGTGCGTGCCTACCAGCCCTCAGATGCGCCCGCTGCACCTCTGAGCCTCTCAAGATCCGAGTCACATTTCGTTTTTCCTGAAGCGTGGAGGCGTGACAACCTGTCCATGCAGCCAGTCAGACACATGCCACACACATCCATGAAATGAAGCGAAACAAGCGATCGCGTCGGTCGCTTCCACAATCCCGTCCACATCCATTCATCCTTCAGTAACTGTTGCAGTGGGGAGTCGGGTGCGTGGGTGGGACCGACCGGTAGGGCCGGCACGACCGCCAAATCCTCACTTGGCCGCACGCAGGCCGCCCGACCTTGAACGGCTGGCCGGCATGAGATGGCGTGGACGGGTGAGATGGGGGGCCCACTCCATCCGGCCGCTTGCGTCGCCTTCCATCATCATCCTTCCCTTCCCGGCCATGGATTTCCCCAGCTTCCAGCGCATCCCCTGCATCCTCATCGAGAGCCGCATTCACAAGTCCCGCCCTTTGAGATCGAAAGTGTGATGATGAGACGTTCGTTTATAAGTGTGCCATCCATTTATTATTCATTTGCCATTTTGAAGTTAGACATAACCGACCCCCCATTTGCCCCCGCCACTTGGAATCAAGCCCTGCTCTCTCCCGTCCCAGCATCAAAAATGCACTCTGCAGCATCCCCAAGAATAAACCCCTGCCGCGGGAAGGGTGAGTGTGGGGACGCAAACGGCCACAACGCCGCAGCCCAGCGGCAGCCAAGACACCAAGACTCCGAGATTGATGAAGGGTCCTGACAGGGGGCGCGAACTCATGTATGGAAGCGAACGATAAAACAGAAAAAATAGTGTACAGGATGAAATGCGCTGGCTTTTGAGAAGTTCGAAGACGCCTTCTTACTTTTTCTAGAATTGCCCTCAATCTTGGAAGCAGTTAACGCTTGACAGATATCCTATTTTTCAGTTCCTTATGGTTCTTGTTATCCTGAGGTACCCCTGTCGTCGGCTGACAACCGTCACGGAACCTACACAGCCCACATCGCCCACAGCCCATAACATCCGCGCAATCTGTCCAAGTCAAGAATTGTCTAATTTTCCCAGCAACCAGAATACCTCTCCTCGCCAGTAACACCAGGAACACGAATTCAATCCTGCGGACGTCAGCAAAGGATCTGCGCCTTCGCTCATGAGCGGCACATGGCGTGCCAGAAGTTAGCCAAAACTGGCGACGATCTTAGCCGGACCTGACCCCTCCAACGGCCAAACAACGGATAGCTCAAACCCTTCATCCACCGAAAGCCGCTCCACATTGCAATGAACGTGGGAGATCTCTCACAACTGAAAACCAGTGGAGATAACTAACTTGAGCACATGCGCTTGGGGATAATCTTGGACCTTAGAGAGAATGGGAATATAGGATTGCTCTGTCTTCTCGTCTTCTCCTAGATTCGAAAGGAGCACCCAGCTCCGAAGAGGCCGGTTTCCGTTAGGCCATTCTTCCGAGCGAATGATCTCATACCATGAATCTGCCTAACTAGTCTCACTTGTCCCTTTGGCCTAACGTTATGGCCAAGCAAACAAAAAACGGTCGCCACGCTCAGAATCCCTGATATCGACTTCCCCAGGCACCCTTCACTCCACCTCTTCGCCATGCCTCTACATGTTGTCAACAACCGACTCCTTGATTCTATCTATCTCAACTACACGTCAAAAAAAACGACACCAACGACACCAACGACAATAAACTTATTCCGTTCGACAGCACCGCGGCACCTACCAACGGGATGCTCGGCACACAACATATCCATCACACACACCGAGCCAAACAAGCAAGCAAGGATGCGGCAAAGGCGAGGCAAACGGCCGGCCGATCAACCACCAACCCTTTTCCTGAGTGGTCAACCCGCATCAATTTTTTCCCTCTTCATGCGTTGGGTGGTGAGTGGTTTTTTTTTTCTCTTCTCGCCCTTGCCTGCCAACTTGTCAGTTAGCCTGTTTTCCACAACCGCTTTCGAGACCTATCTTCTCTAGCCGCGCTAGGCGGGTCAACCCGGGCCGCTCCTCGTCGGTCATCGGTCAGATGAGGCGAGGGAGAAAGGGAGCCACAGAGGTCCTTGCGAGAAGTCAAGAAGAGGGAGGGTAAGGCACCACAACACGTCAGAGAGGTTGAGGTGGCCACAACAAAGGTGGGAGGTGACACAAGGTAAGCCCGTGTGAATCCCGTGCAGCCCTCCACATACGTGGGTGAGCAGGCAGCCTCTAAATGTAGACCGAGGCCGGGCAAGAAAGATTTGTAGATAGGTAACCGCAAGACCTGTATTTCTGCGAATTTCTTAACACGATTTCGTCTATGCAGGGCGCAGCATCACATGTACGTCTTCGGAGCTACACGGCGCCTATCAACCCATGTCCCCGCAAACTCAACCGTCCAGCCCCGGAAACCTGCGAACGGAAAGGAAGGGGAGGGTTAATACCGGCGGAAGGGAACAGGGTCAACGGTACCAAAAGAACCACACAGAATGCAAGCAGAATGCAAGCCAAATGCAATAGGCCAAGACTAAAATATCTGGCCTTAATATCCTAGCCCCAGGATAAGCCATGACGCCCGAGACCGAGGTAGCCCCGGTGTAAGCTGAACTCGGGTGGATAACTTGGCAAGTAGGAGGATAGAATGGGCGAGGCGGCTTGTCGGGACCTCGCAGACTGGAAGTAGTACCCACGAGTTAATTAGCCCTGGGCTCACTGCTCACTCCTCCTCCGGCTTGATATCTCCTAGTTCATCCTCGCCGAGGGGCCAGCCAGCCCTGTTTCGTCTTCTACCCTCAAAACGCCGCTCGTCCATCACTTTCATTTTCACCCAACCTCACAATTTAATCTTTCCAAAGGTATAAGTCGGGCACCTATCTAGCAGGCTGCAAGGCAAATATCTCTCCTGCGTTACCATGCCCGATTCCGTACTTGTACGCGTGCATACATACATGCACAATGCAACTACCCTTCCGGTAGGCCCCTGTTCGCCGCCAGAGATGTTGGGAACTTGTAAGGCCCGAGACATCATACATCATACTGCATTGCCTCAGGTCACCTCGCGTCACATTTATCTTGTAGTAATAACGCAAAGTGTATTCCCGTATACTTTTCCCTTGCCCATGCCGTCGTAGAGTAGCCAATGGTAAATGGCGGGTATGCTGTACAACAGGGATCTCCTAACGTCACGTATTACACACGCGCGCTTGTGACCTGGATACGGAGAACAAGGCATTATTATCCATGGGGTGTTTATTTTTGTTTGGATAGTTCTTGAAAAGCCGAGAGTTGGTGATCTTGGTAAAGTTGGTTGTACATGTGGGAGAAGGAACGATTCAAATATGTTGCGGCTGGGAAGGTGGGATTTAGATGTGCCGACGACAAAACAAACTCGAGACAATGTATGGTCAAACAACACACCATTAAACAGAGCAGGAAATAAACGTGGAATTCGCCGTCTGTTTCGGGAGGAGGCATCTGTCTTATTTATCCCCCCTCGACTTTCTCGCTATCTGTCTGTCTGTCTCATTCTAAAGCGCGTGTTCCCGAACTGGTGACACGAGACCGGAACAGAAGGAAACAAGGAAGCGGACAGAAGGAAAGGAAAAGGCTAAGACATATGTAGCATCCTAGCTGTTGTTCCCCGCCAAAGTGCTTGTAGTCTTTTCTGTCTCGGGTATCATGTTGAAGCTGAGAAAACAGAGAAGCAAACGTTAAAAATTTCAGATCATTTGTTGTGCCTTGGAGTCTCTTATTTCGCGGTGAGCAAGTAACTTGATGAAACAAGAAGTACATGTAAGGCGAGAGGCAAGATTCAAGTCGGCACAACAGACCGAATAGCACGGCTTTGACCCCATACTAGTTCCTACGGAGATTGCGTTGCATGGAGGCTTCGAGGTATTGAAGACCTAGGGAAGGTAGACAGTATCGGTGGAGGTATCAAAGCATAGAGGGACAATAAAACAGATATCGACCGGAAATATGGACCTCGACTTCCATAGCACCGAAGTGCCAACGAAAGCCATGGTGAGTAATCGGACGTCACAACATTTCTTCTTCCTGAGCACAAAGAGCCGAAAGGACCATGGGGAAGCAGGTCGTTTCCGGAGTGAACAGCCAGGAGCGGAGAGGGGGTAGATACGCCAAGTCGGAGACGGAGAGTCTCGGCGATGAATCCTTGACCCCACGCGGGATGGGAGATGGGTTGGTGGGATGGCGCGGACGCGGTGAGAGAGGAGGAACAGGGGAGGGGAGGATATCCGGGGATGGCAACAAAACCTTGGTTTCAGATAGTCTGAGCCGATTTCTGACGGAGGCACCCATACTCGGCCATGAAATCGTTCTTTTGATTTGATTTGCCGTTGTCTGGCAAGCCTGGTGTAAAGCAAGCCCTGAACTCCTAATGACATGCCCAGAATTTCCCAAACCGACCTTCACTCGTGACGAGGCTACTCCTCAGGAACTGTAATCACGTTAGCAAATGCGTTCCGGACGGGCCCATAAACAGGCCCATAGGAGAATAACGGCCTTAAAAAATAAACGTACTGTCGATCTCGCCTTCCTCGATCGCATCGCTGACGGCCTTCGGGCTCTTGCCATCCACCTGGCAACCGACGCTGAAGGCAGTGCCCAGGATCTCCTTCACGCACCCCTTCAGGTCCTTGGAGAAGGACTTGTACTTCATTGTCCTCGCAATGTCGATGATCTCATCCAGGCTGACGGACTTGTTGTGCTTGATGTTCTTCTCCTTCTTGCGGTCACGAGGGGGCTCCTTGAGCGCCCGGATGATGAGCGACGAGGCTGTGGGGACGACCGAGACGGCGGCTTGACGGTTTTGGATCGTGAGCTTGACGGTCACGCGGAGACCCTTCTGTATAGCGGTGCGCAGATCGGCAATGGTCAGAAAACTGTTTCCTCTCTTGATTCCTCCCATCTCCAATCGTTCATGTTTTTCTCGGTCTTCTTCTTGCGAAAAGGGGTGATCATACCCAGTCACCAGTGGCCTTGGCGATATCTTCACCGACCTTCTTCGGCGAGAGACCGAGAGGACCGATCTTGGGGGCAAGAGCCGAAGAGGCACCGACCTCACCACCGGTCGCCCGGAGGTGGCTGCAAAACGGCGATCATCGTCAGCGTTTGTGATCACAATAATCTCGTCTTTCCCAATCGTTTCGCCAACTCCCTCCCAAATTCTCATCGCTCGGCTGGGTACGCATTCGCATTCGCATAAAAGAGGCGCGCGCGACCGCGGGCAGGGAATCGGGAGGGGCGGAGGAAGAAGAGGTGGTGATTGATGGTGGGAGAAGGCCATTGGAGCTTACATGACCTTGATCTCGTTGGGGTCGACCTTAGGAGCTGTACAATTCCGCAAATTAGCAATCAAAACAATTCGACCGCTAGCAACGGAAAATATTCAACTTACGCATGGTGACGGCTTCTGTGAATGACGGACTCGGTTGGTGTTGGTGGTAGGGGATGCAGCCGTGCCGAGGATCAAAGTCAACGATATCGCAAAAAAATCGCAGTTGTGGGTTTTCCCTGCCTGCCCTAAGATTTTGGGGTGTGTGGCTGACAATTTTTCGGCGGGGCGGATGGAGGGGCCGCCACAATTAGATTGGAAGTGACATTCTCAGCCACATTGAAAAGTGGGGACATTTTCGCCAACCACCAAGTCGCAGCCACGGCAGGCAAGGTGTTCACAATACCGACAGCAAAAGGGAGACGTCAGGGGAACAGCTTATTTTCATCGGCAATATCGGTTCACATATAACACTGACGCTAGACGGTCACAGACCCCTCCTCTAAACATGCCTACAATCCATCGTCTTCGTCTTTCCCCTCAACCCCCCTCACTCGGCCCATCCCTGGAACAATGACTTAGTTTGTACCACTCACAGCCAGTTTCATGAGATGCTCCATGAATGTTTGCAGGGACACATCATCGGTGAAGATTGTCTGTGCACTTTGAGCGCCCACGCCGCCGTACGCCCCAGCGCCCGACGTATGTGTGGTCGACGGGTTGAGCTTGGAGAGGAGGAAACGCGCCTGGGAACCGCCGTGGTCGCAGACGATGAAACGAGGGAGGGGGAAGCGGTCGGTGATAAGATCCTAGGAATGTGGGTCAGCAATGGCTTCCGTGGAGTCGGGGAATTGCACAAGAAGACTTACCCTTGCGTCCTCCTTTGGCTGCTCCAGGAGAGCAGCAAAATTCTCGTAGCCCTCCTGGTCCTGGTACCCGGCCTTTCTCCACTCGGCGACAGTTTCGCCGTGGAAGATGAGGATGTGAAAGAACGTATCGAGAAGGAGAATGTGGGTCGGTTGGATGGAAGTGGAGTCTAGGAGGACCGGCTGTCCGCCTTCTTGGTCGAAAGTGTATGAGTCGAGGGTGGGCTGGATCATGACGAGGGAGTTGCTGACGTCCTCGTGGTCGAGTACGTGCCTGTAGAAAGCCGTCTCATCTGGCGAGTTGTTGAACACCTGCAGGAACTGGCTCCTCCTCAAGTGGAACATAAACTGCGGATAGAGAGTGAAGTTCTTCTCCAGGCGGAACGACGACGGGTCGTCCTTGCGGTAGTCCGCAAATCTTGAGCACAGCCTGATAAGCATCCTATCGACCCAACGGAGAACATCAGGTCCGTCATCAACCTCGGCCTTAAAGACGGCGATTCGGGACATGAGGACAGCCGCGGCTTCTTGGTCGAATGATTGCGCAATCGCGGGGTCGCCCGCGGGCCCGCTGAGGTTCCTCGCAATTGTGGTGACGCGGAGGTGGAACTGGCCGGAGGAATGTTGGTAGTAGGTTAGGAACTGGATCATACCCTTTTGGGGGCTTTGCTGATGTTGTGATTGGCCACCCTGGGCGATCTCAAAGTAGACACCATAGCTAGCCTTGGGGTCGATGCCGCACATCTTCCAAGAGCAGGTGTTACCAATACCGCACTCCGTTTCACCCACCGAAGTGGACTTCTTGTTCAGGGATACCGCGTGCCCGATCAAGCCAGTGACCTTGAGCTCCTTGGTTGTGAGAACCTCAAGCACAGCGTTAAAGCCCATCAGGAGGTTATCGTCCCCATCCTTTTCGAAGATGCGGATGAAGGATTGCTTGAACATGGAAGAAGTAAAGCTATCCGTCAAAATCATGTGGCCACCTGTGGAGTTGCAGAGGCCCTTCATCTCCAGAAGACCGACCTGGTCAAGACAACCAGCAAAGATGTCGATAGTGTGGCCGTTGTGGGCGGTCCTCTTAGCAAGGTTATCGTAAAACTACTATGGCGTCAGCGACCCGACATGACATTCCCCTAGAGAGGGCCCGTCCGACGCAGCTGTCGTACGAGGTGGCGCACAACTTACCTTGAGCGCTTTCTTGTAGTACTTGACGTTATCGCGGTCGATATCGTGATGCGAACGAATGGGCTCCCTCAGCTCGGGGCCAACGACCATACCGGGGCCCTCGGTGGCGGGGCCACCAGCAAAGAGCATGATACGTCCACCGGCATTCTGGAACGACGTCTCAAGCAGCCCAACAGCGACAGACAGCGCCACGCCGGTGCAGCGCAGGTTCCTACGGTCGCTAGAGATTGGCCAGGGGTCCTTCTGCAATTGCTCGAGGGCCTTGGTGAGCTGGAACTCAGCTTGAGCCACGGGCAGAAGGAACCGGGAGGCAGGGCCCATCGGCATGGACCTGCCTGGCTGGTGCGCGGGCATACCCGGGCGCATGGCCGGTTGTACAAGGCCGAGCATTTCCTGGACTTGCTTGGCGGCATATTCCTTGCTACCTCGGAAAACGTACGATTTGGCACACTCGGTGTAACCAATCTCATGAACTTGCGCCATGGTCCCATAGGTGATCAGGCCAACCAGCGCATGCTCGGGGAGCAGGCTGAGGCTCATGATAAGCGACTCCTTTAGGGCGGCCAAGCTGTCTTCTTCCTGGCACGTGTCCACGACATAGAGGAAAATGGGCGGACTTGGGGCAGGGCGCGACAACCTGTACTCGATGGTCGTGTTCGACGGATGCAGCTCGGGTGGGATAGCGTTGGCGGTGATGTCCTTGTAGTGGGGCGGTAGGGGATTCCGCGAGAGACAAAAGGGGCAGATCCAGAGGCGGGCGCGCACGTCGACCTGGCTGTCGGAACTGGTAAGCGTCACGCTCTCGGGGCGGGGTGGCCAAGGGCAAGAGCCTACCAGAAGGGGTTCAGAACTGAGCGGCATGGCTGCTTGCAGGTGACGGGTTCAAACTGCAAGAGGGGCGTATCGGGCTTCTCCTTGAGGGGCGTGTAGAGAGCGCCAATGGGGACGACCAACCGCGACGCTTCCTAGAACCGTATCAGCTTCCGCAAGAAAAGGAGAGTTACTACCACATTATCATGTTGCGGGTGGCGAACACACCATACGGGTGCTGGGGAAGACGTTCCAGCTCAGACGGACGCCATCGCGGTCCTCAACCTCGCCCCATTGCTCCTTTAAAGCGTCGTGGTCCATCGCGGAGGATAATGATGTGGTCGGTTCAGGTAATCGGTTTTCAAGATGCGGTTATGGGTGAAGTTGGGGCAGAGACTCGGAGAAAGGATTCGAGATAACGGCGTGCCTAGAAGGGGTCTATATGCAAGCTGTCATCAGTCCCGATCTGGCGTTGAGCTTGAAGTGGCGGCCGCCGCACCTTGCCAGGAATCGTGTACGAATATTTGTGTGGACTAGGTTAGCGAGTCGAGCTTGCGCACCCTGGAGTCGGTCGCTGTCGGTCGATAACTTTCGAGTTTGGAGATCAATCGAGTGCGGCGGCGGCTTCACCGTGGAGTTCCGGGAGAATCGTGGGCCGGATCGCAGATGTAGTGCTGGGGTTGGTGCGCCGCTTTCCACGTTCGCTTCCACAAGCTCGGGCGCCGGATTGTTGTCCCCTCATTGAAAAGGACAAGTTCCAGGTCGGTCCCGCCAGCTTGTCGGGCTGTGTGGCGGAAGTGTGGCTGGTAGCCAACAGGGAAGTCTTGGCGGAACCCGCCCCACACCCTGATATGTGGGACGCCATTGGACCTCTCTCCTTCAACAGAGCTCGAAGGGCATTGCAAGATCTTAGGGCTCGGAGGTCATGATTTATACTCGTCTACAGATATCATCGGATTGAACGCACCCTACTCTCATCTCAATCTACATTTTTTTCTCGGAATTCACCACGTTCCCATTCATTTACTGTCCAGTAGCTCATAGCAACCCAAGTGAAACCAGGCAGGAGAGAAGCGAGCAAGTAAGTTTCCGGTATTATAAGCCGAGCTGATCACCGATGGGAGCATAACGATTCGATATATTTAACTTTCATCCGCCCGGCCCTTGGACCTCTGTTTCTAGGGAGCGGGACCGTATTCGCTCACAGGGTACTGTCTATGCGTGCAGCCTTGGGCACAAACGCCTCCCGCACCGACATTGTGGCCGGTATGACTTGATAGACATGAATATGTACGGCAACTATTCGAGAAGTAAACTTACGTTTTCAACCCGCAATTTGCCCAAAAGCGTACTATGGATTCGCTATGTCCTTCACACGTTTTCCCCATCTCTATCATCCCTCATTCAAGGGGGGTGTCTGACCGGGGAAATCTCGAAGCCACCTCGATACAACTTTCCGAATATGTGATTCACGGACAGTAGCGGTGCATTATGACACAGGCCACCAGACTGTGGGGTTTAGAAGGGCACAAACGGTGAGTCCGCACGAGCCTTTGCATTTTATAAAGAGAGAGAAAGAGAGAGAGTACTGTCTCGTTTACTTCACCTTATCTCATGCCATGTTATCTTCCCACAACCTTTCCGATGGTCAACGGGACATCAATACCATCATGATTCAGGGTTTGATTTTGGTATTGTTCACGGCGATTGCGTTGGTCAACGCACTGCCATTGCCTCTCCCTAGCCATGCCAGGCTACCTCGACGACAGAATGCCAGTGCTTTAGATCCTTCGGCGTTTTTGAGGAGGGCATACCATGCCTGTGGGTGAACCCCTCCGCCCCCACACTCAAACTGAATTATTGTTAACATAAGAAGCCGCTGTACTCAACCATAGGTTGTATATCGATGGGGGGGAACTATCCTACCAAAACGGGAGCGAGATCATCTACCAATACTGTACGGAAGTTTCTCTAGAATTATAGCTATTATTACGAGCGGCTAACACAGCCAGCCAACACGCTCCTTTCTTTGGACCTCACGCATGATTTCACCAATGACTCCGTCACTATCCAATCAGTCCCCAAACCCGCGGGTGTGCCCAATCTCAGCCATGGCGGCATCTGGATCAACCAAAAGGAGGGGACGTTATATACCGGATTTGCCGGTACCGCGTCACGGTTTGGGGACCAAGCGTTCTCCCCGCAGGGACTTTGGGTGTTTAGACCAGACGATTCGGCCGGGGGTTCATGGGGATGTCTTAATGGGAGTACCGATTCATGGTTCACGACACAACCGCGTCCTTCGCAGGTACAAGTGGCTAGCGGACGTGGGTACGGGTTTCTTTTCGGTGCTGGAAACGGGACTGTGCCTGGGAATTTGACCGGGCCGGGTACTGGACCGGGAACTGGAACGGGGACTGGAACGGGAACCGGGGTTGGGTCCGGAGTTGGAACTGCGGCCGGGTCTGATTCAGGGTCTGGCCCAGGTAGCCCAGGGTCTAATCTCGAGTCTAACCCAGACTCTAGCCCAGACTCTGGTCCAGAGTCTAGCAACGGGAACCCACAGCTGTCTGCTAGTTCCATCATCTACGACATGTCCAACCAAAAAGTCTATAACTACACTGGTTCCGGACCCAACACCGTCGGCCGCAGCGCCCCGAACCTCAACGGTACGACCTACATCCCTAACTGGGGGAACCGCGGCATCATCGTTGGTGTTGGTGATACACTATCGGCCCCACGAAACGGGAATACCAGCCAGCCAAGTCCGCCTTCTTTCGAGACAATACACATCTACGACGTCGATAAGGAGCGCTGGTATGACCAAAAGACCACAGGAGCTGTTCCTGAGCCACGCAAAGATTTCTGCATTACCGGGTCGCCATCCAGGAACCAGACACATGAAATCCTAGTCTATGCGGGCTGGAACGGGCAGTCGGGACCCAGCGCGACGGCGTATGACACAGCCCATGTTCTGTCGTTGCCGGGGTTTTACTGGGTGAAGGTTGACTATGAAGCTGCCCACCCCCGACACGGGCTCAGCTGCGAGGATGTGGGTGGTAGTCAGATTCTGGTCATTGGTGGTGTGGACTCGACACAGAACGGGAGTGATTCATACGCAGCGGGGTTTATGACGAAGGATCCGTTTCCGAATGGACTGGCTGTCTTTGATCTAGCCGAGTTGGCGTTTGGGCCTGTGTTCCACTCACAGCGGTACCCTCAGCCTCCCTCTCCGAGAATCTCGGCGTACTATGATGACTAGTATGTACCTCCGCAAACTTCAGAGTTTTTGGATAGACCACACTGACCTTCTTAACCTCACAGTGGCCGAGCCCCAGAGGACGGTTTTGCCAACTCAGATCTCGGTCTGCCCACCCCTGCCTCCCTTCCCAACTTTCAACCTTCCAGCTTCGTAACTAACCCCCCCTTTTTTCTTCTAGAAACGCTCTTCAAAACATACCACCCCACCCCACCGACCCCAGCCACCCTCCAACCTCCACCGCCCCAATCCACCGCATCCATTTTATCGGCGAACAGGGCCGCCGCCATCGGTGGTACCATCGGCAGTGCCACTCTCGCGGCTCTCATCACCTGGATTGCCGTGGCTATCTACCGATACCGTCACCGACACCTGCCAAATTTTGGCCACTCATGGTGGCGAAGCGGTCGAGACAGGGGTCTCGCCATAGAAGAACAGAATGGACTTTTGACCACCGTTAACAACGGAAGCGACAACTATGTCTACGACGGTGAAGCGGCACAATTTAAATGGTACCGCGGCGTGCTGAGAACCATTCCCCGGACCACCGCCGGCCGCGATCCGGGCAATCGCCCTGGCGCCTGGGAGAACGCCTACCGACGAACTCGCGGCAACTTCCCAGTCCGAGCCACGGGCCCCATCGAGCTCACCTCGGACCCGATCTATGAGCTCGAAGGCGACGGGCCGAATGAACAGTCCTCCGACTCCGAATACTCCGAATCGGACTCTAGCGCTGAGTACGTGCTACATCCGGGACCGGCCGATGCGGAAGTGGAATCGGTGCGGGCGAGAGAGCGGGAGGAGACCGGGGAGAATACGGAGGGGCAGTCGGGTGGTGCCGGGCCGTCGACGTGGGCATCGTCGCGGCCGAGGCGTATGCCTGTTGAGCCGTTGGACGAGCTGTTGAAGGACATGGGGTTTGCCAAATGATACAATAGGTCGGTAGTGTGTTAGGTTTAGTTGAGTGAGCGGGCGAAGCCATTACGATAGCGCAGAAATAGGTAGTAGTCCGGTGAAACAGGTTCCGATGCCAGCTTTCCCTTCGGTTTCAGAGCAAGAGAGTTGGAATACACGGTTTAACTTTTTGAATTACTTTTCATGTTGACATTACAACTCCGTACTCGCCATTTTATACAACAAATCCAAAACCTCCCTGGCCCGGCATTTACCAGTTGAGCGCGTAGCCTAGAGCGGCATACACCGAGGTACCCACTAGGGTAAAGTTGATCAGCGAGCCGGCGGCCGAGCCACTGAGTAATGCATGTTAGTATTCCTTGGAACTGGATTGAATGGGACATATGTAGGTGAAGAAGAAACATACACAATACGGCCCGAAGGACCCTTGGAGGTGTATCCAATGGCAAAGAGCACGCGGGAAACAGACCACGCACCACCCAAGCTGGCAGCCAAGGTGGGGTACTTAAGCCCGGCGATGAGGAGAGCGCCGAGGAAAGGGGTCAGGTTCTCGGTAAAGTTGTTGTGGGCACGCTGGGCTGTCCTGGGGTGTCAGTTTGTTTTCTTCTTCCGTTTGGTGCCTTTAAAAAAGGTCGGAATCCAGTAACATACCGCAGTTGAAGGTGAAAGCGCGCGGGTCCTTCTCGGCCTGCTCGGCGCTGGCGTAGCTGTTGGGGTACTTGATGCCGGCGGCCTTGCGGCTGCTGGAAGTGAGGAAGCCGTGTACAATGTTGACGACAAAGGTCGAGGTGGCGGCCAGAAGGACGTAGCTGGGGTCTTGTTAGTGAGGAGTCTTTGGGATGGAAATTGGAGTATGTAGGTACACACCCGTAGTCGTTGGGGAGGACGATGGACATTTTGACGGTGTAAAAAGTGTGGTTTATGAAAGTGGCGAGGAGTGACAGAAATCCAAGGTTGAGTGTTAAAGGTGAGTGTTGTGGTGAGAGATGAAGAGCAAACTGATGGGGCAAACTTTTCTTGAGTCAAAAGACCCAGCGCGGATGTTCAAATAAATACCTCCAACAAAGAATCCTCCCAAGTTGCCACGGTCTTCTGTTAGTTTCGGCAGTCTCCCCGCGTCCGGTTTGTTTCCAATACGCGCGCCCCTCGTACGGGGCGGATAGGTACTGTTGACTGTGGTCTTTTCGAGGTCAATTGGCCAATGGGCGTCCCGTATCCTAGCCCGGCGGGCCCAAAACTACCCGACGCCGACTTAAAAGTTTCCGTCGGCAAGAGCGCAGGAGCAAAGGTGGGTCACGGAGTCTCTCCGACGGCCATTTTCCCGACAAAGCAAACTAACGTTATGTTTCCCTCCTCGCTGTTCGCACTCCGACGGCCCGTGTCTGACATCGACCGTCGGCGGATGATTGGGACCATGGTGTTGACGGCTCCGAGGACCCTGGGAATGGATGCAACCATTATTGAATGCCGTGCGTCAGCTTGCGGCTCCTCCCGATTCTAATTCTAGAAGGGGGGAAGCTTCTGAAGCTGGGGGCCGGGGCATGTTCGAGTCACTGGGGGCCAACCATTTTCGATCAGCCAAGCGGCGCCGCAGATGACACCACCGGCAAGAACCGAAAATGAACGACCGCAAACATTCAATTAACTATCAAGGGTATCATTGTAACTTTGCTAACTGCTAGCTTCGACCAAATCTTGGAAAATGACTGCTGGACTTCCACGCAAAACCAACACTAGAGCTGCCTTCTAGCTTGAGCATCACCGCCTGAGTTACGCAAGCACAGGCACCTATCCCGTACACCTCTCCTCAGGCGGTCGCCACTCGAGCCCGAGCCCTTCAAACACACGCTTCTCGGCCGTGAGCATATCTGGTGCGGGCGTTCCATCGACGGCACTTTCGAGGTCAACCCAGCGACCATCGCGCCGGCTGCGGATGCCGCTGCTGTCAAACTTGAGTAGCCGCTCGTACTTGCAGTACCGCCGCAGGTCCCGCTGGAACGTCGTCCCGCTCGACCACCCTAGCACCGCGCACCCGGCCGTCTTCCACGGGCTGATGATAATGTCCACGCGCCGATGTGGTTTGGGGTTTTTCCGTTTGGCTTCACCGTCATTCTCGCCGCTCTCGACAGGATCCTGCCATACCACCATCGCCTTGTCTAGGGTGTCGAACCCGGCCCCGGCCTTTGCTGTTTTGGGGCCGTTACCCTTCCAGCTGACCGGCGCTTGTCCGCGCTCCGAGTTGGCTGTACTCAGCGACAGAGTATGCGTGATGCATCCGGTCCGCTCCAGCGCGACCACCAGCGCGCCAACAAAGTCCCGTGTGGCATTTTCATCCGGATGGCTCAACACGATGTCCACGTCGCCGCTCTCCAACTTCCCCCGCCGATACCCGCCGACAATGACCATTTGAAACCCGGGCACGATCGCATTCGCATGTGCTCGTACCGTCTCCCCGATAGCCTCAACCTCCGCACGCGGGATCTTCAGTTTGAACTCATCGTAAAACTTGACGCCGATTTGCTGCACCCGTGTGAGCGAATCCCACCCAAACTCGACAATGTCGTCGAGGTCGCGCCAGCCGCGGTTGTAGAAATCGCGCGCCGTGGTTTCGGCCACGCCCCAGATGTCATAGAACAGCTTCAGCACGGCTAGCTTGGGGTCCGTCTCGTCTTCGCGCGCCTCGCGAATCTGTCCGTTACCACTGTCTTTGAACTCTTGAAAGAGCATCGCGATCTTAGTGCCGCAACCAGGGAGACGAGCAATTTCTGGAAGCGGAAATTAGCCGACTCGTTGCAAGCTCGACGATGAAATGCGCCCCGGCTTACCCTGCGCCGTCTGTATGGTATATGGATATGCCGCAATGGTTGCAATCGCACTCGAGTACGCCCTCACCCCAACCTTATCCCCCATTAGAACCCTCGCCGTCTTGATCTTGGCGAGTTCTTCGATAAACCCCTCATTGGGCGGATGCACCAGCGTGGGGCGTTGGCACGAATAGGTACTGTGCAGCCATTTTGGCACTGGCGGCATCTGCCTCTCCAGTTCGCGCTCCGATGTGGTCTGCTTCAGCAGTCGCGGCGGCCGCAGGGGATGGCTGACGTATGTCTCACCTCGCCTTTTTTGTGACGACCGCGGCGACCGTGATGGGTGCTTGAGCGCAGTATCTGCGTCTGCGAGGGCACGTTTGATCACATCTGCGGCTGTCCGTTCGCCCAACTTGACCCCCTTGGATGTCTTGTGCATCGGTTCAGGTGTCTTTTTATAGCCCCGGTAGATTAAGTACTTTTCGGTGATGGGAAGCACCTCCCCAGCCGCGACGGAATCCGTAAACCAGCAGAGCTTGACCACCTTGACCATGGCTGCGGCCGGTATCGAGCCAACCGGGTGCCTTTGCACGTCGCCCTCGGACGCCGTGTCCGAGTCAATGTCTGAACTGCCCAACACTGTCGGCGTCGACATTTTTGTCCGTTTACGGGCCCCAGCCGTCGGTGTCACCGATGCAGAGCCCACTACTACTTCTCGCCGCTCAACCGCCTCCCCCTCCAACACCTCCTCCGTCGCTAGGTGGTGTTTCCGCAGCTCGAACAGAGCCCGTTCCTTGCGGAACACCTTACCCAACACAACTTCGGCCTCGTTGATGTCATATGTCAGCGTGGGGATCTGCCCCTCGAGGTCCTGCAGCTCATCGGAGCTGAGGTGGGCGGACAGGAGAAAGATGGTAGGGAAGGCGAGAGCGAGGTGGCTGGCGGATCGCTTGCGGGCGCCGGCGTCCGAGGTCATGGTGATTGCGGTTGAGGCGTCATGGGCGTCATGGGCGTCATGGGCGCTTCATATGGGGTGAGAAAGCATATGGGGTTAGAAAGGGGTGCATTAGAGGGTGAATTGTGATTCATGAGAGTTGGAGCTAATGCTAGAGACAAAAATCCGGGCAAAGTCAAAGAGAGCGCCTGGAGCTTTACTGTCTCGTGATGGCAAGAATAATCACAATCATCACGACCCTAGAAAGTAGCAAGAAGCCTGCCACAAGGCATTATCTACCTCAATGACGTGCATATTGAAATCTCGGGTAGATGCGACAGTATCGAGTAAAAGTGCGGGGCAGTTGGAGAACAGCGGGAAGACGAACCGGAGTTTCGAAGAACCTTAGGTTAGCCAAAAGAGGCACAGTGTCATATTCGCCCCAAGTCGGTAAATTACACGGTGAACACAGACATTATTGCCGTCCTGTTTTCTTGGTCTGTAATTACTGCAATTATCCATACTGTGTAACTTTGATGGTTCTTTCACGAACCAGACAATTTTGCTTGCTGAACAAGCGAACTAAATTAAGGCCAAATGCCTCTGGGAGTATTATTCTTGTGATTTTATGGCTGTGTCGCCCGAGGAGTGCGGCTTTGGGAACTTGCAAACATGCAGGATGTAATGTCACACGCATTAAGTGTACAGTCAGGTAAGGTGCTGTATTTCAGCTCGCGACATTTCTTACCGCTCAGCCTCAGCAAACCTCAGCCCTGCACTTCCTCTTTCATCCTCATTTCAGGCGCAGCTACCACAAGCAAGAGCACTCATTGTGCTCTCGCTCAACCACCTTCCTGCGGCCACATATTCTGCGCGATTCTGGTTGAGGGCATCCAATTTCGTAGCATTTTCTCATTTTCTCTGAATGCGCCCCCATAATCGAGTCATCTGACCGAGTCGGTCGAGAGAGCTGGAGGGGTGGGAAAAAGGGAATCTGGAACCTTAGGGACGTTAAGGTTCAGTCGAAGGGCACGCGCGAGCAGAATAAAAGGGCAACTGATCCCAACCCACGCCCATCAGTCTCACAGGATAGTCACAGACCCGAACCTCTTTAATCGGTACCACACCTCGTCGTCACCGATTTTTGTTCAAGCGCGTGACCTTCTTTTGCATTCACCTCAGCTTTCGCGCGTCGCTCACTACCTTTGAACCGAAGGGAACGCGGAACAAACACCGCAGCTTCGTGGCCACGATGGAGGTCGCGCAGGCGCTAGTTCGCGCCGTCATGCGCGCCTTTTACACAACCCAGGAGGTCCTGGTGATCGAGGCACTGGCGACACACTCAGCCCTGCGTGATGACGAGCTGGCCTATCTCATGAGGATGAACATCAAGGACATGCACCGCCTGTGCGCCGGCCTGCGCGACGCCCGTTTCCTGGTCGTGCACACCCGCCCGGAGATGCAGGAGGGCAAGACACGGCCGATCAACCGGACGTACTACTACATTGACTACCGGCAAACCATCGACGCCATCAAGTGGCGCGTGTACAAATCCGACAAGGATATGCAGGGCAGCGTGCAACCCGCCGATGAGAGCAAAGAGTACTCGTGCCCCCGCTGCCACGCCCAATGGACCCAGCTCGAGGTGCTTGACTCGGCCGGGCCGGCCGGCTTCACCTGCCAGCGGTGCGGCACCGTGCTGGAACGCAACAAAGAAAAAGAAGCGCCGGGCCACCAGCAGCTCTCCCGCATGAACAACCAGTTCAAGTTCATGACCGACATGCTCCAGGAAGTCGACCGCGCCGTGATCCCAGAGTGCAACTTCGACAAGGCCATGGCCACCCACCGCCCCATCGTGCGCGCCGCCACCCACGAGGTCCTCGCCAGCGTGCCCGTCGACCCGGCCTCCCTCGGCAAACCCTCGGCTGTCAAGGGCCTGGCGAATGTCGGGCCCAAGACGATGCACGTCACCATCTCCGATAACAACGAACAGGAACGCATCGAAGAGCGCAAGCGCAAGGAGAGACTGCTCAAGGAGAATGCGCTACCGTCCTGGATCACCGACAGCTCTGTGCCGACCATCACGACAACCATGCCTTCTACCACGCAGCCTCAGAACCAGTCCTTTGAGATGAAGGATGTGGCTGATGGAGATACCGCGCTCCCCGCGGCCAAGAAAGTCAAGTTGGAGACGGGCGCGGCCGCGGCGGTGGATAGTTCGACGGCGATGAGCTTCAAGATGGAGGACGAAGACGATGAGGAGTTCGAGTTTGAGGATGTTGTTTGAACAGGAAGGGCCAAATTGACAAGACGGGGGGAGAGAGCAGTAGCGGGTGTCTATTGTGTGAAGCGGGTCGAGGTGAACTAGGGGAGACAGAGGCGAAACAAACCCTAGATCATTCGACAATACTACTGGGCGCAACAGGGTGATGCCTTTGGCCCCGCGGTAGTCGGTAACTGAACAGGTCCTTCGAACGGGCATCTCGCGATTCTGGAGTTTGGGACCAAGGATGGGGACATACGCATCACATCGCCAATGCCCGAACCCCAACAACATGGCAATGGTTTTACCAGTAGTCAACCAACAAATGGATGGGGGGTAAAATCTCTAGTACTGGCTGCGGGTTTAGGAGACTAGAGGGGTTGGAAAGGCTAGGCCAGGCCATGGCGGTGGCCTAGTGCTAGGTAGCCTGTCCTCTCAAGACGGTACAGGGGGGCTCCTACGAAGTTACACGCTTCAGTCGAGGAACGGCGGGCCCTGACGGGTAGACGGGAGGTAGAAGGACCGAGAGCGGCATGATACGGGCCGCAAATACCAAGGGCCATCACTAGCAAAACATGACGGAATCGGGGGCATCTAGACATACGCGTACAAAAGCCGTCCTTTCCTTTCTCTTTCTTTTCCCTTGTACAACGACATAAATCTTCATCGTGGCGTTTGGGTGGGCGGTTGCTTCTTCTGGCCATGTATTTGGGACAATGGTGAAGATGGAAAGGAGACACAAAAACGAATATTTGCTCTTGGTAGTACCTCAGGGATAGAAAGAAACTTAATACAAAGCGTAACCAGCAGCCCCTTCCATTCGCCGTGTCAAGAAACTACCTAAGCAGGTGATAAGGAAGTAAAGCCTGGCCGTGCAAGAAGAGAAGAAAAAGGATTGCTACCTGCCTTGAACCGTTGCAAATAAATAATAACCCCGTTCCCCCCTTTCCCTTTCGGCCCCCTTTCTCCAACCCTTTCTTCTTTCCACTCCAACTCCACCAACCTCGTCCCTAAGCCATGTAGCTAGATAAATAACCTTGGATATCATTCCACCATTCATCATACATACTGCCGCAACTGTTGCAATCAAAATAGTTAGTAAACCATACTTTCAACGCCAACGAAGCATTGGCTACAACAGATCTACAAGAACTTCGCGGGGTATACTCACATCCAAAGTCAACGTCCGCGAACTATTCACCTCCTGGTCACGATACACACCAACCAAGCTCTCACTGTCCTGGAACAGCGTCGGCTTCAAGCTAATCACGATAAACTGCATCCCCGGCCCGGCATGCTCGCGGATGTACTTCTTGATCTTCTCCACGTTCGCATTGTCCAGCGCGGCATCGACCTCGTCCAGCACAAAGAAGGGACTCGGCTGGTAGCTGTGGATGGCGAACAGCAGCGCCAGCGCCGCCATGGTCTTCTCGCCGCCCGACAGGTGCTCCATGTCGCGGAAGCGCTTGAGCGGCGGCATGGCGTGGTACTTGATGCCCGAGAGGTAGGGTGTGTCGGTGTCTTCCTCCATGTCGAGGTAGGCCTGCCCGCCGAGGGGGTAGGCGTCGGAACGGGTGAGGTCTTTGTAGACGTGCGTGATCTGTTCCTGGATGTGGGCGAACGCGCGGTTGAATAGCTCGAAGCGCTTTTCTTTGACTGTTGTGAAGGCTTCGCGGGCCGCGCGCAGGGCTGCGCGGGAGTCTTCAAAGTCCTGTTCGGTTGATTCGAGTCGGGATTTGACGGACTCGAGGCGCTCCATGGCGCGCATGTTGGGGTTGAGCTTCTCAAGTTCGGCCGTGAGCGACGTGATCTTGTCTTGGAGCACATCTTCAAGGTCGTCGTCGGGCTGGGGGTTGTTTTGTTAGCTAGGCCGGCTAGAGAAGAAATAGGGGCAGTGGGGAAAAAAAGAGGCCATACGTTTTTGAGATCTTCATCTAACCCGTCAAAGTCAATCTCGATGCCGTAGTCGTCCATCGCGGTCTCAAGCACCTCGTCCTCGTCTTCCTCACCATCCACCTCCATCGCATCCTGGTCTTTGCGCAGCAGCTGGTCTTCGTTCGGGATATTGTCCAGCGAGCCCTCGCTCATCGGCAGCTGGATCTGCTCGAGCTTGCACCGCCTGAGCAACGCAAACTTTTGCGCGCTGTTCTTCTGCACCGCTCCCTCCAGGTTGGTGATCTCCTTCAGCCTCGACTCGATGTCCTTGCTCTTCTTCTGCAGGTCCTGTTTCGCGTCCGCCACCTTCTTGGACTTCTCGGCGTGGCTGGCCTTGACCTCCTCCAGCGATTCCTGAAGCGCCCCTAGCTCGTCCTCGTCCTGCGCCCTTGCCTCCTCAATGTCCTCCTTCTCGCGCTCGTACGCCTCGACGTCTTTTTGGTGTCGCTTCAGGGTCGTTTCCATGGTCCGTACGCGGTCGTTGGCACCGTCGTGCTGCGAAGTCTCCCAGGAGAGGTTGTTTTGGATGCGCTGCTTCTGGAGGTCAAAGTCCTGGCGCTTCTGCGCGGCCTCCTGCTCGAGGCTGCCCTGCTGCGCTTCGTAGGCCCGGATGTTCTCGTACCCGAGCCGCTTACAAAAGCCGGCAAAGATCTTGTCCTCGACCTCCGAGATGGCCTTGTCGAACTTCTCGACCGTTGCGCGCGTCCGCTCCAGCTCGCCCTCCTTCTCGGCGTACTTAGGCTGGTAGTCGCGGAGCTCCCGCTGCGCATGGTCCAACTCTTTTTGCTTGCTCTTGAGGTTCTTTTCGAATGCAGCCAGCTCGCCCTGTTGAAGCCGAAGACGCTGCTCTAGTGCACCTATCTCGTTTTGCAACGACTCTTCCGCAGCCCCTCGCCTTCCCGGCCGTGGGAGTTTTGCGATCTCGTCCCGATACCTCTCAGCAAGACGCTGCAGATTTTGTACATCATGCTCCTCAAACCGCTGCTTCTTGTTTCTATCCTCTGGCAACCGGCCACCTGACATGGTACCGGCTTTATGGATGACATAGCCTTGGACGGTAACCGCCTTGACTTGGATTTTCCGGCCGTAAACAATGTCCTTGGCCACATCCAGGCTATCACACACCACGGAGCCGCCGCAGGCGTATGCCATGGCTCGCTCCAACGAAGGGTCAAAGTCGATAGTGTCGATCGTCAGCCGAGCACCGGTGATCCCCTTGACGGCCGGGTTGGAAGTGTTGACCTTGATATTGTCAAGCGGAATAAAGGTCACAGGGGGGAACCGTTGGTCCTTGAGGTACTGGACACAATCAACAGCTGTCTTCTCCGTGTCCACCACAACGCCATCAAAGTCGCGGCCGAGCGCTGTGGCGACTGCCTCGTCGTACTTCTTTTGCTTTGGCTTGCACAACTCACCCACCCGGCCACGGACTCCCGGATAGATGCGCTTGAGATCGCTAATCATGTTCCTCATCTTTTTCTCCTTCTCGTTCTGGCGCCGCCCCATATCTGCGTCGTCGATTTTCCTCAACGTCTCACGAAGCTTCTCCTCTAGCTCCGTGTGGGTGTTGTTGATCCTGATCCGTTCCGACTGCACGCTGTTGAACTCCTTCTTCTTGGCGTCGATGTCGCTGGTTATTTGACGGACCGAATCCTGGCTGGCGTTGCGGCGGTCCTTAATCGCCTGGACTTCGCTCTGCAGCTTCTCGGCGGCAGCCTCAAAGTTGTCGATCTTACCTTTCAGACTGTTGACCGTCACCTCGTCGCCTTTCAATTGGCGCTCCAGATTCGATAGTTTGGCCCGGTTGTCTGACGTTTTCCTCATGGCGTCCGCCTGCAGGCTGGTGTACTCCTTGAAGTCCGCGTCACTCAGTGCCTTGCCTTGCCGCTTGAGGGTTTCGGTCCACTGCTTCTCGAATTGCTGGTGTGCCTTCTCGACGGTGGTTAGATCCTTTTGGAGCTTTTGAATGTGCGCTGCCTTGTCGTCGCGGTCCTTCTTTACATCAGAAATCCGTTTCCGGAGTACCGACATATCCTGTGAGCTCTGACTGATCTTTTCGTCAATAGGCACGAGGCTGTTGTCCCGGTCCTCGATGCTCTTCTCCTTGCCTTTGATGTTTCTTTCGATCTTGCTGACCTCGCGGCCGACCGTTGCCTGCTCCTTGCGGGCCTGTTCGAGTTTCTTTTCGAAAGCCTCCACATTGCGGCGGAACTCTTTGAGGTTCTCGTGATGCACTTGGATTTGAGCGCTCGACTCGTCCATCACACGCTGAAAGTGGTATAGCTTCCACAGGATATGAGTAATGACCGCCTCGTCCCGTTCCTCTGTCTTCTTCTGGAAGTTTTCTGCCTCCTTCTTCTGTTCCTGGTATTGCTTGATTTCCGAGTTGATGCCTCGCCTCCTGTGGAGCTGGAAGTTTTGGTTCTCTGCGGCCTGCTCCGCATCTGCCTGGAGCTTCTCATACTCCGCCTTGTACTCCAGGCTCCCCGAAATCTGCTCGATCAGGCGCGTCAGGTCCTGTGGTGATTGCGACGCAATGGCCTCGACATCTCCCTGGAACACCAGAAAATTCCGCGCCTTGATCAGGATGTTCTCCTCCTCCAAGGCCTCGTTGTACTGCTGGGCGGTAACCACTCGCTCGTTAATGCGGTATTCGCTGCTGCCGCTACTCGTGATGCTCCGCTTCCACCGCTGTTCGTCCCCTGCATCGTCTTCGTAGACGGCCATCACCCACGCCGTCTTCGGGTCGTTTCGAGATGCTCGTTGGGAGTTGTCTTCGTCGTCACCATTTACGTGCCCGTTAGCGTCTCCGTTAGTTGCCGGCGCGGCGGTCCCATCGTCCTGGATTTTAGACGTTTTCATGACCCGACCCCGGTAAACGAGGTCGCGAAGATGTGACGATCGTAGGTGTGATGACTTGATACCTAGAACAAAGGAGATGGCGTCCATTCTAGACAAGAGAAGCCACACTGTCAATTCTGCAACAACAGCTACGCTATGCGACACAATACAAGCGTAACTCACGAATTCGATTTGCCCGAGCCATTGGGGCCGATGATAGAGGTGAAATACGAGTCGCCAAACAGAAGGGTATGGTGGCCCTTGTAGGACTTGAAGTCTAACATTCACGGTGAGCTTCCACCACGGTGCTACACGGGTTATCGATTTCACGCACTAAAAAGCTCGAGACGGATGAGCTTCCCCATGTTTGCGGGCTGCTCCGGGTCGCAGAGCCCGTTCTCTCGACTTCGTCGCGTTGGAAATTCGGCGGCAGAGACGGAAAAGCGCGATAGACGAAAGTTCGGGGAATCTCACGCAACAATGGGCCCGAAAACGCGCGTGGATCTCAGAGACGGGTCGGTGTTAACGGCTGTAGCCTCATCGGTCGCGCTAGGTCCCGCCTTCGCAGTTGTCGCGACAAACCCGAATTTACAATCGCGCCGCAACACAAGGATAGTCTAGTGGGGGAGTGTGCACGGACCCAGACCCTTCCACGTCTCGCACTTATCGCCGGGGTGTGAGGCGCTTCGGGGTTAGGGTTGACTACGACAAGCACTCTGAAGCAGGCAGAAACTCGTGGGCTGTTTCTGAAACTCCCAGGAATCAGTTAGTTGACGCTGCGATGATACGGCTTTGGATTTTCGATCCCTTCTTCCCCCGAGGCTTCTGAAGTCTCCTTCCTCGAAGCGCCTATCCACGGATCAAGACCAAGAATAGTACCCTTGGAAGATAGGTACCTTAGGTACTATGTAGTCCCAACGGATAGGCTGCAGGCTCTTGTTAATGCCGACGAGGCCAGATCCTCTCTACTGTGGAGGAAAGCTTAAAAATTTTATCAAACCAATACAAGAATCATTCCACAACCTCTCGGATCGTTTCGGCGCCCCTCCAGAATTTGAAAGGCGTGGGCTATCAGCAGGTCTCGGACGAGACATGGTGACCTGCCTGCAGGTGCTAACAGACTCAGCCTTCAGGGTTACTGTCGCCGGCCCCAGGCAGTTTTGTGCAATTTTTGTCCAGTAAAAAGCGCGGATCTCGACACGCCAGGCCGCGAGCCAGTCGCAGGGGTTCTCTGACTCGCTGAGCTGCAGCTTTCACATCAACACCTTTTGCCTGGCTCGTGGGTCAGCTGGGCACTCCCTGCCTGCCATCTGCCATCACAAGCTCCTGTCGTGGTCTCTCGACTCATCGCCCAAAAGGGACGAAGTCCCAACGTGACAAGCTCCCCAGGTCCCCCGCCAACAAAACCTTGGGGCTTCCTATAGCCCATTCATTGACCCTTTTTTTGCACGTCAATGTCAAATTTGTGACATTAGAATCACCAACATCATCAATACCACTTCGTTCTCATCTATCTGCGAAGCATAAACCCAAGCTTTGGCCAGGTCATTCGCGGTGCAGGCCGAAAAGCACCGACACAACTTCTGCCATTCCTAACGCAGCACGCTCCGATCCCTCGAGACCAAACAAATCGACAACAAGGGAGAGGATATTTCGTCCAGATATCTGCATATCAGCTTTTCGCGCGCTGCCGTTGTTACATCCGATCGCCTCGACCGTCGATCCTGTGTAAGTCGCCGCGGTCCACCGCTTCTTGAGGTTCGAGGGCCGTCTATTTGGTGCCACATTCATGACTATTCCCTGGTCTGCGGTGACCAACTAACATCCATCCCTTTCCAGTCCAGCCCCGATTTCGTCTCCACAAAAGCGACGTTTCCCACCACACCGATCGCTGACATCTAGCACGGACACCAGCTCCAGCACGAGCTCGAGCGCGCGCACGCCGCGATTAGACGAGATGGCGGAACCAGAAAAGGGGAGTAACCCCATACCGATTCCCGGTAGCAAGTGGGAGGGCGCCTCGACCGACAGCGAAGCCGTCTTAACACCAGATATGGGTACAACGCCTCCCGACGACAATTTCGAACACGCCGTCACCACGCCCACCATGGGCCCAACGGTGCCCACGAGTCCGCGCCTGTCGCGAAACCCGTCTTTCTCCGGGAGCAGCTCCTATCAAGAGGACTGGGATCCGTTCCCGCCGCTGGACCGCCTCACAGTGCTCGACATTCTCGATAACTTCGCGCTTTCGCAGCAGATTGAGAAGCTCCAGAAGGGGATATCGGCCCAGACGGAGAAGGTGCGCAAGTCACGGGCGGCTTTTGGCAACCGGAGCCGCATCGCCCGCGAGCGCATGGTGGACGAATGGCGCCGTCGCGTGCCGTCGGCCGATGAGCAGTTAGACCGGTACCGCAAGCGGATGCGCAAGAGCGTCGAGAAGCTCGGCGCGCGCTGGAATGACACCAAGGCCATCACGCTGCGCGAGAAGATCTCGTTCATCTGCGGCGTCATGAACATTTTCGTCAGCGGCTACCTGGTCGGCGCATTTCCGGAATACTTCCACCTCTGGTACACCGTCCAGCTGCTCTACTTCATGCCCATCCGCTTCTACACCTACCACAGGCGTGGCTACCACTACTTCCTCGCCGACTTGTGCTACTTTGTGAACATGCTGCTTATGCTCAGCATCTGGGTCTTTCCCGATTCGAAACGCCTCTTCACCGCCGTCTACTGTCTCGCCTTTGGAAACAACGCCGTCGCCATCATCATGTGGCGTAACTCGCTCGTTTTCCACTCGTTCGACAAGGTCACCTCCCTGTTCATCCACATCATGCCGTGCGCCACCCTTCACTGCATCGTCCACCTCATCGACCCGGCCTTCCAGCAGGAACGCTTCCCGGCCCTCTGGACCATCAAGAACTCGCCCGCCGGCTCGTCCACCGCCTACGCCAACGTCTTCTCCATGCTCGCCTGGTCCTCCATCCCGTACGCCTTCTGGCAACTGTCCTACTACTTCTTCATCACCGTCCGCCGGCGCGAGAAGATTGCCGCCGGCCGCCCGACCTCCTTCACCTGGCTGCGCAAATCCTACAGCAAAGTCTGGATCGGCAAAATCGTCCTCGGCCTCCCCGACGCCCTGCAGGAGCCCGCATTCATGCTGATCCAGTACATCTACGCTGTGCTCACCATGCTTCCCTGCCCGCTGTGGTTCTTCAGCCGCTGGGCCTCGGGCGCCTTCCTCACGCTAGTCTTTGCCTGGAGCGTCTACAACGGCAGCACCTACTACATCGACGTTTTTGGCAAGCGCTTCCAGAAGGAACTCGAGGCCATGAAGGCCGAGGTCGCGAAGTGGCAGCAGAGCCCAGACGTGTGGCCACACGAGGACGGGGGCCTGGTGTCCCCCGGTGGCGGGGCTGTGCCTACTACCGCCGTGGGCGGTTTAAATAATGGTGCTGGGAACGACGGTGAAGGGACGAAGCCAGGGAGCCTCGCGGATGGGATCTCGGGTAAGGCGCTTGATGATGAGAACATCGGGAATGGTGGCGGGGTGGATAACATCCCGCTGCTGAACGACGAGCGGCCTGCGGCGGTGGTTGCGAGCGGGGCGGATACTGATGGGGGCGCGAGGGATGTGGCGAGGGAGAGGAAGACGGGGGGTGGTGGGACATCGTCGCCGTTGTTTTGATGGTCATTGTTCTGTTTTGTTTTTGCTTGCTTGTTTGAACACCCTTTGCACGGTAATGAGGTCCCGGTGTGGTTATTTCCCAAAGGGTGGGGTTGATGAAACGTCCGAGAGAGATGGGGCTAGCAAACCTCAGATAGGCTTCGCTTGGCAGGTTTCGAGGGACGGTTTGGCTTTTTCGTTTCTTTTTCCTTTTTTTTCCCGTTTTCGAATAATGAATGAATGAATGAACACAACAACAACACACGCACACGAAGGCCCTGGCGGCAGATAGGTAATAAGACACTGCTTTGGGATATTTGGGAGATGGATTTCATCAATCCATTCTTTTACTCTTTTTTGCTCACTCTTTTGGATCACTGGGTTCCCTGGAACGGGTGGAAGCTGGGGCGAGTGATAGATATGAGGTCAGCGTTGAGGTTCGGGATGGGGTCGATCAGAGATAGGGGCAGTGAGAAGGAAAGCGGTGGAAATAGGGACCAGAGACGAAAGCAGGGGGTGGCTGGGAAGAGGGCGGGACCAGAGAATGCACCCTTTTTATGATGATACCCTTCTTTCATTATTACTTGGCTTTTCTTTGGGCTATATGTTGTTTGGCGCGTGTCTATATCGCTGTGGTTGTCGTCGCTCGGCCGGCTTTTTCACGTGATGATCGTTCTTTAGTTGATAACACCGACACAGGCAACAAACAACTTTGCTTCCCATAACGCTATTTCCATCGGACCGCCGTCGTCATGTTGGTGAAGGTTGTATGGAATGAGGTGGCAGGCGGTTGGGTAGTTCAGGGAATGGACGTGTTTCGGGCCCATCGATGATGCTGCGCAAAATAAATTATCTCCAAGATGTTCACGCGCGGAAACAGGCCATCCAACGAGCATCATCACCTCGCCCACTTGAAAAACAGATTCCCGGCGTTTGTACAGCCAAAAAGAAAGTCCACGGGATAACACCACCCAGGCGGCTATCACAACACGAAAACCGATGACAGGGACATCATACGTCAAGAGGCCTTTGCGGCTGGCATTCATCAAAGCTAAGTAAAGCAAGCGAAGCTACCTCGGCTTATGTCTCCATACTAGACGCAAGTCCAGCCCAGTCCAGCCCAGCCATCCTGACGTCCTTCGCTTCATGGAATCATCATGGCCGTCATTTCAAATAGTGCAATGTTGCCTCCCAGCCCAACCCAATGCCACTAACTCCGGGCCTTGTCCCCATTTCCCCAGTTCCCATTTCCCGGTTTCCTAGTTTCTCCCCTAAACACCAGCCCCAACTCCCAACCTCCGTCCTGGTCCTGGTCCCGTTCCAACCCAGTTCGCCCGAGGAAATGCGCAAGGCCATCTGAGAAAACAATTGCTCGTTTCCATCGCCTAGCCCGCCACATGTGTACGTACCATGGGAAACGTGGCGGGGGAAGGAAACAAATGGTAAAAAGCAGCAAAGAAAGAAAAAAAAACCCGGGGCATCATTCCTTCTCCCTCATAGTGGGGGAGAACGTGTAAAAGAAAATCAACGCCGATAGACCCCCATGGATCCTAAGAACGAGTAGGGAGTTGGGGAAAAGCCCTCGAAAACAAAAAACAGAAAACAAAAAAGCAGTCCCCCCTGCCATGCAGCCGTTCCTCCTTTCCTTTCTTTCCTTCCTTCCCGTGGGAAATCCGGAACCGGGGGAAAAAAAACCACGAAATCATCCGCCGCCCAAGCCCATTATACCCCCAGATCCCGAATCCCAAATCCCAACCTCTTAACGCTCCGCAGCTTCGTTCCTTCCTTGGGGTATCTTTGGCAGGTAACCAGGAGATTTGTCAACAGACAAGACCAAAAGGTAGGTCTCGTTCCGCATATCCACTCCTGATCCCTTGTATTCCTAACCCGCTCCAATTCCCATATGTGCGTGCGCTGGTATAACCGATATCGTTGATCCCCCAGTTTTTGCCGCGCCTAGGCCGGGGAACTCGCTGCTATGCCTGCGTGAAGGAAGAAGAAAAAAAACGATGCATAAAAACAATGAAATGCATAAAGAAGAATAAGAAGCAACGCTGATGATTTCCCTCCGCTCGCTGTATTTCGCCGCTGAAGTTTGTTTTTCAGCTGCGAGGCGTTGCGGCAACAACCGCGGCGGTCTCTATCCATTTCGTTCCAGGGACTACCGGATAACCGGTAGGTCAATACTGCCGCCTAGTAGCCTGATCGGCTGCTTGGGCTTGAATACCTCCCAGAACCGTAGCGTCTCGTCACCAGCGCCCGTGACGACCTGGGTCCCGTCGGGACTCATGGCGAGATACAGCACACGGTAGGTATGCCCCGTGAGGCTGGCGACGCGGGTCATGGAGGGGTATTTCCAGATGACTAGGTTGTTCTGGATGTAGCCGTGGGTAGAGACGAGCTCGTTGGAGTTCTTGGACCACATCAGGTTGCAGACTTGGCTCCCCGTGTCGATGTCGTTGCGGACAGCGCCGCGGACGGTGTCGTGGAAGATGATGCGGCGGTCTGCGGTGCCGCCGCCCGAGGCGAGCAGGCCGCGCTGGTGTGGGGACCAGGCAAGGGCCTTGACGGCTGCGATGTGCTCGTTGAAGGTCCACAGAGGTTTCTGGTCCATGACTTTGTCCCATACCAGAACGGTGTTGTCGTTGGAGCCGCTGGCTAACTGGCCATCCTGGCAGTTCCACTTCAGGCCGCACACTTCCTGCTTGTGCCCCGTCAGTTGCTTGACCCACTGGTCTGGTGCCCGGACGTCGCGGTGGAGGATGGACCGGTCGCGGGAGCCGGTGGAGAGGATGTGGGCGTTCCATGCAAGGGAACCGACGCGCGCGGTGTGGCCCGTCATGGTCCGAAGTCTCTTAAACTTTTGGGCGTCCCAGATCTGGACCAGGCCCTTCTTGGTGCCGACCGCGATATGCGTCCCCTTCTGGATCCAGGATACACTGGTAACCTTGTCGTCCTCAAGTGTGCAGAGCTTTGCCACCTTGCCGTTCTGTGCGTTGTACATAAAGACGCCAGTGCCGAGGCCAACAGCCAAAACGTCGGAGCTGCCCCAGTCCATCAGATTAAGATAGAAGTCCTCGGCGAGATTCGGAGCATCCAGGACCTTGATCGGGACCTTGGCCACCGTCCTGTGCTGGCGCCTCGGAGCAAGAAGCATCTGCTGACTTGTGTAAGATATAGGAGTGGTGCTGTAGGTATCCAGGCGAGGATCCGGGATGAGATTGTGCGCTCTCTGGGGCGTCTTCCGAGGCGTCGAAAGACCGATTAGATGCTGATGGCGAGGCGACACATAGGAAAATAGGTTCTTCTGAGGGGTCGCGGGGAGGGATGGCGTATTCCTAGGTGGCGTCCGCATCCGGTCATCGGGCGTCCATCGCGGTGAAACTTGCGGGACACTAGCGTCATCAAAGATCTCGGCGCGCAAAAGCTCCCTGAATGTCTCATCGGCTTCTTCACCTATAAGCTTAGTTAGACCGGCTGCGAACAAACGACACCGAAAAGACCACCGAAATCGCTTACTCTTCTGAGAGCGATATCCCCTAGGCGGACTCCTCGGCCTACCCCTCTCCGGGGTCGGGCGAGGTGGTGGGGGAATCAAGTGAAACCCAGATTGCAAGTCGCGACCCGATCGCGCGGGAATGAAACTGAGATTCAATTAGCGACGGGTCCAGGCGCCCCTCTCGGAAAGAGTTTCCCCAACATACCGATCGGCGTCGATCCGTTGGCGCTTCCTCCGCGGACTCCCATATCGCTGCGAGTCCGTAGATCGTACGCTGGCAGGATCGGTGTGGTCGTGCGCCGCAGATGAGGGGCGAAGCTGGCCGAGCGATGTGCCGGTCCGAGAAGAGGGGGAGTTGTAGGTCAGCAGCCCCGAGGCCGGTCTCGCCACGGAAGGATGGACGAATTTTCCGCTAGCAGGCTGTCCTTGTCCCGCCGGATTGGCCGATGTTGAAGATTCGCCCTCTCGGGCGTTTGAATGTGTCATTTTTGCCGATCGGTGATGATTAGAAGGTGACGAGAGGGATCGGTAAATCGTGCATGCGAGAGAAGAATGGGGGATTGGGTAGGCGCTTCTTTGCTAAGGCAATATTTCTTTGCGAAAGAACGCGCTCGTGTGGTGAATTCTTTAGGTTCGCGGGCGATCGAAAGAATGTGCACTATATTTCTAGGGATAGAGATTTGAAGGAGCGCCGCTTTGGAGAGCAATTTGATAACCGCAAGCGCCGAGAGAGTTGCCGAGCACTTTGTCCTGCTTAAATAAATGCGATGCGAGCTCGTAACCCTGTTTATCGCGAAAATCCAAAGCAAATCGGTCGCCAAAGTCGCGTTGAAAAATGGTTCGAACGCAGGGGATTATCGATACAGCGACGCGATAGGATAAAGAAAGCCGCACCCAGCCTGTTGGGCTCGCTCGCGATCGGTTCGTCGAATGGCGGGGCAATGGGACAACGGGCCACGGCGCAGAGCCCTAGGGCGCAGCGCGTTGGTTCAAAAGGGATATCCAGGGATCAGAATATCGTCTCAATCGTGAGGATTCGTAGGAAGTTCAGATCGGAACCGGGGCGGGTGGTGGTGAGGACGCAAGGTATCGACGGTGAGGGTGATGATGCTGTGTGGCAGGGCGGAGAAGTTGTGATTTGAGAAGAGGGAATGGAGGTTGGCAGGAGTGGACATGGGGAGGGTACCTCAGGTACTTGCCGCCCCCTGCTTGAGCAGAGTGAGCATGTCCAGTGTGTGGGTCTGGTGCATCCGACGGGCCTTATTGTAATTACAAAACCATTGTCGGACTGTAATAAACAGCCTGTCATCTTATTGTATCATGCAAATGCACCAAATTACCGACATTTTGCATACCATTCTCCCATTTTACGATTTCCGTCCTGAGGTTTCGCCGTACACAAGCAATCGCGGGATGGGCAGCCGTCGCGCTCTGCACCCCATTCGCCCTTTCAAAGGCCAGCCATCCCGGCCTGCATGAGCCCATCAAAACATCGAGAACAACGTGTGGTTCACGGTTTGTGCGACTTGGCGGCAATCAGCGCCAGCCGCATTCAAGATCAACGGCTCCTCACAATGTCTTCATCCACATCAGGGTTTGTTTTCAATGTTTTAGTTCGGCTGCTGGCAACATCTCCATTTCTTACACGTATTTTTTGGAAGCAAATTTCCTCAAAATCACCTAATAATATGCTCCTCAGCCTCCAAGTGTGGGCCAAGTCGAAAGCCGGGAAGTGGAGAGGAATTCTTGAACAACAAAGAAGGCCCCAAACAGGCAATTTCTGTCTCATTATTTATTACCCTCTTCCTGTTCTCCTGCCCTCATGATTCGTGCTGTTATTCGTCCCCAATATTTCTCCCTGATGCATTCTCCGGTCAAACCCAGTGAGGGGAGGGGGTGCAGCAGGCCGCAGGAAAAGACCTCACTCAACCACATCGCTCTCCTGGTTCGTCAAGCTCAGGGGGTTTGTTGTTGTTTTGATTTCTGCCCAGCCGCAGACTGCATTGGCGGCGCGGACCGTTATGAGTGGCTGAAAAGGCCCGGCTTTGCAGGCTCGTGCCTGTCCCACAGGACCGACCTGCGGGCGGGTGCTGAGCCGCTGACCAATCCGAGGCGCGTTTGCACGCGGTTGGCCCCGCGTTGGGTTCGCGTTTCCAATTAGACACCTGCTCGCTGAACGACTCCCCCTTGCTTTCATTTGATATGCTTCCCACCAACCCTTCATGGAAAACGCGTTGAGTCCTTGACCAAGTTCGACGGAGCCCCAAAACATCATGGGCTGATTGAGCAAGCACTCGGATGCAAGGCACGTTGTGGAACGCGTGCTTTCCCCTGCGTAAACGCCCGTGGCAATTTCCCCCCAGGCGATTTGACAGATCTTGAACGGAACACTTCCCAAGGGAATGAACTGGGTACTCCGTACCGACATTGAGGAACCCCCGTGTAAGGAACCGTCCCCAGCGCTCGTAAAGTACGAATAGACAACGTGGAACGACGAAAATGCTCCAATCCGCAACATCCCGCCGGCCGACAGCCAAACTTGGTTCAGCAATCTGCAACACCGTTGATCGACCGGGCGCCAACCTTAATCCCGCTCGGCTGGGGCTGGGCGTAGTTACCTCCGAGAGGTCCGACCTTGCACGTCATTCTTCCCAAGGAGGCAACATGATTGTGACAAGTTGGTGGTTGATATTCGCAACATTTGCAGTCTAGTCGCTTGGATGAACTTCCCGATCTCCTTCGATCCTCTTGATTTCCCTCCCAAGTACGATCAAGATAGCGGCTAATCAAATTCGATAATTATGTGTGCTATCAACCTGCCAACACCTCACGGTCCTTCCAAGTTTCACCACGATTCTTCTTCAGCTCACTGAATGCGGTACCCGGAGTGACCACTTGCTGCTCGGCTCGGCAATTATCGATTGGCTGCCCCATCCGTCAGGCATAATGTTACTTCGTAGAGACGTACCTAAATGGCACCTAACACTAATCGCATCGTGTTCGCCAGATCTTGGGAAATCCCGATCGCCTCGGAAACCCCGATCGCCGTTGAGAGCAGCGGGCCGTCAAAGTTTAAAATTCACAGCAACTGGTCAATAGGAGAGCAGATGTTCTTAAAATACTTCGGTCCCCATTCATCGTAGACGTTTTCGGGGATCGATATCCTCAGTCATTGACATTTCTCAAACTACTTACATGGAGCAAACTCATCGAGTTTTAGAAGCGGTGGTCCACCACAAACACCCACCTCCTCTAATTACACATAGATAACACCATCAAGCTCTCGGAGGTGCCGACGACGTCTATCCCCGGAGAACCGCTTGACTAGCTTGTATATTGATGGCTAGGGGGGCGTTGCTTGTATTTTGTAGGCGGGTCGTGAAAGCCTGCATGTCTTGATATAATTATGTTGACCAGCTAGATGAAAATCAAAACACAAGAATCATCTCTCGGTCTTGGAAACAATCTCCACACTGTCTTTTTTTTCCCCACAAACCCGGAATTAAAAGGTCAAGGTATCAATACTTTTTCTCCCAAAAGGGTACATGATCCCGGGGGTGGTTAACCTCGAAGAGAAGGTATTAATTATCCATCACGTTGGTGTTTGGAGTTATCTACCAAGATGCGAGTCATAATTACATAGAAGTTCGGTTTCAAACGGACTATCAAATTATAATTATATCATCTGCTCAAAACTAATTTACCCCCCCCCCCCCCCCCCCCCTTGCCCTATCCAATATCCAGCGGCCGAGGCAGCAAATTTTGGTGAGCGTAGCAGACATGATTATCATGTTGCTGTGCGGATCGATCATGATCACTAAGCTGGATATCCGGAGTACTTGAATAATTATGGAGCATTATGAAACCTAGGGGTTTTATTCACCTTATTCACGGAATATGGCTATCACTAAATGTCAAACAATCCAATGCAATAGTGACCAAGTATATTGGTTCTCCTTTCACTTCCCCTCCTTCCCAGGTACTCAGTCATACTGAAACAACCGACTCACACTCTCACCGTGATGCACCCTCCGAATAGCCTCCGCAAACGTCGCACTCACATCCAACACCTCTAGCTTAGGACACGCCGCGCGCCGAACCGCCGACTGCGCGACCGTGTTGGTCACAACCACGCGGTCGAGTGCCGAGGCGTTGATGCGCGCGATCGCGTCGCCGCTTAGCACGCCGTGCGTCAGCAGCGCCACTACGCCTGTTGCCCGCCCTTCCCGCTTCAGTAGCTTGGCCGCTCGCGTGATGGTGTTGGCCGTGTCGACTAGGTCGTCGACGAGGATGCACGTGCGGCCGGCGACGTCGCCGACGAGCATCATCGTGGCTTTGGGTGGGCAGTTGACGTTGGTGTGACGACGTTCTGTTTTGGACGGGTCAATATTTTGCTCAGAGTTTGCGGGGAAGCGGGATTATCATGAGAGCGAAGCACGAGACGTACCCTTGTGAATGAGGGCAAAGTTGAGTCCGAGGCTATCAGCGATGGCGATGGCGCGTTTAGCGCCGCCCGCATCAGGGCTGACGATGACCGCATCACGGTAGCTGGGGATCCTACGCTCGATGTATTCCTTGAGCAACGGGCGAGCGTAGAGATTGTCGACTGGACAAGTGAAGTTAGCAAAAAGACCCACCAGCACCCAACCCCCCCTTAGAACCTTCGAGGACCCGTGGTAAAGGGGACATACCCGGAATATCGAAAAACCCTTGATAAGCACTCTCATGGAGATCGCACGTCAACACCCTGTCCGCTCCAGCACACGTCAGCAAGTCCGCCACCAACGACCCGGCCTGCGCCATGAACTGCTTATGCCCTGACCCGGCCTGCAACGCCATCGCCAACGACGGGTTCTCATAGTCATGCGTCGTGTACTGTTGCGGCGCCGGCGGAAGCCCCAGGGCCGGTGTTGCCCAGCCGCTACTACCCCCCCCAACCCGCGCAGCCGACGGCACCCGCAAGGTGCTAAACATATCTATCATCTCAAACCCCGGGGCGCCCAGTCCTGAGGTCCGCGGGACATGCGGCCCCGGCGTGACGGGGACACTCTCGAACGTGTACTTGGCCGTGCCCGTTTTCCCCTGTGCGTCGCCTCCTCCCCTTTCTGCTCCTCCGTTTTCTCCCCCTCCAGGCGGCGGACCCATGCCGACAAGCGGAGCGCCGACCTTGGAGAAAGGCAGATCCGGTTGACGGGAGTAAGGGAATAGGGGTAGGACGGCAGTGACTCGCCTTGCGCTCCCTGTCTTGCACGCCGAGATCATGATGCACAGTTCGATGAAGTAGTCGTTGACCGTGTGCTGTTTCTCTCTGGGAGCGGCATGGGGGCCATGCTTCTTCTCGGCTTCGTCTTCGGCTTCGTCCTCGTCCTCTCCATTCCTATGCCCAAGTCCGACGCCACTATCGCCGTCCCCGCCACCTTCTCCTTCTTCCCCCTCCAACTCTCCCTCGTCATCATCATCACCTCCACGACCACCGCCATGACCACCGTCGCCATGACCACCCACCCCGAAGAACGACGCCCGCCCAAACCCAAGCCCGGACTGATCACCGCACCCAAAACTCTGCACGATGTACACATCCTTCCCCCTTACCGAGTCGCGGATCTCGCACCGGGTTTCGCCGCTTGCAAACTTGGCCAGTAGCCTGTTCGAGGGCGCGATGCCGAGCGACGTGGCAACGGCATCGACAAAGGATGGGTGGGAGGACCCGGAGAGGAGGACGAGGTTGCGGACCATTTTTTACGATTTTACCCCCCTTTCCTAGGTTGTGGTGGTTTTGTTCTGGATCCTTAGGCGGTCTCTCGATGATGTGAGATCCAGTCGAGTCGAGGGTTGGTGTGTTGTTTGGAGTGCGGACTTGGCTGGCTGTTTTTGGCTTCGTATGTGTCCTTTTGATTTGTTGTTGTTGTTGCTCAGCTTGCTCATTACTTGGTGAAACCAACAAGCGTGGTCTAATTCCTCAGGACGGTTAGTAAGTTTTTGTGGGATGTGTTGGACAGCATAAAGCTGCAAGACGTCAACTCAAGGTACCTTATTTCAGGCACTAGCCTATATCAGCAAACACACTATATCTTCGCAGTCTTAACAAACGGAGAAAAATTGTGTAAGGTGGTAGGTTGAGAAAAGGACGGGAAACGAGAGGACAAGCACAGAACAGAGTGCTCGGATTGGGCACCGAGACAGGTCTCACCCAAAGTGCTTGAAGGAACACAAACAGGGTTGAACGAATGGAAGAGAGCATACCACTCAAATCGGAAGACGCAGAGTGACACTGCATCCCAGGTTTCAGCTCAAACCCAAAAGTCTGGCTTTTGGTTGTGCGAATTAAGCTTAAGCACGCCCTGCCTAATATGGAAAGTGAAGTACTTACCTACGTAGGACAAAATGGGGAGCAAGAACGGCAAGAGCAGGTCAACTGAGGAAGAGGAAAGGGGGCTTGGAGAAAGCCTAAGTACCAGCTAGGAAAAGCAAACGAAAAAACAACCAAAACCAAACAGAAAAAGAGCAAAACACAAAAAGAACCAATCAAGAGCAAACTCCCATCCTTTCTCTCCCTCTGCCATCTTCAGGCCAGCAACTTAACCCATGACCCCCACTCCCCAACCTCAAATAAGGAAACTCAAACTAAAACCTTCCCACTGCAACCGGCTGGCCGACGATGCTGTTCAGACCCCCCCAGCCCTGCTTGTGCGTCTCGGTGCCAAAAGCGGAAGGGAGGACCCCAAGCAGACTAGGTGAACGAACAACATCTGCCGATTTTACAGGGGCCGCACTGGACGTGGGGAGGATGGATACTCCATTCGAAGTGTGAACAAAACAGAAAGAAAAAACAGAACAAAAAAGAAGACCAGCAAGCCACTGACGGGACCCTTTCCTCTTTGCAGGCCCGAGAACCGGGTTGGAATGTCTCGGCTTGTCACAACAGGCCTACTGCATATCCGCTGCCGATCACTCGGCCTCAGCTCGTGGATGGATGTTGGGGGCCAAGTTTGGACCACTACATTACTAACATAACAATCGAACACAGAAATGCTGGGTCGTTGAAACGCGAGTTGGGGGACAATGTGTCTTTATATTTCTAGTAGCCATTTTCTATCCAAGGACGGCACCTCGCTGCAACGCCGATTTTCTATAACTCATCGAAACGAAGTGAAATTCAAGCCCTGAGCTCAAGAATAGGGCCAACTGTCCATTCCTTCTCTCACCCCCACCCAAAATCTGCCACTCCCGCACAACTCATCAAGATGGGTTATCTACTGCAGCTCCAGCAGCGCCTTGGCGCCGGGCTCGCTGCACACGTAGATGACGTCGTGATTGTTGGTAAACCCGTTGAACGTCGTAGCCGAGCACTTGGTGTAGGCGCCCATGTCCTCAAAATAGAGCCAGTCGCCAACGTCTAGCAGCTGCGGGAACCGGATGCTCTCGGTGATGCGGTCGATGCCGTCGCAGGTCGGGCCCCAGATGCTGTACTCAATGCCGTCCTCGGTGGCATCAGCCGCGGGGGTGTCGTACACGGTATGACCTCCGGAGCGCAGAATCTTGGCCACAGGGTGCTGGTGGTCAAACATGATGCTGCTGAAGTTGCCGTAGAGGCCATCGTTGACGTACAGCATGTAGCTGGTGGCTGCGATATCCTCGATGCTGCGCCGGGCGATGACGTTGCAGGCAATGGTGAAGGCAGTCGACGCGTAGTACCGGCCGGGCTCCGCAATGAGGTTGATGCCGGAGTGAGCGGGGAAGTACTCATCGAGAGCGGTACGTAGCACACCGGCCATCTGCTCAAAAGTGTTGTCGCTGCAGAAGCCTCCGCCGACATCCAGCGTCTTAAGCGAGAAGCCGTGTGAAGCAGCCTGCTGGAACACTGTGTGGGCATCCTGGACGGCCTTGAGAAACGCAGCCGGGTCGGAAGCACCTGAGCCGACGTGGAAGCTGACACCCACGACATTCAGGCCCAGTTCGTTGGCGAGAGCCAGGAGCTCATCGGTGGAGTCCAGCGAGGCTCCAAACTTCAGGCTGAGACGGCACAGCGAGGACGAATCGTCGGTGAGGATCCGCAGGAAGAGCTCAGCGTCAGGGTACAAACGCGCGATCTTCCGGAGCTCGTCAGTGTTATCAAAGGTCATCTGACGGACGCCGTTGTTCTTGACGTAGCGGAGGTACGAGTTGGTCTTGCAGGGCTGGGCATAGATGATACGGGACGGATCGACGTTCAGCTTCAGAACCTGCTCAATCTCGGCCTTGGAGGCGCAATCAAAACCCGTTCCGAGGGCGGACAGCAGCTCAAGGAGCTTCTGGTCGGGGTTGCACTTCACAGCTAAAAAAATCAGTTAGTACGAGACTGGCTCTTTCCGTCACAAAACCCACGAAGGGAAACTTACCATAGAACGGCTTGACGCGCGGCAGGTTCAGCTTCCAGCGCAGGTGTTGGCGGTAGACCTCACCGAGATCAGCCACAAAGAAGGTGTCCTCATCGCCGGGTTCGCAGTATTCATGGTCAATGCTCTCGACGCGCTCGCGAAGCGCATTGCCAATCAGCTGCCTAGCATGGGCATGGTTATTGGCACCGTCGTGCTGGTGGTCGTGAAGGCCGCCATGTTGATTGTTGTTGTAGTCGAAGACGCCATTGGTGTAGCTCTTCAAAAAGACATGATTATTCGACAAGTCGTTATAATCAAGAGTGGTGAATCGATCGGTGACAAGCGTCGGCATAACCATATCCTAAGATTTAGCGTGGAGAAGGTGTATGTCGGGGTTGTTGTTAGAGAGATATTGGCGTGTTGATTGAGGATCGAGATTCGAGTTTCTAGTCTTGCGGTTGCTGCGAAAGGTAGAGGCGCGAGTGCAAATTTGCAGAGGAACTAGAGTGGTATTTATAGAGTAGATGCTTGGGGTAGGGGGTTCGTTCTAGGGAGGTCGAAAGCGAAAGCAGACGGTTCCCTGTTTGGTCTGACGAGACTCCGTCGACTCTTCCTCGGTGAGAGGAAGAACCGCGCAACTCGTCCTATGCGGCAGCTGGTTGGGGGAGTCGAACTCGGGGTTCAAGTGGATAAAGAAGTCGAACAAGGAAAAATCGAGTTCCTTAGGCGACCTCAGCAGGTGGCGGGAGTACGTTGATGATATGGAATGTTTTTCGGACGCTGAAATCTTCGTCTGAGATGAGGGTCACGGCCGGGAAAGCCGTAGTCGAGTAGGTGCCTTTGAGGAGACCAAAGGCAGTCGGACGGTGCGACGGGGAGACCCTAGAGAGGAGGCATGACGTTAGCACAAGGTGCAAGTTAAAGCTGTAAATCTTTGTTGAACTGCCGTCCCGTTCTCTCTTTGAAGCTGCGGCTTTGAAACACGCAGGATCTCGGAGAGTGCACACCACGCCATCGTGATGCCACCTGCCCTGGGACCTGCATGCGGCTGTTTTGTGGACCACGAATGGCATGGCGTGGCTTCAACGGCCGGGCGAAACACCATCAAGCAAGTGATTTCATACTTACAAATTTCCAACGCGGATTGCGTGGCAAGTGCAATTTCAAGTGTGGTAATTTGGTGGAGCTTTGAAAGCGCGACAAAGACGAATTGCTGAAGGTAGGAGGACGGGATTTGTTGTTAGAGGGGGGAGGCCGTTTGTGAGGTGAAAGGTGAGAAGTTTAGAACTGGGACGGAGCTTCTTATGAATTGAGGGGCGTTGCAGCAGGTCCAGTGCGCATTCAATGTGGGGCGCAGGAGGGTTCCTGTTCAATTTTTTTTCCTTGATTCTCTGTGGCCAGTGCACGCACACGACCTCCACACCGCAAACCTGCTCCAAACTTCCATTTGCGGACGGGGATAAGGCGGGGGCCAAGAGAAGCGGCCCGAAAAAAAGACGCCCCCTGTTTAGTTAGGTAGTGTACAAATCCTCAACTTCCATACATAGTAGAGTTACTCCGTACTTAGCAAACTCGCAACAGGTCAATGGCCAATATCTCAAAAGCTACCTACCCACACTACAAATTTCGTCTTGTTCATGGCGGTTAACGGGATACTTTTTCTAGAAACTATGTCTTGAACTATAACGCACAGGGCCGCTGTGTGGACTTGGATATGAGTGGGTGGCTTTGCCGATATGTCAGGGCCAGTCACAGCAGCCCGGGACCAATGGGGGTGGCGTCGAAATGGAATCGCGGGGCAGGCATCACTAACACTCCAGGGTCGACTTTGATTCACAACTCTGAGCCTCGGTTTTGCTGGTTCAACGTTCGGTTACCCATTCGAGGCCACCCATCGACCGTATCGCATCAGTGACTTTTCCATCCACCTCGGATTGCGGCCGCGGCAAGCGATGGATATCGGCATATTCTGATGGTGGTCAGTATGGGTGGCCGGGCGGTTTCAAAGCCCACAAGTTGCGGTCAACAGCCCTCGGCAGTAAGAGCAGCAACAAGCACAAAAACGGGAAAAGCGGAAATGCAGGAGAACCCCACCCCCCCTTCGTTGCGTCAAACACCAACCAAACCATCTTGATCCTTAACCCTAAAGAGGAGGAAGAGGGACAGCAAGCGGGTCGCTGAGCCGCTAGTCCCTGGAGACCTGACGCGTAGGGACCGCCGTAGCAACATCACAACCTTACTCCAGTAGATAGTTTAACGAGGGAGGACGGCACGCGGGCGATCGCGAAAATCGCGCAGCGACCATTCACATACTACTCACCACTACCTGCCCTCATCATTAGCCTGTTTATTTTGAGTATTTGCTCGTGCGCTCGAGCTGAGGTGTGATGGAAGCAAGCGGTGGTGCGCAGGCGAATCGCGCCATCGAGAGGGGGGAAATGGGAGGCAGTCCGGCCTTGGTAGTTAACGGTGTAGGCGAGTGGACTTGCATACATTCATTCATCAAAGACACCGCTTGCCGCGCTGCTCAAGGAATGCGAGAGGGAAAAAGGTCCTGCATGGTGCCCGCTCTCGCTACACTGCTGTCGTGGAGCATCGGGGAATCAGCTGCCGCTGTCGATGTGGAATCTGACGGCAAATCTCTCACACCTCACCCAACCACGCCGGCTCGGCGGGAGACGGGCTCGAGACTAGCCACCTCTACACTATGACCTAGTGTAGCAGCCCAGCTCGCTGTGGCTAAAAAAAGCGGCAGACCAAGTCCATGGATAACTTACTTTGCTACAAAAGTGAAAAAGACCAAAAATAATAAACCAAAGAAAGTGAAAGAAGACAAAAATGAAGAAATCCAGAAAGTGAAAAAAGACAAAAAAGGATAAATCGATCAAAATTTATCAAGAGTTTATCGAATGTTAATGGATTGGACTTGAGCTATCTATCTGTTTTAGTGTGCCGCTTTTTGTGGCTAGAGCGAGCCCAGGTCCGAGGACGACGCTGATCGCCTAGCCGTGACTGAATGAATCACCTCAAGGATCGCCACTGCTGCAGCAGCCTCACTTGAGCCTCGATGTGCTTTGTGTGGAAAGGGAAAAGAAGCTCGGCATTGCTGCAGTTTCCCACAACGCCCCTGCGTATCTTCTCAAACTCATGGCAGCTGATTGGCCGCCACCTTATCCTGGGGTGAACGTCTCAGCGAGCCACTCGGATCTCGATCTTACCTCAGGGTGCGTCCCGACATGATATAAGCAGCGGTGACAGCACCGCCCGCCATCTCTCATTAGTACACGTGAAGATTGAACCTCCCTGGCTCGAACCATAACGACTGGTGGTTTCATGGGTTGCTCGATTTGTTTGTGGATGTAGTGTATGTACTCTGTTCTTTAGTCTGCCAGTCCAAAGCTGTGGAGAGGCGGCTCTGAGAGAACGAGCGTTTTTGGGCGCCCGGCGTGTAACGGCTGGGTGCTCATGTTGTGTTTCTTGATCTTGCGTCATGTTGTGGTCTCGAAGCTATTGCGTAAAGCAGCAAGACGTATCGTATCTGGACGCTGGGATGATGGGATTGATTTGCAGGGGGGGCATCAGTCATATCACGTCTGGAAGGCACATGACGGGTTGTTGCTGTGGCAGTGTTAAGAGCTCTCGACTGAGCGTGGAGTTTGAAGGATGTGAGAAGGGTATCATCAGTATGTGTTGTACAGATTGTTATGAATACATGTTTGGTAGATTTCGTTTGGGAGATGCGACTAAGCAGACCCGTTGATATCCATGTCGTTGATCGTCCAGGAGTTGTCGACAAAGTCGCGTTTCTCGCCGAGGAACACGAGGCGCCCCGAATCCTTCGCCAGGGCATCAACAATGTACCGCTGCGCAACCTCCCGAACCTGGTCTTTGGTCACGTCAAGCAACTGCACGCGGCGCGTTTGCTTCATCTCCTCGGTGATGCCATAAACAAAGTTGCTCATGCCCTCCTCGTTGACGGCGCGGGGCGCATCAACGCCTTGGAACACTGAGATCTTGGCATCTTCAAGATCGCGGTCCGACCACTTCTTGTCCACAGCCCACTGGCCGGCATTGCGCATGATCTTGATCGTGTTGGTTGGGTTGGGGTCGCGGTACGAGTAAAAGCCGAAGATGCCGTCTACAGCGCGTGAGTAGGCGCCGCCACCGTATGCGCCGCCCTTCTCGCGGATTTCATGGTGGAGGTGTTTATGTGTCAAGAGAGAGGAGAGAATTTGCAGAGGAGCGTTGTCGGGTGAAGTGTACGATACAGTCGGCAAGGCGAGTGCGCCGTAGTAGACCTGGTAGGGTAAGGGGTAAAAGGACTTGATGTTTTTTGTGAAATCCCGCTTCTGAGTTGGGAAGTTGGCGGTGTGCGACGGGAGCGTGCCGAGGAATGTGGATAGAGCGGCAGTGTTATTGGCGACGCTCTCGCTGTCGCACGTGATGGCGGCTCGTAGGGAACCGGCAGTGGCAAAGCGCTGGATTGACTTCAGCTTTTCAATGACATCCGCGAGGTTGTCAGACTCTGGCCGGCTCGCGAGGCTCGTCACCAGCTTCACCTGGGACAAGCCGCTGACCTGTTCCCGCACAAAGGCATCCCAGCTCAGGCCGGCTTCGGCGGCCCTCCGGGCGTATGCGTGACCTGATGAGGCAATGTCATTGACGACGCCATCGGCGGATGCCTGCAAGAGCTGCCGGATGTGTTGAGCGGCTGCAGGGCTGTCAAAGTCGGTGTCAACGATCAACTTGCGCAGGATATCAAACATGACGGGCACGTTGCGATCCAGAGACATCCCGGTGAAGACCAGGCCCTCTTTTGCTTGAGTGAAATCGGTGGGATTTGACGCGGAGTGGTAACCGACCGAGACGCCGCCCGTCTTCAGTTTGATCAGGTCCTCGAGTTGCTCCATGTTCATGTCCTTGGTGCCGAGGCGCATGATACAATCGGTAAAGAGCGGGATGAGCGAGCGGAATTCGCTGGGCAGGTTTTCCAGCGTGGTGATGGCGCGGAAGTAGGTGAGGCCGTTGGTGGGCGCCTCGCGTAACTGCAGCTTGATATTGCCGACGGTTTCATTCCGCAAAACGACAGGCTCTTTTTGGCGTGGAATGTCTTGAACATGGACGCTGGGCAAGCAGCTTAGGTCCTCAGTGTTGGACTTGCCCTGCTCGGCGAGGAGCTCCAGTTCACGAGCCTCCAGCGCGGCCTGTGCCTGCTCTTCGCCACCGGCTGTTTCAATGGCCTTAGCAATTCTAGTTTGGAGGCGGGATTCCTCTTCCTTCGCAAGCTCCTGAACAAACTCGGCGGATGGGGACATGGTGAAGGTCAACGTGTTGTCGTTCATCAGGTACTTCTCCATCAGCCCTTCGAGGTAACCACCCTTCGCATACTCGGCTTCGAACGCAGCTAGTGTGTCATTCCAAGCGAGCGAGTCAAACGGGTCGACCCCTGTGAACCATTTGGGCTTCAGTCGATGCAGTAGAGACATGCCAAAGTTGGCCGTCTTGTGCTTGAGCCCGAGCTCCAGCTGGTGGAGATACCCATCAATCTTGGACCGATCGAAGCCCTTGTCCCGCGCGCTCCGGAGGATGTTTTGAATAGCAGGCTTCAACTTGGAGACATCCGCCTCGGCAACACCGGTCAAACCAATCGACATGATCCCAACTTTGCTCGAGCTGTCGTAGCCTGAGTTGGGGCTCCAGTCGGTTCCTAGGCCGCTCTCGATGAGACCTTTGTACAACGGCGAGCCGTACCCATCCGTCAAGAGCGCAGAGACCAGCGCTATGGAAAACGTCTCCACAACGTTGGAGGTGTCACCAAGAACCCAGGATACAGAAGTTTTGACTTGCTTGTTCAGGTCAACCAGTGGATCCACGGGGCCTTGCAGCCGTACTTCTTGGGGACCACTGCTAAGGTCGATGGGGCTGTGGATGGCCATGTCGCCCTTGATCCTCTCGAAGGCGCCAAGCTGGGCGTCAATCTCCTTGAGGTGGTCCGCCAGAGGCATATCACCGTAAGTGAAAACCTTGGCGTTGCTGGGATGGTAGTGCTCAGCGTGAAACTTCTTGAGCTGCTCGTATGTGAGGTCGGTGATCTTTTGAGGGTCGCCGCCCGAGTTGTTGATGTCTGGAAAGATGTGATCTTGGAATCTAATGTAATATAAATAGCCCGCGTCCGACATTTGGCCCTTCATCTCGTTGTAGACAACACCCTTGAAGACCAGCTTTCGATCTTCGGGCGTCACCTCACCGCCAGCGGCAAGGGCCTGGGGATTTTCGGGGCCAACACGCCATCCCTCTTGGGTAAAATCGGACTCTTTTAATAATGGGTTGAGGGTCGCATCAAGATAGACGGACATGAGGTTCTTGAAATCTTGGGCGTTGGTGGTCGCAAACGGGTAGAAGGTGTGATCTGACGCGGTGAAAGCGTTCATGAAATTGGAGAGGGTTCGCGGTAGCATCTTGAAGAAGGGGTCTCGGATGGGGTATCTAACAAAAGTATGTTAGAGTCAATCATTACAAGTGGTACACCCAGGCGGGGGCGGGGATACGGACTTTTGGCTGCCGCATAGCGTGGTGTGCTCGAGAATATGCGGCACCCCCGTATCGTCTGGGGGATTGGTCTTGAAGCCGATAGAGAAGACATTATTGCTATCGTCGCGAGCAATGTGGAGGTGTTCAGCACCTGTCTTGTCATGCCGTAGGTGCAGTGCCGTAAGCTCGAGCTCCGGTACGTGCTTTGTCCGTAAGAGTGTGAAGCCATGGAGCTTCTCGCCGGTTTTGGGGTATTGGGCAAGGTCGGTCGCAGCTTTTGCAGCCCGTTTCGCCGTGCCGCGGAGCATTTTGCGGAGGGGGGATGGAGGGGCGTTGGGAGAGGAGCTTGTCGCAAGGCCGACCTAGTATACCACGGTGTTATATTGGCATGCTATGTAGAAGACTCGGTGCGTGGTGAAGGCTCTTTCTGGTCTACAATAGGCCGTGATGGTAGAGGTGGAACCCTGGTGGTCGTCCCAGGCCGAAATCTCGGCCGGTTTTTGGAAGTGGAGCTGGATAGGAAACGGCAAATGATTTTTTCCAGCGTAACTTTGCCGCATCCGGATGGGCCGGCTTTCCATTCTTTTCTACTCTAACCCATTAGGGGAATTTCATATCCCCTGCTCCCATCCCATCGGTGCAGCGGAATCTGGAGCTCGAGACTTCGCTTTTGTCCAACATTTGATTCTTTTGATCGGGTTTCCCAAGATTATACTAAAGCTCTACTGTCTTGTGGTCTTGTTGGAGAAGAACAGTCTGGAATATTACCACATCTTTCTCTAAGCTAGTTAATGCGGGGTTTATGAAAAGAAGGGACAAGACAGCTTCACAAGGCCCAAATAGTTCTAGACGAAAGATGTACACGACGGCGCATATCTGAGAGCCAGCCTTTCGGATTATGGAACACTTGGGAGAATCTGGCACACTGAGATGGAGGCACATGCTGGGGACATATCGCTGCTGCCGACGGCGGATGAGGACTCCGGCCGGTAAAACCGCTAGTTACAGGTTCGTTGTGAACGAGCTTCCATCGCTGCTGACTTCCATGGAGGACTTCGGCACCTACCCCTGTCATGCCCATCTCTGTCGGAGGGGTTGTCGTCACACATTACCGCATTGACTCGTTGTTGAAGTGACGGGTCAAGAAACAAGTACATATGCGAGAAAAAAAACCTCCAAATAGATTGTCATAATATAACGAAGTTTTGCACCGTAGGTTAATCCCAACACACTTCCCGAATTGAGTATTTAGGTTGGGAACCCGAATTGAAAGCAGTCAAATATTTCAGGGTCTGCGGGCAGCGCCCCGCAATGCGCCAAGTCACACGCAGCGGGCATTTCGACACACACAAGGGCAGCACCACCACCTGCCTGTCCCGCCAAAAAGGACCCGAGTCGCGGCCGACAAAGCACTGAGGATTGGCAACCAAGTGCTCCACCCCGAGTTTTAGCAGTGCCGTTCCAGGATTCCCGGAGCTAGACGAGGCGAATGCGATCGCAATGTCATTCTGGAGACACGGGAGCAATTTCTGCAGTTGTTCCGCCTAACCACCCTCGTCTACCCACACACCACACACCACCAAACATCTGTGGTTCCCCGGGCACACCACACCACCTCGCTCTGACCCCGACGCCTACGATTTGGACCCCTACATAACTAGTAGTTTTAAGCCTCACAAACAGCACAGTAGTGTGCATGCAGGCCCTCCACGCCTGGCCCTGACGGTTAACGCCCGCACGCTGAGAAAGGGCATTGCATCGGTTGCGTCCAATTCGGCCTTTGCATTTTGCGAATGTGTGTGCGTGGACCACGACACTGGATGTCGACTGTACTGCGTACCAGCTGCCCGTCCTGCTGTTGAGCCTGCTTGATTGTATCATAGTCCCGGCCAAGGAGTGCTGTTGCCCCTCGAGTCGCCTCTCTCCTATTCGACCCAGGGCCGGCGATCCGAGAATTCCCCACGCGACGCCACGAGGACCGGACCCGACGTTCAGGTTCCGTGAATTCACGCCGCCCAGCGCAGGCCACCTTGCCCGCACCTTGCCCGCCACGACACCACGAACCAGGCCAAAAACCGTACGGGGGTCTGCTCGATTCCCACCTGCCTTCCGACTTGAGCGACTTTCGTTTTGGTTCCGACCGTTTCCGAAGATTGTTTTTCTAACCCAACAACTCAACCGCTCAGGTTGCTTGCCTCGACCTTTTCTTCACCAAACCGCAAACCCCAGCGTGCGTAGCGATTGGACGGCTCGACGACTTGACACATGTCCTCGGACAGTCCGACGACAACGATGGCCTCAGCGACGGCGGCACCCCGCCCTGCGACGCCCGTGGCGAATGGCGGGGTTTCGAACCTGCCTGCGCCCGACGCTGTCCACGCGAACGGACACCATCACCACCACCATCATCACGACAACCGACCCGCACCCGCGCCCCCGGCGCCTGCTGCTGCCGCGGTCCCTGGCAAGAAGGGGAAGCAGAAGAAGGCACCCGAGCCGACCGAGGCGTCAAAATTAATTGCGCAGAGGATTTCTCAACTCGAGCTCGATGCGGCCGGCGAGAAGGATCAGGAGGCTGAAATCGGTGGGTTATTGCGCGTGCCTTCCCCCGTCTTTTTGCAGGAATCAAGTGAGGAGGATTGAGTTGCCACCGGTATCTTTGCGGAGGAGGGGGAACATATCGTGGATTGGGGTGTGCTTGTGGTCGTGTTGTCAGGCAACGCTGGCGGGGAAGAGGGGGAGGGAGGGATCGTAGACTGACTGGTTGCAGAGCGAGAGGTTAGGAAGGCGAATCGGGAGCTGCACAGCCAGACATCAAAAATGAGCGACTTGCAGAAGATAGAGCACCTCACGAAACGATGCTCCGACCTCCTTTCGGATATGAAGCGACACGAGCGCGAGAGCATTAAGAATAAGAAGCGCGGAGACCAGTTGCAAAAGGATAAGGACAACAGCAGGAACGAGCTCAACAAGACGGTGTCTCTCAAGGAGAAACTGGAGAAGCTTTGCCGAGAGCTACAGAAGGAGAACAACAAACTCAAGGTGGGCTTTCCTGCCGAGGGGCCGATCCGAGGGCACAGTCGTGGGAAATCTGTCATGCTGATCGAATTGGATTTTGGGGGCTTGCGTAGAACGAGAACAAGACACTTTCCGATACACAGGTCCGAAGCCAAAATTCCTGGGACGAGCGATATTCAGGACTCCTCCGGCGAATGGACGATTATCAAGAGGAAAAGGACAGTCCGCGAAAACAGGTGATCGAGATGGAGGTGGAGGAACTGTGCGTCGATTTGTTATTTTGCTTTCTTGGATGGTTTGATGGTATGCATCAGCAACTCACCACTATGATATTCTTCTTAGGTTTTGTCAGCGATTTAAATCGTTTATCGATCAGTACGAGCTCCGCGAACTGCACTTCCACTCGCAGATGCGGACCAAGGAACTTGAGGTGCAGTATAATCTCGCGCGGTTCGAGCGCGAGAAGAAGAACTACGAGGCAGAACTGGGACGGTCTCGGCAGCTAAACGCGCAGGTGCAAACCTTCTCAAAGACGGAGACGGAGCTCCGGCAACAGCTCAACGTCTATGTGGACAAGTTCAAACAGGTCTGTCCCGGGCGCCCCGGCAGGCCGAGCGCGCAGACTGACGGCCGGGCACAGGTCGAGGATACGCTGAACAACAGCAACGACCTCTTCATGACGTTTCGGAAGGAGATGGAGGACATGTCCAAGAAGACGAAACGGCTGGAGCGCGACAACGAGACGCTCAAACGCAAGCACGAGCAGGTCAACGGCAACATCATCAAAATGGCCGAGGAACGTAACAAGAACCTAGGCGAGATCGACGACCTGCGCAAGAAGCTAGACAAGCTCAACGGCATCATCAAGCAGATGCAGCAGCAGGGTCGGGGCATCCCGCCTGGGCTGACGGGAACGGTCGAGAACGGGTACGCCGAGGGCGACTTGGAAGGGGACGAGAGCGAGTACGAAGATGAGGAGGAGGAAGAGGAGGGGGAGGACGAGTATGACGACGAGGGTGAAGAAGAGGAGGGGAGCGACGAATACGACGACGAGACCGAAGACGAGCTGCATCACCATCACCATCACCATCACCACAACAACCAACAGCAGCAACAACAACAACTACTACTACAACAGCAACAGTCCCAACCCCAACCGTACGGCCCTGAACGACCGCCCCCGGCGCCGGTCGCTGCGACCACTAACGGGCACCGTTAGAAGCGGCGACTGGAGGGAACGGGTTCTTGGGACGAAGCGTTGTACCGGTTGGACGCCATGTATCGCGACATGGAGGCGCAGGGGGTCATGGATCGGCGACGGACCGAGTCCTTCATGTTGTAGACCCGTCGTTATGGGGGAAGGGAACGCACAGCTGTTCGATAGCCAAGCAGGAACTGTTGTCAGCGGCAAGGTGACAAGTGGTGAATGTCCAGCAAAGGAGTACAACTCTCTCCCCTCTCCCGAAACGGTGGGCACAATGTGGAAGCAATCATCAAAAAGCATGGCAGAGAGAAGGGAGGATGGGGCCGTTTTTCGCCCGCCCCTTTTCTTTCCGATAGCTGGCCGGCTTGTGTATAGGGCTTTTGTAGCTTGCTTGAAGTGTATACGTCACTTGTTCTTTTCGTCCTTTGTTCTCTCGCTTCTCTTCCCCTGGCGATTGCCGCACTGTGCTTGTGTATGTGGATGTCTGATGTTTCAAGTGGTTTGATGCTGAGGAGTGTAGGTACATGTTAACGCACCGGATTCCCATGCCCAACTGTCCTTGACCAGGGATCGAGTGGTGTCTATGTGACGTGGACGATAGTAAAGTCAGCGGTGATTAGTAATTTGTGCCAAAATCAGGCTAACTATGCGCCATCTATGGCAGAGAAAAACAAAAAGAAAATGCTCAGATTAACACTCATGTAAGGAGCTATCTCACCGTTGTTTACCCAGGTGTTTCCAAAAAAAAACTAAAAAAAACTTTGAACCTGAGACCTGTTGGCTTCAAGGTACTGTGCGTCACTATCCATGGCCGACTATTCTGGTTTTACGAAGGGTCGGACCTAGTCTATTCGGGAATCTGACATCCCTCCTTGGCAGTACCTCAGCAGAAAGATACGTCGATAGTAGGAGGCAAGTACCACCTACCTAACATCAAGCATTTTATCTACCACTCCATCGCCGGACGGTGGACCGAGCTTGTATGGATACATTTTCCATTTACTGCACTACAACAACAACCCATGACTGCTCACACTACTCCCACAACCGTCCCTGCCGGTGGTAAGTCTCAATATATCATCATACCCCATCAATGATTACCACGCCTTAGCCGCCCGTCCTTCCATAGTGGCTGTGATCGCTGGCCACGGTCATCGACAAGTCGGCGGCCTGTCCGCTAATTATCGTCTTGCCTGCCCTTAAATGTGTAGAGAACCTAGCCGGCCCGAAAAAGCCGCCGACACCGCCGTTGGTAGTGCCTATGACGCAAGTGAGGTGGGGGGGGAGACTGTCGGTGTTTTTGAGTTTGGCAGACTTGTAGTTTTTCGGGTTGATGAGCTTCCTTGGGCGAAAAAGATGACAGAGAGTAAATGGCGGCTTCGAGAGGGACGGTGATTTTGCTTACATTCGCTGGGCAAACCCGGCGAAGTCTTCCCTGACGAGCAGGTAACAGGTACGGTACCTAATGAATTACGCCGTGTTCAGGCTCGGCGACAATGTCAAGCCGGAACTCAAGAGTCAAACCTCGGCTATCCGACAGCGGCCACACCCCCTGCGGCCTCTTCAACGCGATAACTACCTTACTTAGTCGTGAACAAATAGGTTGATTCGTCGCTCCGTGGCCGTCCGTGTGGCGGAACCGGATCGGCGGGCCGCCCTGCCGGCCCTGCCGGCCCTGCGCGATGGTATCGTCGTCAGACTCGTCACTATCTTGCTGCGGGCGGCGCCGAGCTGGGCCTGGAAATCGTCCTGTTCCCTGGGCTGAAGATCCGCGTGGCTACGACTTTCTGGTTAGATCACGATGCGCAATCAGCACCTCCTGGTTGCAGGTCAGCAATCCGCTTGCCAGCCATATTGGGCGGGCAGCCTTCTAAGGTCGAGTCAACGAGGCAATCGCCGCCCCTGACAAGGCCGGTCCAAAGAAACGGAACCCTGTCAAGGCGAGCCCCAGTTCTCGGAGGGAACTGTTCACCCGAGATGGGAAAGTCATCGTAGTCGAGCTTTCGGTGCATGTACAGCACAAGTTTCTTGACCTTGGTAGGTTCTTTCAACTCGTCTGCCCAGCCCGACGACTCGGGGATCTTGAGCCCTCTCCAGTACGCGATTACGCCGACAACGTGGGCGGTCGCTAAGTCCATTTGTCAGTTTCAGTTTTGCCAGTGACCAGATCTCGAGAGAGTGGGCGGTGAAACTTAACGTCGTGCCGGTCAACCGTCACGGCTGTTTCTCCAACTTACCGAGAGATGCACCGCCACTGATACCGATCTTGGGCTCGGACCCAGTTGCTACGTTGACTCGGTGTCCTGGTGCCATAGCCCGCCAACTGGCGTATGGATTGTGCCAGGAAACCCGGGAGTTCTTGTCAATCCCGCTCACCACGATGAGGTTCCTGACCGCCTGGTCTTCTGGGATGTCCGGGTCGGCAAACCGGCTGGGCCACCCGTCCAACCCGTTCCTGACGTCGGCACACGATAGGTATTGATTGTGGGATGCCGCGACGAGGACAGCGCCGAGATCGTCTAGTTCCTTTAAAATCCTCCCTGAATAGCAGCAGCGTAAGCATAGAACGAGGCGATGAGTGGGGCTGAGAAGGCTTGAAGCTGAAGGAAAGCCAACTAAACCGCGTTGACTGCGGTGGTCACCGCAAGGAAAGTCGCACTCACGAAAAGTCTCCCAGTGTTCGCTGTGCATGTACGAAATCTCGTGATCCACCCACCCGAAAGACATGTTGACGATGACCTTGCCCATGTTTTCAGGGTAGTGTTCCAACACGTCGTCCAGGACTGCGACTAGACTGGCCAGGTATCGCTCGTGTATATAGTTGAATTTGTCCTCGGGGTCGCAGTTTAAGTTGTTGACGACCACTAGCTCTGCATTTTTGGCTAACCCCAGCAGAACGCCGTACGCCTTACTGGCGACTTGGGTGCCGTATTCACTCCGCACGACGCCCCTGTTTTCCTCCGGGAACTCGGCAGTTGGCAAGAAACGAATTTCCTTTCTGTCGGTTTTCGCCCCCCCTGGTGGCGTGTACGTCGAAGAAAATTCCTAGATCCTATGCTATTAGCAATTCTGGCCCCTGGGGATGGAAAAGAAGACGACAGGAAATGAAGAAAAGCGGTAAAGGCGAAACGGGCCAGGGAGAGGGGAGTCAGGGGGCCATTATATATAATTACCGGATGGTTTTTCTCGATGTCATCTTCGATCATATATATGATCTGACCGTGGCCGTAACTGCTGCCTGCTTCAAATGTGAAGTTTGTCGGCCTGCCCTCTCGTCGCAGATGATACTCAGCCCACTTCTCTCCGGGTGGAACGGACATCAGAGAGAGCTCCCAGGGGGATTCCTGGGGGTCAAGTTCACCGTCTTCCTGTCCCCTGCTTAGATAGTATGCTTTGTTCCACTCCAGGATCCCATAAGCGTTGATGACCTGCAGATAAATATCAATTAGACACATATTCTGTCCGTGGAAAGTATCTTATCGACCTATTGATTTGTGTGATAGGGAAACGGAGGGGAGAGAAGCGGAGAAGGGGGAAGGGGGCGGAGTTATTAACTTGCCTTCAAGTACCCTCGTCTCCTCAATATATCGTCGAGGACTGTCGAGGTGAGGTTATGAACAGATAAATAGGCTGTGAGTGAGCCACCTTGCACCTGCAAGGTCCGGTCCCACTAGCTGTTGCTGTTTTTGTCGTTGGGGTTTACCTTCACGGTCTTGAGGTAGTCAACGATAGCCTGTACATCATAGGGATCACCGGGGTAAATGATGGAGCTATCAACCGTGTCTAACGGGCAGTGTGCCCTGGTGTCACCTTGGGGGTGATAACCTGCCGTAGCTGTTGTGGTTGAGGATGCGGCGCCCCGGGGCATGGCTGTGTTGCTGGTGCAACTGTTAGTCTCGGTGATTGTTTTGGTGCAGAGCCGATAGTGGTCGTGCAGGTGGACTAAGTTTGCGTAATAATGGTCGTTCGCGTCCCAAGGTGATGAAATATAGCTCGGTTGTCGTCGTCGTCGTGACGGTCTCGGCCGTCTATGTGGTGCATTGTTCGAGCTAATCAGGGAGATTCAAGACTTTGTTGTCGTCCCGGGCGGAATAGAACTGCTTGGGTAGTTTTCCGATGAACCAACCAGCAAGCAGCGCTACTGATCGGGTTTGATGGATGCCGGGGACTTGAGAAGGAAGAAGGCTACACCCACGGGCCCATCACGAGTCACACGTACAAAGAAGAACAGTCGGAGGCTTGGTGTAAGGTATTATCGGAAGCGGATACACCCAGCTAGTAGTCGCCTAGCTACAGCTGCCCAAGAGGGCCAGTCTGCCAGTCACCACCAAGGATGGTAGTGCCGGCTACCCGAACACACCAGCTGTCGGACCGGCCATAGCCGGGTCACAGTCGGGTCACAGTCGTGGTAATAGAGAGCGGATTGTCGTCTAGTTCGTCCGAGGACGGGCCAGGCTATGACGGCCACTAGCCCGGGGGCCATCTGTGATCCAATATTATCACAGGGAGATAGTATCCCCGTGATAATTCCAACGAAACATTGCCGATTGACAAGTTAATGAGCGAGATAGATCCTGTACCTTGGCCTTTGAGACCCCTTTTTCGAAGGGAATTCCGGTAAGATGGAAGACAAAGCTTGTGAATCTGACAGAAGAGCTAGTTCTAGTTGATATATATGCTTATCGTTTCCAGTTCCACTGATAGAAGAACAATGAGATCGAACAGATTTACGGTTTCCGGCTACCAGTTAATACCACTGTAGCCCAGCGTAGTCTCTTTCGGGATGTATGAGCCAATGTCTACCAGTGCAGTACCGATGAAAGTGTGGAACCCATGATGGCGGGACGGTTCTGTGCCTCGATGAACTAGGTGTAATTAGTGAACTTGGATGCTGGGTGTGCATATGTTATACCTCTCTGCCCTCAGCATGACCGAGGCTAGGCACTGCGATCCGATGTTCAAGCGTGAACTTTATTGGAAGTGGATAATGACACCCTGGGAAACTTTATTCTTACACTCCCCTTCACAAGGCTCATTGTCCCGAATCGCTACCTTGGTGGGCTTAGACACGCTAGCGTCGCCTTGGCCAGACGCTCTAATTTCAAGCCAATAGGTGGGTTGGTCGAGTGAGAATAGTGAAATCATATGGGAAAGCATGGATCTACCCAAATTTGGTAGAAAACTTTGGAGTTGATCTAACAACGCTAGTGTCTTTGATCACAGCCCGAGATCAGGTGGGGATGACCCGACACGTTAGGTTGCGTTGGCTAGGGCCACGAGATGGATGGAAAGGGGGCGCATGGCTTACACCAAGGCGTGGTATGATATATCCTGTGGCATTTAGCTCCCTGAGTCTCGGTTGGGAAGTCAGTGCTAGAATATTCATCAGATCTTCCCAGGTCTATTACATATATCTATTCTAGGGACTCACTGAAGCAGTATAGGATCACAGTTTCTACACCAGGGGCTAACAGAGGCTAGCTACTCGCTAGGTGACATTGAGGGCCGGCGGCATGGAACTTGTGTATTCACCGACGGACATATATTAACTCTCGGGCAGCCACTAGCCTGAAGAAGCCAAAGGGGAGCCCATCTTCGTCTCGCTGCTCTGGCGGCTGGGATTTGACGGATTAGGCCTTGGATGACAACATGACTTTACTGCTTGATTTTTGGAATTTAGAACTATTAATCTTCCCTAGAGTGTTATCAGTCCACACAACATGGCCACGCCTAGGGGATGGAGTCTACGTAATAGGCCGTAGACAGTCCGACACCAGTTAAACGGTTAAAGGTCTCTAAAACGGGCCAGCGGGCCATGGGAGATATGCTGACTCCTGAGGACCGTATACCTGCTGAGGACAGCCTCACATGCAAGAGTCCTCTCGCGAGACCTTCTCTGTCTCGGCCCGCACTCTTAGGCATGTAACGCACCATGATCTTTTCGACCAGCCACCTTCTCGGAGTCCTGTCCACTGGCAGCCGGACGACGGGCCACGGCCGTTTGCTTCGCTTCCTGGCGCCGTTTAGCGGGATCTGCTGTCACGACCCTGGCATAGTTCCGTATACGTTTCTCTCCGAGAAATCGCCTGCGTCGCCGGGTACCTGCGTTTTTACGGCCCACAGCTCGGCAACCCGCACTACCGCACTTTTACACCACGAACCTTCCCGATGCGGGTAGTTGCGCCGAGCGACAGGTGACGGCGCCACCTCGAGTCCTCAATCACCTTCGACAACATCGCCAACCTCATCAATAGAAGTGCAGGACTAACGTGGACGCTAAGGCCGCCGGGCTGCATGACTGCAAGCCTGCAACCCCGCGGGCGGTCAGACGGGCCACGACCCATGGGTGTCGCTGTCAATGCCAATGCGCGCTATCAGCGGGACCGACTTACCAACGACACCTTCACCAACCAAGGTAACCTCACCAGCTGACTTTCACAGATTTTGGAAAGAGACGTGTTTCAAGCTTGGGGTGGAGAAAATTCATAGTCGGACATACATAACCTCGAGCGCTGTAGACTACCCTGAATACAAAGCTCCAGGAAGCAAACTTTCTGCGAGATGTATATTGTCCCATTTGTGTATCGTTTCGGTTGCGAAAGGCCGGTTACGATTGTGTGAGGTGTGTTGGTGGTGGAATGTACTAATTATACGGAGGTTTGATACCCAGGTAAGTAGCGAGGGACGGCTGTAACCCCCAAATCCCCCCACCAAAGGCCGCCCATACTTCCTGGGGTTTCCCAACACCTAATTTAGTTTCATACACTCCTATGGTACAAATTGTAAATCTCTTTTGCCCGATCGGATCACATTATATATATTATAACGTAAGAAAAAGAGGAACGGTAAGGTGGGGCTGCCGAAAAGCTGGCTTCCGTAGCCTAGCCTGTGGAATTTCAAAAATCAACCTGTCATTGTACTTGACTTGCTGGATGCGATGCAATTATCTCGTGTGGGGAATGAAACCACACACAAAAGCAGCTGAGGTATGGGGGGAAGACCCAGGCAGTACGGGGCAGGCGGCCTTAGGTGGGGGAATTTGGGGGTTATGCCCTTCCCAGACTCCCTCCGTAATTGATAAAAAATCAAATGCTATTCACGAACGCAACCAATCGAATTATCTCTTGAAGCAGGGAGGTACCCGAATTGGATCAGGATTTCACAAGATCCTCGGCGGCCGCGACGAACATGCCGTCGGTGAGTGGAAGATTCAGGTACGTTGGGATACTTGTTTTCTAGAGTTCATGTGTTCCAAAACAGTTCCATGGATAATTACCTGGAGAACACATATATTGTGTCTACAAAATGTTTGGATCTGAGTGAAATCATACAACGTTTCTTGCACTAACTATTTAAAGACGCCCTACCCACGTCTGACCTTTCGAATGCCATATCAGTTTTCACCCACGACGACTTGACCGTGTTGACGCTGGTGCCGTGCACAACCACGTTACCCCCTCAACCAATCAATCCTTCAACCCACCCCGGGCCATCGACCAAGGCTCGGTCAGTCGGCCAGCCTTTCTGGCAAACATGGCCTCTCTAGAGCCTGCCAATGGCGCAGCAGCAGAGGAGGCAACATCTTCCCGGGATAGCCCTCTCGAAGCACTGAACATGGACTGCTTGATAGCCATCCTCCATAAGAGTAACTCGTTAGCAGACCCACTCGGCAAGAAACGTCTAGAACATAGCACAGAACAGACACCACCGAGTTCTGAACAACCTATCTGGTGCAGATCTCAACAACATTCGCGCAACGACGCAGCCCAATACGGCAGTATCATACACACCGCACCTTTCAATACGCCCTCTGTTCCCAAGAAGAAGAAGAAAAACACCACGCCGACCGTCCCATACGCCATCCATCGTAATCATGGTTCCCGTAGTATTGATGACATTCGCATAGTCGTTAAATGTTGAACTGTCCCTGCCTGTGTGTTTCCCTCTCGCTCTCACTCTCCCTGTATATGTGTGTAAAGAGGCTAACGCCGCTGGATCACCCAAAATGCGGCAACCGCGCTGGTACAAAGGTGCTGCTCGCCTCGCGCGACTTTCCATTCATATGCGCCACTGCGGATGACCGCGCGGGTTCTGTTGTTGGTGGTGGGGGTTTCGATTCCTCGGTATTTGCTTCATCTAGGCCATAACCGCCTTTGCTCTCGTCGTTGTCCTGATTCTCGTTGTTATGGTTATCGTGGTGCCCGTAGTTATCAGCGTGATTGTTACCCTCAACTCGTACAACAGTGCCGTGTGTCCCAGCCTCCTCTGTCACTTCATTCGATACGGCCTCTCTCCTCAACCCCCGCTGTACAGCCAACTGTTCCGCCGCCCTCCGTCTCCGTTCAATCGCCTCATGCTCCTCCCGCTCCGCCTGCTCTTCCTCGCGCTGGAGATCTTCCAGTGACTGTGCTGCCGATACCAGAATACCACTGTCTTCCACCTCCCGCACGGGCGATACCGGGTTGCTCTCCCATTTATGCTCGCCCCCGGACTGATCTGTTGATGAGAGCGTCGTGCGCGAGACCGTCCTCGACAGCCCCTTGTCAGGATCGCGCTCGCGATCGCCCGCCCGCCGCTTGCCCTTGCTACTCCTTGTCTTGGTACTCCCCCGGTCGTCGACCCGTTCGAGCGCGACGGTGAACTCATCGTCGAGTGGCACCGCATCTTCGTCTCCTTCTCCATCGCTAGGGAACAAGTCCCCCCGTGATCGGTACGAGCTGGATGTGTCGCCCGAGTTGGTCGTGTTGCTTCGTGGCCGTTTTCGTTGCTCGGCTAGGCTAGTTGTCGTCGCGTCTTCGCCACCATGGCTGCTCGCGCCGAGTAATGGCTCCTGTTCGCCACGGCTTCCCATATCCCTCTCGCCTTGGTATCCCCCCCGCTGCGCGGCCGCCGTCGTCCCCGATCCAGCACCGGGATGCTCGCGCAGGTTCGCCGCTGAGGGCTTATACCGCAGACTCCCCACAATCTTGAATGGCAGCCTCCCGAGAAACCCCAGCGGCGCCGTCCGTGGTATTACATTCGGGTCTTCTTCCCCAGACACCTTCCTCCTCCCTGCTACGCCTCTCGTCCCGTAACTCATCCCCCTCTTCCGTCTCGGCTGGTCCACCACATCCCCCGCTCCACTGCCACCATGCCGCGATCGACCCCCCGATCCCGACCCAACCAACAACCGATCCCAGTCCCCTCTCAAGATCCCTCCTCCTCCTCCACCAGCCCGCCTCCCACCATCCCCCTCATCCCCGCCAAAATACCCCCTCCCACTCTCCTCCTCGTCATCCAAAAACCCCTCCGCCGCAAAATAGTCCTCCTCCCAATCATCGTAAAAATCAAAACTATACTCCACCCCACTCCTCCTCCACGGCCCACTACTTCCGTGCCCAGTACCACTACCAGTACCACCACCTCCTCCTCCTCCAGCCCACCTAATCCCGCGCGCCCCCCAGTCCCGCTCGCGAGCACGGCGCGCCCGTTCCTCGCGGTCTCCGAGACAGACAGACGTGCACGAGTCGACGGCGCCGGCGAGCGAGGCCAGACAGGGGTTGACGTAGCGGTGGCCAAAGGTCCAGATGCCTGCTGCGGCGTCGGAGGTGACGGTTTCGGTGGTGTGGGAGAGCTGGTTCCAGGTTTGGCGGAGGCGGGGGTCTTGGATGAAAGCCATTTCTTCTCTTTTGTCGGGGTATGATTAATGGGTTGGGTTTGATCCTGGCCTGCTTGGCTTGGTTTCTCTCCCCTTTTCCCCGAATTCTATTTTCGGCTCGGTTTCCTCAACGGTAGTGTGTGACCGTTGTATTCTCGAAGGCTCAGAAGGCGATTGCCCGAACGGCGATGGAATCTGGCCGCGGTGCTCCCCACGCAGACTAGCGGTAATTTAGCAGCCGATTGATTAACCTTCGACATTCGACAGAGTCAGAGATCGAGCGGGCGAATAAGTATCGTCCGTGGTTTGGTTGATCGTTTCCCGCGAGCGTTCCGTCGGACTGCGCAGCGTCGAGACGGCGATGCGGCAATGGGGGCGGATTCGTCTTTCGTTATTCAGACATGGACATCAAATAGGTAAGGCTAGCGACGATGACGGACGACGGAGGCGGGGGAGCTGTTCTTCCTTTCCCCATCTGTTCAATTCGTTTTGGGCGAGGCCTATGCGGTGATGCGGCACCCTGCCTAGGTCAGGTCGAATGATCGCCCCAGCGTTGGACCGGGCACGTCCGTGTTTTGTTCGATGTCGAGCGCGCCGTCTTGGGTGAGGTCGGCATCGAGCTCCAAAAAAACGTCAGTCGTAGACAGACGTTGGAGATTGCAGATGTTGAAAATGGTTGATTCGGTCCTTGTCCGCGCAACACCTAGCGAGTCCAGAGCGCCCGGGTCCACCGGCCGGCGCAGCAAACGGTCGGGCGGCAGGGTCCGCTCGCATTTAGGTACCCACTTTACCCACAATAGGCCTTGTTTCAGGGCCGCGTTCCTGGATCACAGCACCGCAACGTTGTTGCGTCAGCGACGGTAAGTGGTGGGGCCAATCTGTAGGGCCAGCAGGACGGTTGAAAGCAGCACCGACGGGAGTTGCGGACCGCTCGAAGAACAATATGCGGAACAAAACCACGCCGCAGTTTGCAGAATATGACCGCGGAATCGCTTTTCCTCTCTAGGAGAATCGAGAAGAGAAGAGTTGTGTCTGCAGAACGCCAAAGCTGGACCAGCTTGACAATCCCGACCAGCCAAAGACCGAGTGATGATGCAACCCTAACCCTAACGTTAATGTCTTATCACGTGCATCTCCGAATCTCAATAACCCTAACCCCGCAAAAGCAAGCATAAGTCTTCTGTGTGACTGTGTAACGATAAAGTCTTTAATTGCACCCATATTCGTAGTAGCATGGGCTATCCACAATCTACCTCCCTACTTTGCTACTGCAGTCCGCTGCGCTCGGACCAGAGCGATGTCCCCCGACAACTAATATTTAACGACAATAAAGGTGTTGTCATGGGCCATGGCGCACGGGGTAAGCCTTGGGAGATTTTTGAGTCGTCGGAAGGATTAAAAACATCGTGCCATTGCTTAAGAGTCAAGGCTGGATGTATCATGTGTCCGTTCGACTCCATTGTAGCCCCTCTAGGTTTTGCCGGTCCATCACAGATCAGAGATAATTATCTATCTTCGGGTCGTCCGCCGGAGATATTCAATCGATGCTAGTTAACCCGTTCTTTGAGGCAAAATAGGGGTATTACCTGTCGACGGTGAATCGGTGATAAGCTTATAGTTCCGCTCCGTCCACTACCTACTTACCTATCTTACCTGGGCATGTCTTGCTCGCCCCAGTCACCCGACTCACAACTAGCATACCATACACTTTCTCACAAATAAGTATCACAACATTGGGCACAGAGCAGGTTGATTTAGCAAGGAGGCACACGTGGGTAATTAGTCTTTTGTTAATCTAGTTAACCTACCTAGGCTTTGGGAAGCTTTGCTTTTCATGCTTCACCATCTTCCGATGCCGAGGCAGTCATAACACTCATAACCGCCGCTAAACTGCGCTCCCACTAGCATCCCCGCTAGCTAAGTACGACGCAAACCAACCCCGTCCGCATCCCTCAAAGGCCTCAGATTCCATGAGCGCTTCGGCGCGGTCTTTATCCCAGAACACGCAACCGAACCACCTCCAATGCCACATCAAGTCGGTTACACGGCCGTGCTCATTCCAATCGGCGTTAGGGCCGGGGGGACGTACCGGTACCAGGTCACTGCCCCATCGTCTCACTCGCTGTCCGTTCCAAGCATGAATCCATGCCCATGGTACATTGAGGATCGAGTCGCCATCAAAAGCAAGCGGCGGTGCTGCGGCTTCTTCCGCGGATGGTTCTACCATCGCTAGCATGGCCGCCGACGGGCGGTAATTATCCCACCACAAGCACCTGTGGCTTCCCGACAACCACTTGTTGAGAGTTGAACCGATTCGCACTTTACTATCGCATATTGTGGGGTCTCGCCACAGCCCGGGCAGAAAGGTGTCGTCGGTCAAACCGGCCTTGACCACTTGTGCGTACACAACCGGCAGGCCACACCACCACGGCTCCCCGTACTGGTAGATGGGCGGAGGGAGTCCGTGTTTGCCGTGCCTGTGCACGGCCCAGATGACGTTGAGAACAAAGTTTGCCATGGCGGAGATCTGCTCCAATTCCCAGCTTTCGAATAGGCCTATTGCAGTGACGAAGAATTCGTCGTCGAACCCACCGGTAGTGAAGGAAGGGTGATGTATACTGACGAAGATCTGAGACCGCATTAAAGCTTGAGCAATACGGCGACGTTCCGTTGGGCTGACTGGCCATTCACCACGGGGCGGGTCGAGGGCCTCGCGGAAATGCTGGAGCCGGAGGCCGGTATAAAAGTCGACAAATTCGACTACGATCCGGGTGAGTCGTGCCATGTCGGCGGCTGTGTCCTCGTCCAAAGCGGGTACCCAGGGGTACGCATCTGCACTGAAAGCGTCCCTCCAGGCATGGATCACAATATCTAATGTCTCTTCCATGGTCCCTGCTGCGAAAAGGTCCATCCCGTCGGTAAGGGACATGATGAGAGCGTCTCGGATGCCTGGTCCGAGTTCATTGATCATCACATCGCGGAGGATCAGAGCTTTGGCCGACACGAAGCAGCGTAAAACGATGGGTGAGGCACGGATGACGGCGCCGAGGTCTCAGCCGTGGTTTGCCAGTACGGACTCGATATCTACTGTGTACGCATTGAACAGTGAACAGTGGCAGTTTTGCCGCTGAGTCTCACATGCCGTCTTTCGCAATAATACCGAGTGTATTCGTACCGATGGTGTACAAAGTACCTGTAACGGAACCATCCCGATGCCAAGCCGCCCGTTGACAAAGAACTTCGATCGAAACCCCGCGAGATGCCTCGGCTGCTCCTTCCTCCCCACTCCCCACATCTCGGCTATCCGGGGTAGCAGGGGTACGCTGTGGGGCGTTAACGGAATGGTTCTTGGGGTGCAACTTGTGGGTGCTGGAATGGTGAGTTGATGGCTCAAATAAGTTATCCCTTTTTTGTTTCTCTCATTGTTTAAATTGTTTCTCTTTTTGGGTTTGTTTATTTCCCTTTTACGTGAAGAAGCCCCTCACATTTCATCCTGGGTTGATCACAGAGCAAACGCACCGTCGATTTCTCACATCGTTCACTCTTCGCTGAAGTGTGAAGTCGATCTCATCGCAACATACTTATCAACCCTCTCAACATCATCTCATCTCAATCTCAACCCCCGACCAGCCAACCGCCACCATGTCCCCCTCCCCCATCACCACCCCCCTAACCACCCTCCTCTCCATCCGCCACCCCATCCTCCTCGCCGGCATGGCCCGCACCTCCCACGGCCGCCTCGCCGCCGCCGTCTCCAACGCCGGCGGCCTTGGCGTCATCGGCGGCTTCATGTACACCCCGGACCAACTCCGCGACATCATCGCCGAGCTCAAAGCCCACCTGTCCTCGCCCAACCTCCCCTTCGGCATCGACCTCGCCCTCCCACAAATCGGCGGTTCCGCCCGCAAAACCAACCACGACTACACCGGCGGCAAACTCGACGAACTCATCGACATCACCATCGAGTCGGGCGCGAAACTGTTCGTCAGCGCTGTCGGCGTGCCGCCGAAGCGGGTGCTCGACCGGTTGCATGATGCCGGGATTTTGGTCATGAACATGGTCGGGCACCCGAAACACGCCGTCAAGGCGCTCGAGCTAGGCGTCGACATGGTATGCGCGCAGGGCGGCGAAGGCGGGGGCCACACGGGTGCGATCGCCAACAGCGTGCTGATCCCCGCGGTCGTGGATGTAGCGCGGCGGTTTAAGCCGCCGATGCTCGGCGGGGAGCAGACGGCGCTGGTGTTGGCGGCGGGGGGGATCTCAAATGGGCGGGGGTTGGCGAGTTCGTTGATGCAGGGGGCCGCTGGGGTGTGGGTTGGCACGCGGTTTGTGGCGAGTGAGGAGGCTGGGTGTAGTGAGGAGCATAAGGAGGCGGTGGTGAGTTGTGGGTTTGAGGGGACGGAGCGGACGTTGGTGTTGAGTGGGAGGCCGTTGCGGATGAAGACGAATGAGTATATTCGGCAGTGGCATGCGCAGCCGCAGCGGATTCAGGAGTTGTGTGCGAAGGGGGTGGTGCCGATTGAGTGGGATTTGGAGGAAGGGAATGAGATTGATCTGCCGCATTTGATGGGGCAGGTTGCGGGAGCGATTGATAAGATTCAACCGGCGGGGGAGATTGTGGAGGAGATGGTGGCCGAGGCTGTGGAGATGTTGAAGCTGGCGAGTGTGTATCTGGGTGGTGGGAGTAAGCTGTAGGTTAGCCACTACACGGGCTAGCTATTACACAGGAGTGTTTTCCAGGGCGCACATGATACCTTCTGAGGGAACCAATACTAAGTAACGACGGGGAATCTATGTAATACAATCCCTATTTGATAGTCACCACGCAGCTAAGTCCAAGGTCCCAGATATAATCTTCAACTTTGTTAAACAGCAGCGGGCTTGATTGCTGATAAACGTTGAGAGGAGGGTCTCAGCCTTCAGTACAACATGTAATTACTTACTACGAATAAAGGCAGTTATCAGGTGGTTGAAACAGTCGTGCTCAATGAGAAGGGCTTGAAACTGGATTAGGTCCGTGTCCAGGTCTTCCACTAACCAAAAGGGGGTACGCCTGGCTGAACTATACGGGTAACCACTAACACTATACAAATAACATCCGTCAAACCCTCCAAGCGAACAACAACGCCTGGCTCACGCCGGCAGCCCAGCATCCCCCCGTAACACAGTCCTCACCAACAACCCCATCCACGCCTTCCACGTCAAGTCCGGCTGATCAAAATACGGCATAGCGATCCACCACGTCTTCCACTCCCTGTCCACATCTTCGCGAGGCCGTACCACCCAATCCACCAGCCCCCTCCTCGACATCCGGTCAATCCACTGCTCCCAGTCCCTCCCTGCCAGCTCCAACATGCCCCCCTGCGCCAACATATTCGACTGCACCACACACACCTCCTCCGCCGACTGCAACACCATCGAGCGTATCCCTTCGAGCGTCATGATCTCCCGTTCAGCCGGACCCGGAGCGCTGGGCACGAATATTCCGTCCGCAGTATATCCGCCCGGGGGGATATTAAACCTAGGAGCACCCACAAGGTCGATAGTCGGCCGGCCGGCGTCGGAATCGCACACCACGTCCCACCACAATCTCAGCCAATCCCATTCCGCCCTCTGCCGCGGCCTCCGTCTCCTTATCCACCCGCCGGCCATGCCCACAGCCACGCCGTTCGCAGTCCCGTCCCCCTCTTCCTCCTCCTCATCCTCCTCTTCATCCTCCTCCTCTTCTTCTTCCTCATCCTCTTGAGAGTCCCCCCAGCCATCCTCCTCCCACTCATCCTCGTCTTCATACTCCTCATCCTCGTCCTCATACTCCCCATCCGCGTCAGAGTCCCCCCACTCCCAGTACGGATGCCCTACCGCTATTACAACATGCTTCGCCTTCCTCACATCCTCCGTCACCCGCAGCAGGATCCGCGCCGACAGGCTGCGCATCAGCCTGTCGCTGTAGCAGATGATGTCGCGGTCCAGGTCGACATAAATGCGCCCTTGGGGCGAACCAGGACTGTCCCCGGTGTGGTTTATCGTGCGGTAGCCGTTCGGCGCGAAACCGAGGCGGTAATACTGGAGCGCGACCTCGCGTGATTCGACGCAGGTGTGTAAAAGAGCCGGGGGTCGGGTGGAGGAGTAGAAGATATGTGGGCGCTCTTGGGGCTGGGGTTTAGAGGGGAGTTTTGGGCGCAGTTTTGAGAACCAAGAACGGGGAATCACGTCCGGGGCAAGGATCTGGGTGAGTGCTTCGGTCCAGGTAACAGCCCACCACCGGATAGTCGTCAGCATCGATGTCGAAAGTGGCCTTGTCGCACTCGGCGGGAAGGGGCCTTCAGGCACGCGCAGCATGATGAGGCGCCCTGGGGGTATGGCGAATTTCCATATCATCTGGCGTAGCTCCGGGGGCAGGTCGCGGAACAGGTGGAAGGTGGTCGGCGTGCCGGGTAATGGTGGGCGGTACGGCGACGACATTGGGAGAAGACGACATCCTGCCTCGGGCCGTCGGGCCAGTTGCCGTGTCTCGATACGCTCTAGATGGAGCTCGCGAACCGCCGAGCACCAGTACAGGGCGATGACGAGACAGACAGGAGAGAAGAGGGACATTCCAGACAACTCGCTTGTAGACCATCGGTGTTCAAGGTTGATGCGGACTATCGATGTTGTGATGGTCTCGGGGCTCGCCATAAACTGAGATCGAAGAAGGTGCGGTAGTTGCTAGGAATTTAAGACGATAGACGTTCCGAGTGAGTGAGTGGGCGAGAAATTGGGTGTGGACTAGTCTGGGACGTTGGGAATCGAACTTTCTCAGTGAGGCAACGCTTAAATAGGAAGGGATTAAGGAAGGCTGGTCATAGCGACAAGCCAGCCGTCATTCTTGAGTCCCACAGCAGGGACGCGCTGATGGTAGAGGAGGCATCACTAGTTCCCTCCAACTGATCGTAAATATAATGTCAAAGACAAGCAGCTTGGTCCCCGAGCGGGGTTCTAGCATCAGCATGATGCAAGCTGGCTCGCGATGGTTGTCTAGCTCCGGAGAGCGTCGTAACCCCATCCGAAGGGAACCACTGGCAAGGGGTAGTGGGTGGTAGTGTTGCAAGACAGCGACAAAGGCACTGTATTTGGCGGTCTGGAGAGTGTAGAACCTCGAAACGTGCATCGAGTCGGGTTGTTCATTAATGGTTCTGTTGCGTAGCTCCGACGGGCACATGAGCGAGCGTTCATCGAATGTTGGGTGAATTGACCGCTCGGAATATCAGTACACGTAACCAGGTGCCCACGCTGCACATGTAATGGGATTTGACATATCATAGATATTCAATCAAGTTGGAATCCGCAGCTCCGTTAAGGCGCATACATGGTTCGCCAGGAGATGGTCCAGCGCTCTCGATGCCGGGGAAGTTGAAGCCCTTTGGAGTGAAATAAGCACCCCCGGCGTAAGGTGCCGAGCAACGGGTACGTGGGGTTCCCGAGAAAGCCGAGGGAATTGAATTCGCCTATGGCACAGAGTCGGTCACTGCGCTGCCCTTATTCCGGGACACCGCGGCCGTCTAGTGCTCACGGCCGTGGTAGCCGGGCAGGTAGGTGTGGATGGTGAAGCAGCTCTCACACACTTAGCCACTTCACCACACATCACTCGGATCCACCTCATGCTTCTCGCCATCGTCCCGGACATGCTCCTTCTTCACATCCCGCTTCATCGGCTTGCGCATGTCATAGGCATCTTCACTCGACAAGCTTGGATCGGTGGCGTGTTCCCCGTAATAGTCCTTAACGACACGGAACACGCTGTAGCCCATGCTCTTGTAGAAGTTGATCGCCTTGTGGTTGCTGACGCGCACAAACAGGTCGACAAACCAGGCGTCGCCCGCGTCAGCGGCGACCTCGAGTTGCTCAGTCAGCAGCTTGCCGATGCCGAGACGGCGGGCTTCAGGGGCCACCGTGACCGCCGTGATGTGCGCGTGCCAGGGCAGGTAGTGTTCTGAGAACTGGTAGACGTCGGGGGAGGATTCGAGTTTGCCCATGACTAGGTTGAGCTGTTAGCGGGGTGGAAAAATAAAATAAAATCAGGAGGAAACCTCCGAACGGAAAAGAAAAAGGCAAAAAGAAAGGGGTGCCGCACTGTATCCGATGATATTCCCATGCTGGTCCTCCGCCACTTGGAACAGTGATGGCCACTTCGCGTAGTACTGCAGGTAGAAACCGAGGTCATACGTCTCTGTGAACGGATCAAGGTTGCATTTCGACAACTTGTTCAGGTCGTCGGGGCGAAACCGCCGGAAGTTCGCCATCGACGCGGGCAGGAAGGGGCAATTACGCCGGCCGTGGAGGTGGGCAAGAGCACTGTCGTCGGTCGAGGAAAAGGTTATGTTTTGTGTCCAAAAATTGACGATCTTGGCCTGCGAGGTCGAGGAACCTTAAGCTCAGTGAGGGGCGAGCCGAGGGGCATTGACCTGTTGTGGGGGGCTTGCTTGGTTGAAGCTGACAGCCTTGTGATTGGCCAGGTGGCCTCTTTTTCCCCTGCTCCTGCCCCTCCATCCCAGGACCCGGACTTTTCGGACGAGTGCCCGGGCCTGGCTTGACCTCAGGTCTGTGTGGAACAGGAACAAATAAGGAATTATTGGTTGTGGCTTTTTCGTGTTACGGACTACAAACAAGAGCTGAAATGTTTCCTAGTATTTTTTGTGATTTTCTAGCATCATCAAGATCATCTAGAGTGATTCGGCCCCCAGAAAAAACCCCTGTTTCCTTTGTCGGTCCTGTAATCCCACCACCCCGGTTTCTCCCCCACCCTCAACCGTCAGGCCGCTGTGCCAGCCCAGAAATTGGGACACGGAAGACCTGCATGCGGCGATTGCTGTGCCGTTTCGGGCGTGCACAGCAAGGCAAGAAGAAAAAAAAAGAAGAAAAACGATGATTGGGAAAGTTGCGGCCCGAGCGACTTGTGAAAGAACAGACTTCCCCGTCACGCAAAGCAAACGATACGGAACATAGCTATGGCTCTACTTTGCCATTGATGATGTTTCTTTCCCCGCCGAGCTAACCTTCGTCTGAGTGAAACGGACCAAAGCAGCCAGGGTAGGCCTGTCCGGGAAGCCTGTCCAGATTACTGCAGATTACAGATTCCTGCATCGGATTTCTTCCTTTCTGACTGGAACATCCAAGCATGAAATTTCTTTGAACTTCACGCAGCGAACAAGCCTCCTCATTGGGCCCTCGCGATATAGACCGCTCCGTCGAATATACCTGCATTTCTGGTGCGACCATTTCCCAGCGACCGACCTGCAACTCGCCATCCCTGTGCATAACCCGGGCAACCAGGTCAACGTGTGAAACGGAACGAACGGGCTTGACAAAGTCGGCGGTCACGGCTCGACTCGACGACTCGACAACTAAACAACTCGATTTCGCGCGATCCCGCATCGCGCACGATTGCTCGACTCTCGCGAGACAAACGACGCAGACCGTGACGATCCAGAGCCAACCGCTAAAATGTCATCACCGCAAACGCCACATCACTCCCCGCACCCTTCCCACGACTACTCCGCCGCCGCCTCTTACGCCTCCTATTCCCCACAAGAGCGCCGCCGATCCAAGGGGTCCTCATTCAACGACTCTTCCACAGATCTAGGCATACCGATCGTAAGCAGCGGTGGGGAGAGTGGGGGCCTCGGCAACTTGGCCGACGAACTCGCGGGTGCATTCGACGATGACTACGACGATGAAGATGACGGTTACGGGGACGGGGACTATGACGAGGAGGAGGGTGACGAGGATGCGAGAACCGACGGACAAGGCAGCGAAGCCCCAGGGATACACCTGGAGGATACCACCGGGGACGAATACACAGACGGGAAGCCAGAAGACGGGGTACGGGACAGCGGCATCGATATCGTAAGCCCAACACTGCCCGGCGGTAGGGCAGGGAACGGACACAACCCCAAAGGCAGTCTCGGGCTGCCGACAGCAAACGGGCGCGGCGGCCACCGCAGGAAGGGCAGTGAGTACGACGGGAGCGAGTACGGTAGCGAGTCGGACCTGGAGTCGCCCGGGTGGCCGCCCAAGCTGGTTGAGAAGATGGATGAGGTCGAATCCCTAGCTCGGCGGGGGACGGAGAAGACAGGGTCCACGGCGGATGGTGCGTTCAAGCGCGTCACAGATGGGCTGCGCGATTTGGGCTCGCAAGGGAATATCGAGAGCGGTGCAAACCGGTGAGTTTCAGACCCCGCTTAGCCATACCTACTACCTATCTGTAGTATCACCACTAACTAACTTCCTTTTCTCCAGATTAATAACCGCCCACACAGCCCTCACCACCCACCTCACCCACCAAACCCGCCAACTCCACAACCTCACCTACCCCCTCCTCTCCCCCCTAACCCCCCCACCAACAGAAGAAGCCGTCGCCGCCCTCCTCCCCATGCTCCTCGCCCTCCCGGACACCATGCCCCGGCCCTCCACACCAGCCCTTCAATCCCTCTCCGCCCTACACGCGCTCACCTCCGACCTCGCCCAGACCCTCAACTACCTCTCCGACACGCTGCACATGTCACGACAGACGACGACAGCCGCCGCACGGAAGCTGCGCGCGGCACGGGAGCTGGTGGCGGAACTGCGGCGGGAGGAAGAGTTGCGTGAGGAGGGGGAGCGGTGGTTGACGCGCGGCGGGTGGGGGGAGAAGTTGCAGCGTCGGGAGTGTGCGCATGTGTGCGGGGATGTGGTCGGTGGGTTTGAGGCGGTGTGTGATTCGTGGCGGGAACGGCTGTGTGCGCTGGCCGAGGAGACGGGGGCACAGGCTTGACCTGGCTTGCCTGGGAATGATATGGGTGGATGGATAGATTAGATGGCGGGGAGTATATGGTGCATGGTTTTCGGGTTGATATAGTTGGGATCGGCTGGTATCATCGTTGGTTGTTTCGTTTGATCTTTTTCCCAGAAATCAGAGGTCCAATGGGACTTGGTACCTCTCTAGATATGGTTGGTGGTGACTTGAGAACAGATGCAACAAACACAGCAGACAGTCTGGGAGTTGGGAGCACATGAAAGACAGACAGCTAAAGGTTAGATGGCTGGGAGTTAATCATACAAGCGGATTTTTTCTTTCTTTGAATCCCTTGTCCCGATTTCCATTTATTCCTCGAGTGCTAAAGCTCTTTACAGTAATTACCTATGGAAGCCTAACAAAGTGACCGTAAAGGGCTGAACACGTTGGCAATGCCCTTTTCTTAACTAGTTTATCTTTTCTTTTCTTCGACTAGGTATTTACAGAAATAGCTGGATAATTAGAGGTACGCCGAAACCGGGAAGGCCAAAGCCTGAATCAACTACATTTAAGCAGCCATTCGGCAGTAAGTCTCTGATTCTGATACTGGACCGGGCCAAGATATGACATTAGCCCTCCCTGAAGAAGGGTGAAAGGGAGCGGTGTGGTTCTAAGAAGCTGTAGTTAACCGAACTGGAAAGTTTCTTGGAATATGTTATGGCAATATGCGATAAAACGGCTATCTATTGAATGAGTTTCCCCGTGATATTATTAAGGCCCCAACGGGAAGTCCAATGCAACCCCACTCGCTACGACTACCGCAGCGGGTACTACCCAACGTTAATAGAACCTCGCAGCTGCGGTATGTATGTATGTACATACAAGCAGTACAACTGTCACCAATCAACTACAACCAACCTACCTAGCATAACAAAATCAAACAGTTCCCCCCAGCAAGAATCAATAATCAACAGCTCAACCTGAGCCTCTGAGCAACTCTAACTCAGAATCATTCATGCACTCTTCTTTGTCTTAACTCACTAAACTCTCACTCAATTCTTGAGTTTTTCTATCTCTCACTCATCCTCCTCAGATCCTGAGAACTCCGATCCATCTTCCATCTCATCATCCTCATCCTCTTCCTCTTCTTCCTCCTCGTCATCATCTCCCTTAAGTCCGTAGTCATCATAGAAATGCGCCAGCGGCTGCACCTGTGTCTTGTAACCCGCCGTGTTGAGTGCCTTGACCATGTTCTGGAATAGCAATGTCTTAGTTTCGATTTCCCAAAAATCCAACACGGAACGTAAGAAAATGCAAATGCAACACGATGAACTTACCTCCTCCATAATCGGCGCACACGTCACCACCACATTACTCTTCCCCGGCTCAAACACCGGCAACACAACCTCACGCATCACAGCACGGATCTCGTCCTCAGTAACCTCACGCACGCGAGCCAAAATTTTGCGATTCCAACCCGGCTCCAAGCCCCTCACGACCCCCAGGATATAATTCTGCTGCGCAGCCGCCGCCATCGTCGCTTGCTCGTCCGCCGCAGCAAACACAACCCCACTCACGGCACCCTCAACCAGATGCCGATCCAGCGGGACCTCACCTGACGCCACCCGCGCGACGGTGGCCCGGCTCGCCTCGATGGCTTTGCTCGCGTCGGGGGATCGGTACACCTTGAACTGGATGTAACCCGCATCCACCTCGCGCGAGAAGGACACACCGTAAGCAAGCCCATTGCCGCGCACCGCGTTCCACAACGGGCCCTCGACCGCCTCGAGATAACCTAGCGCAACGAGATAGGCGGGTAAGCGCGGGTCGGCGTAGGAGGTGAGGCCCGTTGCAGTGCTGACGCTGTAGGAGCTGTCGAGGGTGGTCATGGGGATGATGACGCTGCCAAATGTTCCCGGGGCGCGGCCCTCGGGGCTGAGCATGGAGGAGAGCTTGGTGAGGGGGAAGACGTCTGGGGTTGAGTCGAAGCTGGGGGCCGTGGAGAAGATGTCCCAGGCAGCGACTGGGTTGGGGAGCTGGGCGACGTCGGCGGTCACCAGCACGCGCATGTTGGCGAAGGTGAAGAGGCTTTTGCGGAGCTCCTCGAACCAACCGATAACCGTGTCGGGCTCCTTTTCGATGAGTTTTTTGAGGCGGCGCAGGTACAGAGCCTTGACGAGGGCGCGCTTCGCGACGAGATAGGATTCCGGTTTGAAGTGAACGGCCAAGTCGACTTCCTGAGCCATCACGCGTCCGTCTCGCTTCGCTTCGGGGATGTCGGCGAGCGCCTTGACCACGGCTGCTTTGACCCGGACGGGGTCGAAGATGATGTCGAACATCAGGGTGCGCAACCAGCTGATGATGGTGGTGTACTTCTCGCGGTCGACCTGGAAGTGGATGGCCACGCCCTCATAGTCGCCTAGGCGGGACGAAGAACCGATGTGATAGCTGATGGTGTCCTTCTCCAGCTGCTTGACCACCTCCTCGAACTCTAGCCGCTTGCCGTCCTTGGTCACGGGCGAGTTGAAAAAGATGTCGGCAAACAGCGGCAGCAGCGGCTTGTACTTGATTGGAGTCTGCGTCATGCCCAGGTGGACGGTGAGATGCACGAACCCGGTCGGGACGTCCTCAAACTGCACAAACAACGGCAAGCCCTGAGTCGCGGCGTCAATGGCCTTCTGGGCGGCGTTGTCCTGGACACCCAGGCTCCGTGCCTTGCCAGACCTGGCCGTGGCCGACTCAATGAAGTGGATGGAGGACGTCCCGGGGACGGGCCACTGGTCCAGCACCTCAGGTGGAATTGGTTTCTCGTTGTTCGCCTTGGCAGTCTCAAGCTTTCCCTTCAGCTTATCAAGCCCTTCCTTCCCAAGTTCCTCCTTCCTCTTCGCGATCCTCGCCTCCTCATTGGCCTTGAGCGTGTTGGCAAGCGCCTCAGAGGGTTTACCCAGGATTGAGATGTGGTGGGCGTCCGAGATCCATTTCTTCAGGAACGATTTCCATTGCTCCTCCGTCCAGCTATCAAGAACATCATACTCGCTCAGGTTCGAGAGCTCTTCCAAGGTAGACCCGTCGCGCTTACCAAAGAGATAGTCAGTAATAATGTTGGTGGCGTAGAATCCCTCAGACCCTTCGGCTTGTAGCTTCACCTGGCGCTGCTCCCGCTGCAGGCACTCCTTGATGTAGTCCATGTCTAGCGGCTTGGAGGCCACTTCCTTCAAAAGAGAAATGAGGCGCTGCTCCACAAACTCGAGCTTCTCGGTCGCCACACCCGTGGGCTGGAACCAAATGACCGAGTTTGGCCTGCTGTCCCACCAATACGAAACTGAGCTTGCGAGGTGCTCCTTTTCGACCATCACGTTCTCAATAACCGAGACAGAAGACCCGCAAAGGTATGTCATGATAATGTTGACGGCCGTCGCCTGGACCTGGTCGTTGCAACTCGGTCCGAAAAACGCCACGCATATCTCCCCGGTCGACTCGTCCTCCTCGGGAAACTCCACCGTCTCAACAATCGTCTTCTCCAGCGCCGGTGGCTGCGCGGAATCCACAAACGGACGCTTAAACTGTGGGTTGGGCGGCGGGATATCATCCTTGATGCTTTCCTCAAACTCATCCAGGATCCGCAAGAGGTCGTCATGATCGGTCTCACCAATGATCACAATGGCTAAGTTCTGCGGCTGGTACATGGCCTTGTGGAACTCGCGGATCCGCTGGGGAGTCAACACCCGGAGCGCCTCCATCATGCCGCCCGTCTCGTAGCGGAAACCAATGTTCTCGGGGTACAGCAGCCGGCGAGCCCGTAGGTCCATCAGCTCGGTGCTGCTGTACTGCAGGGCCTGCATCTCTGAGTAGACCACACCCGCATCGTTTCCTTCACCATCGATGTGGTGAACCTCAGTCACGCACGCGTCGTCCGTAATGTGGGGGACAATGACGTGTTCAAGGTAGACGGGTAAGATTTGGGCGAAGCCATCCCAACCGGCCGTTTCGAGCGTGTAGGCGGTGTGGTCGACCGCGGTCCAGGCATTGGTGTTACTGTACGCCCGGCCGGCTAGCTTGTCCAGCAGGCCCTTGTACCGGTAGCTCTTGGAGCCCATAAAGACGAGGTGCTCCAGTGTGTGCGGCGCGCCTGAGTCGTCGAAGATCTCGGTGGCCAGGGTGAAGTAACCGTTGACCTTGGGCCCTTTGCGGTCGGTCACGATGACCTGCATGCCGCTTCGCTCCGACACATACTGGGTGATTGTGGCTGGGGCATAGTCGGTGCGGAAACTCTGGACCTTGCGGAACCGAGGCTTCTGTGGTGCCGTCATATTCTGGCCGGTTATCCGTTGCATAAGCCCTTGGAGGTAACTATAAATTTGTTAGCACAGACGCGTAGAGGCCGTGGAATTGATCCGGCCGACAAGCCATCGAGTGCTGGGGCCTTGTGTCGTATAGCCCCTTCATCTTCAGAAACTTGTGATCACATAAGATGCCCTTTGAAGCATACCCATAGTCCCATGTTCCCTCCACAGCCTGCTGTGCTGCGACAGAGGTGTTGAGTACGCAGATGAGCACCAGAAGCATCAACACCCATGGGATCGGGCTCGGAAAAGGCATCTTGCCTGAAGATGGCACAGAACAGGCGAGCCCGGGGTTACCATGAAAAGCAGCAGATAGTGAAATAGAGACCGCGTCTGGATATGAGATGGGTCGGGCAACCTCGCCGCGGGGTAGGGGCTTTGAGGAAATGGTCCGCTTAAACCTGCCCACTAATGCGGCATGCGAGGTGTACAACAACACGGCTGAGCGACCCGGAGTGGGGGTCTTTTTTATGGGAGAACCCTTCTGAGTGGGTAGAGAAAAGCTTGATGCTGACAGACGTACCGGGTTTGAAGATGCAGGCTGCGAGCGAACAGTAGTTGTCGCTTTGCTGCCTGGAAGCAGAGCCGGAAACCAATGGCGGTGTGTTACTCGACAGCCAGCAAGAGCTATCAGAGGCGGACACAAAAACAAGTGGTTGCGGGGAGAGAGCCTTGCGCTTAGATAAACTTCTGAAGTGGATTTGCGCTGCGGAGGTGCGGGTAGGTTGTAAACAACTCCTCTGCTCAGATTTTAGGGACCGATGAGGGGCACAAAATAGAGGGGAAGAAGAGCAGGGGGGCTGTTGGAAGATTATTTGTGATATGTCTTACCGCCCGATGTGGAAATGCTGAAAGCCAGCTGTTGGGAAACTGGATTTAAGAACTAAAACCCTCGCGTGTACTTGATAAACAAAGGCAGCTAGCTGTTGTGGAACTTGTATGGAATGAAGGTCAAATGCCTTGAGGGATGGCGGGGCAGAGGTTGCACCAGGGATGTCTACCCCGCCAACAACCCGACGGTCCATTGAAATCTTGTCGTCGACAACCATAACCCCGATAACACCTTGATACCCATTCGAGAACAAGCATTTCGATTGGCCGGTGGTTGGGACGAGCACCCGAATTTGGTTATTTATATGGTTGACACTGATGAGACGAGACAGACCCCGGCTACGGTGAGATGCCGAAAATACCCGGTTGGGTTTCAGGTTCGGTAAACCAATGCTCACTTGTACATGTACGATCACAGGAACAACACAATCAGGACGGAACAGGCAACGTATCATCAAGCAAGACAACCAGGAGGTCGATTCTGGTCTAGTTGGCGGAGCTCTCCCTCGGAGCATGCCAGAGGCGCTAGACGGGAGAGACAAGCTCTTCAATGAGACAAGCTCTTCAATACCGGTTTGTTCCTCCCAGAATCCGTCGTCACATCCCTCGGCGTCCACCTTTTGTTGTTTATGCCCTTGAAGATGACGGCGCGGCACTTAGTGGCCGGCACGGCGGGACTCAGCGATGACACGGTTCATGTCCTCAACCTTCGCCTTGGCACGGCCGAAGGTGCCGAGCTAAAAGAAAACGACGTGTCAGATACGATCGAAGCTGGAATCAAGCCGGGTAAAATCTTACCTTCTTCTTCGCGAGCTTACGGGCACGCTTATCCCTGCTGTTGCGGAGGAGTTCGATGATGCGGCGCTCGTAGGGAGCGAGGCTGTTGTTCAACGTGTCAGCGGATGTCCCAGCAAGCGACCTTAAGCACGTGTCCGCGAGGATGTCGCAACAGAGGAAAAAAAAACAACATACCCAGAAACCTCCTTGACGAGGTCACGGACGAAAGCGGTGCGCTTGCTGAGGTGGCCCTTGGTGCGGCTCACGCGCGGCTTGCTAACGCGGGCGGTGGTCTTCTATATTCGGGGAAAAGAGGGCGGACGAAGGTCAGCCAAGGTCCATCATCCGCGTACATGCTTCGAGGTATCCCCGAGGGGATGAAGCAAATGCGAAGATCCTCCACGAGGTGAGACAGGAAGGCTATCTTACGTGGCCCTTGTTGAGACCCTGTGAAGAAACATGTCAGTAAACTTTCGCGATTCTCCTATTTTGCCAATTCGAGCCGGCAGGTATGGCTGCGAGCGCAATTGCGCAACAACCACGCGAATTCATCGCCAGCAAAAAAACTGTTCGTGGGTAGACTTACGGTGGCCAGCCCGGTGCGGGGAGTCTCGTTCTTGGTAGCGGCCATTGTGACTGGTGGTGCCGTCGTGATGATTGTCGTCGTGACGTTGAGCAGAGAAGGAAGGAATTTTTCTTGGGTGTTTCGTTTTGTGGGTTGAGGGCAAAAGTTCTGAGGTGGGTCTCCGGCACCAGCTGGTCGACGGCTGTCCATTATTGATCCCTGTTATCAATTTCATGGTGGGGCCAAATGCCCCGGGGTTAGGGTTACAGCGGCCCAGGTTGAGCCGAAGCTCTGACATCGACTTCCAATTGGGGACAGCTTGAACATTGACAACCCACGTCAAGCCACTCGCCATTTCGCTGCTGACCGTGAAGAGCCGATTTCCGGCGCTCTATGACAATCTACGGACTTTGTTGTCGATTGCCCGCGGTTTTTGGCGTTCTGCAATATTGAGGCGGTGGTAAAAGAGGAGGAAAGGGAATCTCCAGTGGACTCAAGCTTCGACACCCAACGGCGGTACCCCCGGGAGCGCTGTACTCGCCATGGCGGCCGCCGAACCTCCACCAGCGCGGATGGCGCAAGCGCTTGTTGACTTCTCACTCTACGGCTCGTTCCCCGAAGACACAGTATCATCATTACCGATCGACGCCGAATCCCTCCCCGCGGCCATCAAGGCACTCGCAGACGCCAAAGCGAAGCTCCAGGTACGAGCGCATAAGAATAGGGGGTTCCTGCACGCACACTAAGCAATATTGCATGCAGGCCGAAATCCATGCGATCAACGAGGAGACGGCCGAAGACGTTAAGACCTGGCAGGCAAATGCGCAGCTCGTTCAAGACGACATCCTACGGTCAAAGGCGCTGGCAGCCGAGATCGTAAAAGCAGCGGAGGCTCCCGTTGTTTCAGGACAGGCCGTGGACGAGATCGAAGCCAGGGCCGACTTCCTAATTCGCGAACTCAACTACAATGCGCAAGTACAAGAAACGCTCAGGGGAATCAGGACCGTAAACCGGACGCTGGACGAGGTCGAACAGGCTCGGGACGAGAGGCGTATTTTAGATGCCCTGCATCTGCTAGAAAGTGAGCGATGCGCGCGTAAGTTGGACTGGGCGCCGCTAATGATTACTAGAATCGTGGAAGCAACTGGATATCGTAGGAGTGAAGTCTTGTCGTGCCATCAAGCTCCTCGACGTCAGGGCGTTTGAGCTCAAGTCGGACGTGCATGAAGTGTTTGACCATGTCTGGAATGCGCTCATACATGTTGACGTTGACGGCCATACGGTATCAATACAGAGCAGCCGAGAAGGTAAGACAGAATCAGCCGAAGCAGACCTACTCCTCATGTGAATGGCTCTGACCCGCGCAGACGAGCCGATGAATCTCGAAGATGCGGTAATTGGTCTGAGAGCATACAAGGAGGTTGACCAACGGATGGACCATCTCTGGAAAAACTTAAGCCAGGCAATCTTGCTTCCTAGGATGGATCTTGCGAAAGCTGCACTGCCCGGTATTCGTGTTGAAGATGTGAGTAGACCTCATTGCGTTGACGGAGCAATTTCTGACCTCAACAGGGCGTTCTGGCACTGCGTGGATCAGCGGACAACAGCATACATTCCCTATTTGAGGATCTAGACCAAGTCTTTTCGTACCTTGTGCAACGACTTCCTCCCGATCTTATCGACACCATTTCTTCGAGTTTACTGCCGGACACGATACACAGAATCACCAGCGTCTGGCTTGATTCAGCAGTGCCGTCCTCCCTTCATGACATGGACGGGTTCCAAGTGGTCATCGAAGCTGCCAAAACCTTTTGCGCCAGGTTACGGGCTCTCGGATTTTCCAATTTTGGCGGGTTGCAGGAATGGACCGACAACGCGCCAAAGGTCTGGCTCTCCAAATGTAGAGAAGCTGCATTGGATTCTGTGCGGACCAAACTCTCTCAGGGGCTAGGTGCTCCCAGGCAAGTGGAGAAGGTAGAGAAGCAGATGGTTTCAAAAACAGAAGGCCAGCAGCTGGTTGCTAATGCCGCCGTGGCTACTGCCGATGACCATGGGTGGGATGCGTGGGATGATGGCGAGCAAGCAGGTCAGGAAGAAACACCAAACGGAGGAGCAGATGAGCCCCCAGGGGATGAGGATGATGGAACCGATGCATGGGGGTGGGGCGAGGAAGGGGGGGGTGAGGAAGAGGCCGCTGCAGAAGAACCGAAGAAAGAGACTAAGGCGACGGCATCGCAACCGAGCAAACCGGACGATGATGACGACCCATCAGAAGCTTGGGGATGGGGCGACGAAGCCAACACTGACAACACTGACGAAGCCAACACCAAAGAACCCGAACCCCAAAAGGCGCCTCCTGTTGCTCCACGGGCAGAGCCAGAAACAAGAGAGCTGATCTTAAAAGAGACATACAGCATCTCTTCACTCCCGCAGCCGTTGTTGGACTTGATATTCTCCATAGTTCAAGACGGCGCAGCCTTGACAAAGGAGAGCTACGCGGGAAGCCCCGTCGCAACCCAAGCAGCAGGACTATTCAGTCTACCAACTCTCGCCTTGGCTGTGTTCCGGGCAGTTTCCCCGCACTACTATGCCCCGGGCATCGGTGGCAACATGTAAGAGACCCCGATCGGACTCAAGGAGCAGGCATTCTCTAACAAGCCCAGGTATCTGTACAACGACTCGGGCTACCTGGCCGAGCAACTGGGGGAGTTCGCCGCGGCTTGGAAGACACGTGAGGACATCAGCGCTAGAGCCCAGAATATGCTCCGTCTCGACAATGATGTCAAGACTCTCCAGTCTTTTGCCAACCGGGCCTACACCAACGAGCTCGCCATCCAGAAAACCGTACTACGGGACTTGTTAGGAGGTATGTAGCATCCGAGATACAGCGAAACCCTATTTCTCCCTTCCCACTTCTTTCCTTTCCGAGTATTGACACAGAGTCCTTGCTTAGGAGAACAAAACCTCCTCCACCAACCCGACACAGCCGCCTCGATCTCGTCCGCCACAGCGCGCGTGCTCTCCCTCGGCACGGCCTGGGAAGACATCCTGGCCCGCTCGGTATGGCAGCAAGCAGTCGGCAGTCTTGTTGACGCCGTCGCAGCCAAGATGATCGCCGACGTCATGGACCTACCCTCGATCGGCCAGGATGAGGCGTACAATATCGCCAAGCTAATCGCTTCGGTTGAGGAGCTGGATCAGTTGTTTTTGCCTAGTCGTGGTCAGCCGCAGGATGGTGATGGCGGCGGCGGTGGTGGTAAGAAAGCAGAAGGAGACGAAGTGCCGATGACGGCGCAGTTCGCGGGGAACTGGCTGCGGCTGAAGTACTTGAGTGAGGTGCTGCAGAGCAACTTAAGGGATGTGCGGTTTTTGTGGGTGGAGGGCGAGCTGAGTCTGTATTTCACGGCTGAGGAGGTGGTGGATTTGATACAGGCCAGTTTTGAAGACAATGCGCGCACGCGGGAGGTCATTCGCGATGTGCGGGCAAATGTGCGGCCGTTGGGTGGGGACGGTGATGAGGGAGGGGGTTGGTGAGGAGGTGCGTGGTGCTCGTGATGGTGATTATGGACGGGGAGCGTGGTGTTATCGGCACAGTGGATTGGATCTAGGTTACCGACTGGAAATATACATCACTACTTGGGATACGATCACTACATCTGAGTTGAACGTGAGTTTTTGGTGTTTTGTTCTCTTGCTTGGCGTCGTTGTTGCGTAGCTCTGCATTGTTTACTTGCCCCTGAATTCTGCGTCTCGCTTAACTTGCTCGAGTGGGAAGTTTCCAAACACCAAAACCAAACTCACTCAACAAACTCAGTCTGTCGCGGCTTCACATTTCTAATCCTTCATGTTGCATCGCTAATTCCCCGTTATTTCCCTTCTTCCATTTCCATCTTCAAGCCGCGATTCCCGCGGCATAACTTTTTATTCAACTCTCCCCGCAGCAATCTACCTCCTTCCAGCGGCCTGCAGACTATACAGTTTGCTTACGCCTGCGAAAGCAACCTTCCGGCATGGAATTACACAATCTCAATCTTCCCCATATGTGTGTTTTTTTGGACAGCTCCCCCCCTGCAAATAGGGAAATGCAACCGCCTCCAAAGAATCCATGCACGAATTGTCCATTTAGGAAGCATAATGTTGCTGCTGTTGCCGTAGGCAGAAAACCCCATTGGAACTGCAGCGAAACCCTGTTCCCGAGTTCTGATGTTCTCCACGTACTATGTACGTCGCCTTCAACAACTATCGCGGCTTCACCGGCTTCAATTGATCGGCGGTCTTGATGACATGTCTCTCTCTTCCTCGCTTTGGCCTTCTCAGATAGGAACCCGCGCGTGCCAAGTAGGAACTTTTGCTCCGCCACCACATATGTATCTCGTGCCTGTGGGTGTGTTCACGCATGTCTTATCCTTTGGGAAAATCCTTCCCAGTTGAATGGAACGCGGGATGATGATAAGTTGATCAACCGTTGGTGGGGGAGGAAGGGGGTGTGGGAAGAGGAAACGAAAAAAAAGGACATATTTTTGTGGCTAGGGCTGACGAACAACAGCGACTCGTGTCGTATGGTGTTGTATGGCTGGGGGGTGTCGTGGTGCAGATTCAGGAATTTTCGACCGTTAATTATAGGATGTTGACGTTAGCGCTACTGCAGACAGAGTCGATTTAGGAATAGAGTCAACGTAGCCTAGAGGGAGAAGAAGAAGCGAGGCTGCCGAGTCCGAGACATCAACAGCCACTACTACTACCACCACCACCAATACCCCAACAACAACACCGCACCGTTGGCCTGTGATGCTACTGCAGTACGCCATGCCATGCCATGCATCATGTCTCTGTCTCTGTCTGTCTGTCATGCCAAGCCTTATTCTGCACCCCCCCTTCCACCATACTACACTAGTACATATGTACACTAGACACACACGCGCGCTTTCGCGCCTTTGACGATCGGATCGAAAGTAACGCTAGAAAGCGGGGGGTGCCAGTGGAAGGAATGCAGAACGCAGATGCCCTGTCTCATTGTGGCGGGGTCGGATTGGACGGGAGGATTTGAGAAATGGTATCATGCACGGCATTGAGAGCGGGCGTAGCATGGCATGGGGTGGTATTGGTGAAGCGGGCGGGGAGTGCAGACCGGTGAAGAAGATCGCCTGGTCGCTGGTTGAAACAGAAAACAGGGGCGGAAGAAGTTGAAGGGGTTGGTTTTCCTCGTGTAGTGTAGGCAGACGAAAGCACGTTTGTTTGTTTGCTTTGCTTTGCTTGATGATCTAGAACAACATTCCAATCTGCCCGGCCGGTCCGCGCTCGCTTCCTTGACAGTACCCGCCGGCTTCCCGAGGCTCCGGGTCGGCCGGCGCTTGGCAAAGAGGCATTGCGGGCAATTGGGGCGTGGGCAGCCTCGTTGTTGAGCAGGGGTTGCGGGTTTCTTCGTTTTTCTGCAGTGTAGTGGACTTCCAAGTCCGAGGATGTCTCAGTTTGCCTTGGAGGAAAAGCCACACAGCCCAGGAATGGGATTTCAAGATTCAACGGGCCTGTTCCGGGTTTCCGATCTCCCCGTTTTACCCGCAAACACATTGATCATCAGCCTTGGATTCGCCGGTCGACAGGGGGGCGCGGGTTTTGTCAAAACGGGCAACCAGGTCGTTCATGTGTCGACAGGGCTTGGCTCTACCCGAGACAACAACAAAGACGCCCACGGTCGGAAGAGGTACCCATTTGGAATCCATTCACTCAAAGCCGAGGTTCGCTAAAAAGATAGTGTGGGGGGGAAACGACGTAAGGGAGAAACAAATCTGACTTGGAACGGATCCGAAGTACTATGGTATATTCGGTAGAGAGCACAAAGTAACTTTGCCTGTCTCAAGGGGAAGTATTTTAAGGTACCTGGAACTCAGCGTTCTCTCTTTGCTGGAACAAAAATAGTCCTCAACCCATGCCTCGTTTCCACCCTGTCCAGCCCCCTCTCCCATGCACCCATGATGCCAGCCCGGTCTTGGGGAGCTTGAGTGAGGTCCCGAGGATGACCGAATACGCAGCTCGGCCCCAAGCTTGATGCCGAGTTAATCAAAGACAACATCTCGCAAAGGGCCAACGCTCCGTAGTGTACTGACATAGCTCCATTTCATTTTAGCGCACTGGGTGGGCTGAGAGCTCAGGGGAAGGAAAATATGCATTGAAGATTGCGATGCTGGTTTCCGAGGCCCCTGACCTTGTTCACCTTGCACATATCTCAGCTCTTCACAGCGGTCAAAACGGCCACCGGAAATGGTTAGTTAGTACACGATCCCATCAGATGTCCCGCACATTAGCCAAGCCTCGACTGCTCTCGCTCTCGCGAATGGGCCAGTTGAGCCTCTTGTTTACGCAAACATATTCGAAGAAGGACACAGCATGTGCAGATAGCAGAGAGACAGTTTCTCGGTGAGCCAGTGCGTCCTCACCGGTATCCTAAACCACTATGTCTTGCTTCCAAGCATGGTACCAATTGCATTCAATGCTTTAAGCATAGTATCTCCGTCCCAATTTCATGACAAACTCGATGCAAAGTACTCTCCGCGTTGCCTTGAATATGGCTTCTTGTGAAACTTGTTGCCCTCTCAGAATTAAAGCGCATTTTTTTCTGCTGTGGAATCGTGACCGCAGTGCAACAAGCCCCTCAACATCACCGATCCCCAAAGCAAGACTGGGCACAGCTAGGTACCACCCGGACATCAAGGGCAGGGAGCCCAAGGCATTTTCCGATTCATTCTCTTAGAACCTACGATGTTTCGAGACTATGCGGCTGTCGTTAGCCCTACTAGTAACCTTGTCCTCAAGCCAGTCCCAACCATACACAGTACGTCGCGTGATTCCCCCTGTTTAGCCCATGCAGCTAGCTATGCCCGTTAACTAGCATGCCCAGGGGGGGGTAAGGGGTAGGATCGAGGCGATCGTCCCGACTCACAGCAGCAGGGCTACACAAACCCAGATGCGGCACCCAACGGGCCTTGCGTGGCGTCAAATCCGGGGGCGGTGGTGTTGGGAACACAACACACAACACACAAGACGAGGCAACCAAAGTGTGGCAGCACAACAGATCGCGGGAAACGATTAAGGAGAGAGAGGCTAGTTTATGTGTGGGTAACACAGCAAACTCAAACTGCGCACTTGAAACAAGCGGTGATGGGGAGTTGGTTAGTTGAGGCGGTGGCTCAAAACTTGCGCGTTGTGGGTAGGTTGGGAAAGACTCCGAATCAAAGGATTGGTTGGTTGGCGATGTTTCTTGAGTCAATGGGCGTGGTGTTTTGTCACGTCACATTGTTGTGATACTGTACCAAGACTAGATAGTGTACAATATATCCAACGGAGAAAAATAACATCTTCTGTTGTTAAAATCGGAATAAAAACATAAACTACCTAATGGCCATGGTATCGTATTAACGACAGAAAATGTCCCCTCAAGTCAGTCTTTCGGCAACCACACACCGAGCCGATCTCAATTCTCACTCGCCCTGTTCCCTCATTTTTCTTCCCACAGCAATCCCATTGAAATCTCGCTCGTGGCTCGAGTCAAAGCCCTGTCAAGAAGCCAAGACGGATATCCGCAGCCAGGTACGCCCAGCCAAATGGTGATCAGAAAGCGTTGGCAATGCCGTGTTACTTGACGCCTTGCCAAAGCCAACCTGTCATGAAAACCAACAAAAAGGCGTCGAAAAAAAGGAGAACAAAAAAAAGGCGACCAATATTAACATCTGTACGTTTGTCCCTTACGTATGACAAGCCAAAACAACAAAGTCGGTGAGTCCTGGGCAAGGCACATGGGGGAAAATAGGGCCAGCCAGACCAGACGACCCCCTGGCCACCCAAAGACAGCCCAATCCGCCCAACGCCCCCTGAGACATCATTCCAAGGCGCACAGTCAGGAACTGTTTGGTCAGTAAAAGGTAGATTTACTCTCTGTAGGTCTTGGATCGCAAGCGGCTGGATGCATACGTAAAAAAACAAAATGGAGGAGGAAGGTCCGAATAGAGTTTTGTTTGCGTGTTTTGGTTGGCGCCAACGCTTGCTGAGCTTAGCCCAACCACACAGACCCTCTCTCTTTCTTTCTTTCAGTCTCTTCCCACGCGACCAAGACGCACGCCATCGGGAAGTGAGCGGTCGGCTAACTAGTGGTTTTCGTCGTTCGTGTGCATGTACACTAGTGACCTGGGCTGATGTACAGTAGGGTTCCCTTTCCCCCCCCCATGCGAATGCAATGCATGCTGCTCGATACGGGGAGACATAGCTACATACATATACATACGCATGCATTAGACAGAACCGATGTTGTGGGATCTGAGTTTGTTGGGCTTAGTGAGAGAGAAAGAGGGGCGAGGGGCTTGATGAGAGGGGGAGATTCCTACCTACCTGGGGTAGGAAGTCACTGCGGTACCAGTGACATGCCAACTGGGGTGACCACTGACGAGGGGAGAGAAAAGGGTCGGACAGGTCCCATCACCTGCAAGAGAACTCTGCATGTCCCATTTCACCATCACACGCCCTGCCGATGGACATCGAGATAT